TTCATAGAAAATTTGACACAAATTCAAGGTTTTAGTTTCTTTCTCTAAACCGAGGCATATTCCTTTGAAAGATTTTAATGATGGTGAAAACAAACTCTCTTCACAGATTGTTATTGTGTTGTCCGCTGGTTTATGGAATGCTTACTATCGTCAAGCCTGGAGATCAGCAGCTGCGCACCTGAGGGGCCGTGGGGTCGACCTGTATGTTGCAGGCATTTTACCCCAGGATGCAACGTCATTTTTCCGAGATTTACCTTGGACATCCTCTAAGGTGTTCGAAGCTTCCGCAGGTCTTGAAATGAACAATTTTATGCCTGAAATGATGAGGCAGATTGTATTTGGAGGTTGGTAGATGCGAAATTGTCAACAAAGGTCTTTAAGAAATAGAGTGTATCTACCATAGTGATACATGTTTTTCACTGCGTTTTTAATGTGCGCATTGAGGCACAATTTTGTGCGACACTCGAGTCGTTACTAAACATGCTATTTCTCTGCTTTCTCCTAATTTGTTGAAACATCTTAGACGAATGACATCTCTACATCGCAAAAAGCCATGTTTGACTGATACACGCTTCTTAAAATTTCCTTAACTTAAATTACTACTGGAATGTTTGTTCTGTCGAAAAACCCTTTTTTCATTTCAGATGCGCATGATAAAATAACTAAAAAAGTAAACAAAAGGTGTACTGAATTTAATGTTATGAAGGCAGCAGCTTTAACAAATACTTTGAATACCGCCCATTGGGATCTTAAAAAGAAGCCGTTTTAATTTTGCCTGTGGTGGTTGTTTTTAAGATTATGTATTTTCTCTCTTTCCTTTCTAGTGAATCCACAAGAACTGGACCTTGGATTTGTGGTAGACTCGTCTGATGCTGTGAACTGGTCACAAATGCAGCGTTTTGTCACATCAATGCTAACCTCGTTTGACATCTCACAAGACAGGGCCCACGTTGGGTTTGTTTCGTTTGGCAGTGATGTTTCGGTGTCGTTTGCATTCAATACCCTCCACGGAGCCTCATACACTAGTGACGCTGTCGTACAACTCATAAACAGAATTCCTCAAGCCGGAGGGAGCGAAAGAAGAGTCGACTTGGCATTTGATAAGACTTTTAAGAATTTATTCAGTGATACTGGTGGAATGAGGAAAACTGCTAGAAAGGTATCATAACAGGCCGAATTAATTTTATCCTTAAAATGAAGATATGCAAAGGAACTGAAACTGTGTGTGTCCTGCTTTGAACTAGTTACAACAGCATTTATTTTTTTTGCTTCGCTTCGATTATAACCAAATTAAGTGACTTGGTAGGGTCAATATTTGCATCCCGATGAGGCATTTAGGGCATTATTTTAGTGTGTGATGGTGTAGATATTGGAAGCAAGCTCAATGCATGACTTGTTGCCCAGTTGATTTTTCAAGTGTTGTGTGTCAATTGCAGGTGTTAGTTCTGGTAACAGGAGGTGAATGGGATCCTCAGTATGAATCTCAGTGGAATTCCTATGCGAATAAATTGAAGAATCTCCCAGTTGATATGTATTCTTTCTCCATTGGCCTGAAACCATCGCATGATCAGCTCCAAGATGTTATTCCATACAACAAAAATATCTTTAGAGTAGGTTCATTTGACAAAGCTGATGCAGGAAGACCCGAACTGGTAAAGGCTATAAAAGAAGGTATGAAAAGCTGTTAGTCACATATATAAACATAGCGTAATGTAGCCGCAGTCAACTGGACCCTCCCTTCCGTAGTACTGAACGCTTCCGATTGAAACTGTGGAATCGATTTGAACACCAAAAACGGCGTTCCGTCAGAACTCTTAAGAATGTGAAGTTCATACGTTAACGACAGCAGAGAATCCTCCCTTTGCGACGTCTGTCCAACGAATATGGGCCTATATGTTACTAGAAAAAGTCTGCTAATAATTAATCAAGAGACATCATCACTCCATGCATAGTTAAATCCATTTTGCCATTCGGTTACAATGATCCAGGACGGTGAGTAAAGGATGAATTTATTTATTTAAATGGCTTGTTTAAAGCTAGCAAGATTTAATTGCTTAAGTCTTCTACTTCATGTTCTTTTACAGGCTTCGGTAAACGGCCCGTAGACATTGCATTCTTAGCTGATTCATCTGACGCAGCCGACTGGGACAAGACTTTGAGCTTCGTGAAGAATGTCATTGACTCCTTGGACATCTCTGAGAAGGAAGGACATGTAGGGTTTATATCATATGCTGCTAAAGCTTCTTTGGGATTCGATTTCAACACTCATGGTGGAAATGGATATAGCAAGGCTGGTGCAGGACAGTTGATTGATACAATTACACAGCTGGGAGGAGACGAGAAGAACGTGAACCAAGGCTTGGATATGGCAGGATACATGTTTAGCACAAGGGCTGGATCGAGAGATGGAGCAAGAAAGGTATGCACATAAGCGTTTGCTTATACTTCTTTTATCAATAGTCCTTGATATATTCATTGCTACTCATCATTCTGTTTTTTCTCTAGATTCTTGTTGTTATAACTGGCGACCAATGGAAGGAGGACGAGGACTCCAAATCGTATAGAGCTAGAGTATTGATGTCACTCGTCGACAGAGGTGTCGAAATTTTCTCCATAGGTGTAGGATCTCGTACGTCCGCCAATCAAATGGACCAAATTGCTTCTGGGAGACGATATTGGTTCCTTTCTCACTCATACGATAATCTGGACGATCTCAGTCCCAAGTTGACACAATCTATCCAAGGAGGTAACTTAAAATTTGACCTTTTCTAGCAACTACGAACAATGTAACCAACTTATGTGTTTTTTCTTAAAATGTACCTCACGTGAATGTTTTTATCTCTCAGACTATGATCCTCCCGTGGACCTTGCGTTATTAGTAGACTCATCTTCCGCTGTCAACTGGAGCAAAATGCAGGACTTGCTTAAGGGTTATGTTTCAACATGGAACATTTCATACACAAATAATCATTTTGCTATTGTATCATTCGCATCATCCAGTAATATCGACCGGCCATTCCCTTCGTCTAACAGCCCAGAATACACGAAAGAGCTTATTTGGCAGGAGATTGACGACTTGAAACCACAAGGGGGAGATGAGCGCAGAATTGATTATGGTCTAGAAAATGTTACCGAGTTGTTTGGTTCTGAATATGGCGCCAGGAGAGATGCCCGCCAGGTAAAAGCTACTGTAACAAACGCGAAGGCAAACAAAATCGCTGTTTATGTAGGATCGGCTACATTTTCCCTTTCTTAGCGTACATTGCTCATATTTTCACAACTCGTCAACAATATCGGTGAAAATGAACGACAATAATAATAATAATAATAATAATAATAATAATAATAATAATAATAACAATAATAATGATAATGATAATGATAATGATTATGATAAAACAATAATAATAATAAATTGAAGACGACAAGCCTGACATTGTGGTGTTGGGTAAGATAGAACGGAAGTGTTTGATTTTTATTGATTATTGATGTTGCTTGTCCTGAGTGAAAGACAAAGAGAAAAACAAAATGGAGAATTACCAAGACATGAAGCGGGGGTTGAAACGGATTTGGAAATTGCCAAGAGTAACTGTGGTGCCAGTCATAATTGGTGCATTAGGAACTGTCCCGAAAGGCATAGAAAAGTGATTAGCAGAGACGGGTGTCACATGTCGTTTAGAATCATTGCAGAGAGCGTGCCAGCCAGAATCTTTCGCAAAGTCTTAGACACATAAGGTCACGGGAGGTGACTTGATGTTTGAGGAAGACTCTAGCAAGCCAACCAGAGGATGTTTTTAATGAGGAAAATAATAATAATAATAATAATAATAATAATAATGCCAATGTTGATGGTGATGATGATTATGATGATAATAATGAGGATAATAATGCTATAAATTAATGCTAAGGATTATGCTACAGCGTATCCTGAAGCCAACTTAGTTATCTTCAGTCGCTGCCTATTAAAAGTATCACCTCCGTTGCAATGTGTTGGTTGTAAGAGATGTTATGTTTAGGTAAGCTTTGTTGTGTTGCGATTTTTCCAGAAGTTAATGATAAGGTTACGAAATTGTGAGAAACTCACTATATACTGATCGGTCAGCGTGTAATCAAGTTTCTCAGATTCTTCAGCTCATACAGATTGGAATACCTTAATGTTGATTTAAACTGTGTCGCAAACCTCGTGTACCCCAATCGGGTAATGTGACTGCGAATATTAGATGTAAGTGTGGAACATCATAATTGGAAGTTCTTTTAAACATATAATTTCGATTGTTATGGCTTTCTTAGGTGCTGGTCGTCTTTACAGCTGGCGACTGGCCATCACAGTACAGTCAAAAATGGTCACAACTTGCAGTGACCCTCGGCTTTGGAGTTGAAATCTACGCTTATGGCATCAAACCTGGCGCACAAAGGGAGCAGCTAGAGAATATCACTCGTTTTAATCGTGGTAGCAGTTATCTGTTAGATGACTACATTCTACCAACGTCAAATTCTACAGCAGTAGGTATGTAAAGTGCCTGATCGGCTGATAAGGAAATAAATCGAGTCGGAGGGTATTCTTTATTACAAAAAAGGAGTAATTCATTATCATTCCATATTGCAACCCACAGGCATTGACACACCATTGATATTTTTCGATCATATATTTATAAAATCAAGGGACAGTTTTTCTTCCAAACTTCACGACTTTTCTGTCTATACTTAACTTAATTACGTGGACTGTCTTCAATATTTGTGGTACATTTGCATCATTTGACTTCTGCTCTTGCACCCTGAACTTCAACTGATATTTTACCAGTGTTGCTGGTAATAACAGCTTTCTTTTTCTTCTCTATGTTCCCGTGTCATCCCCAGCAGTGAAATCCCTGCGCTCGATTTCTCCTCATTTTCCATGCACCTTACCAATTTCATTTCTCTTAGGAGCTAAACCGGGGAAACTGCTGTCTGAATGCCAACGGCGTTATCAACATGCCATCAGTCATTACAAACCTCACGCTATGATACCACAGTGTAAACCGGATGGTAGTTTTGACCTGGTGCAGTGTGACATGTCATACTGTTTCTGTGTCGACAAAAACGGCGATGAAATATCCGGCAGTCGTCTTAATGTGAGATATGGAAGACCAGTCTGTGACGAAACAGGTATATTATACATGAAATCCAGACACGTAGGGTCCTGATTTTTGATCTTTTGGTAAACGTCTTTTTCATGATCTTCACCAGCCATTAAATGTGTCCTATAATCATGTTAGCTGAAAGTGGAATTCTCTAAAAGGTAGTTGGGTTCGTAACATTTGTTTTAGTGCCATTTTACTTTCAGAATTGTTAGTTTACTTTTTCTAACGTCAAAATCAATACAGTTTCAATGACTGTTAGTAACGTTTATACCACCTATATACCATCAGGCTGCATAATGTAGCAAAGAAATAGAAACGCATGGCTGTTACACGTCCTTCTTTCGAAGAGAAGCAATGATTGCATAACACTATTGCATATTGTGAGATCACTCAGACATATGACTGAGTTTTTTTCGTTTATTTCCTGTGTATATTTTCACTCTAAAATGCTGTCTCCAATGACTTGTAATCAAATGATTTCCCAGGTATAAAACCCACTGCTTGTCAGGCCCAGCAGATTCGCTCACAGACGTCAATGATGGCCGGACCTGAATGCAAACCTGATGGAAAATTTGAAGAAGTGCAGTGCAAGTCGTTGACTAAGCAGTGCTGGTGTGTAGATGAATCTGGTTCCGAGATGGCAGGTTCAAGGACGGTCAATTATCTGAGTTGCCCACAAGCAGGTACGGTCTACTTACTGAGTAACAGTAGTCTGGTCTAACAAGCTACTTGCTCACAAAGAGAACTATGCTGCGTCCCTTTGAATTGTAAATATAACTTTCCCCTATCATATCTTTTCTGGCATAGAAGATGGCTTGTTTTTGTCACATATCATTAAACCATCGATAGTCAGTTCTTTTCACTAATCTGGTGATTTTGTAATTCTTATGACTAGATGTTAGCACGGTGCGTTGCATAAATACCCCGAGGTGAAATATTCTTTAAAATTTCACGCTTTCGGGTATTTAATCTTATTTCAGGAAAGGAGGCGACTTCATGTGAGAGGCAGTATCAAGGAAAGGATCGTTCGGACTACATACCACGCTGCAGTCCTGACGGCCGTTTTGAAAACAAACAATGTGTCGACGATGAGTGTTTCTGCGTAGATGCAAATGGGGATAAGCTATCCGAAACAAATGTCCTTTTATCCAATGGAAGGCCTAACTGCACTACGTCACGGCTTGGTAAGGCCTTACCGAATCTCTCCTTGAATAATAGTGGTATTTCATCTCTTGCAAATTTGGTAGTATTATTTGTTTAGGGATACGTAAACCACAGTAAAGAGATTTGACGAGATTTGACCTTTTTTTGTTTAGAGGAGGATTAACGTAAAACGCCAGGCAGTCACTTTTCTTGTTAACATTGGATCAAAAATCTGACTTTTCTTGATGAACTTTTACCATGTTAGGGTTCGTTGCTGTGAACGCTTTCGAAAAAAGGCGAGAAATTACGATAGAGCTAAGCACAGTAAGGTCACTCCCACCCCTTTTGCTTGGAGACCATGCTACCAAACGATCGGTAATTTATCTGACAACCTAGACAGCAACTGCGCCTGACAGATTTTATTTTGTTATCAGGTATCAGGCCCTTGGATGTTGGAATCATTCTTGACCAAACCCTTGCCCTGGAAACAGATGAATGGACAGCCGTGCTTAGGTTGTTGACGAGAGTGGTGAATGGGCTTGGCGTCTCTTCGGCATCTGATGGAGCAAGAATTGGCTTAATACGTTTTACTTCTAACCCTTCGATTCCCCTTTACTTCAACACGCTTAAGGATGAACACCTATCGCCTGATACAGTGAACAAGTTTATTGACAAAATATCACAGTCACAAGGGGTACGACGCATTGATCTGGCGCTACAGAGTGCTGCAACGGATTTATTCTCACAAAAAGGCGGTTCAAGGGCAGGTGCAAAGAAGGTAATGCAATTGACCATTGTAGACAACAAATCATTAGACTCTACGGTCGAAGCTCCATGTGCGACCACCTCTCATAAGCGACGCAGTTGTCCCTTTCGCAAACGATAACTGCTATTTTAAGGTTCTGAGAAACTTTTTGACCTGTTATTGGAAGTGTTTTTATTACAAACAAAGAAAATCGCAACCCTGGGTCGAACTCGGACCTCGAACCCGAACTTTCACATCCTAATCTCTTTCCCTTTATCCTACTACACTACCACATTCTGAAAAATTTAAGTACATAAACTAGCGCTATCTTTCTTAACTGTTACATCAGTAACATTTTGAATATTTTTGAATGCGAAAATTTTAGGTTTCCTTTTTGTTGCGAAAAATAGCCCAACCTAGGAAGTGAAATGTAAAAAATTAAACTTCAGAAATCGTAGGAAATTTATTAGATAAGCTTGCTTGTGCATGAATGGAACGGCCATGTAGAAATTTTTTAGCCGTCCTCAAGTAATAGAAAATTGTAGGTAATATCTGCTTCTCCGCATTCGAACAGATATTTTACAGAAAACAGTCGTTGGGTGCCTCTGTGACCCTAGCCCTTTCCATAACTTTTAAGGTAAATTCAACTTGGCCTTCAATGTAGTTCTTTCTAAGACTATTCGAAAACGTATCATTTGCCTTATTGTAATTTAATCCTGGGGATAGTCCCTCATGTATAATGATATCTAATGACGGGGAATGATGTCTTATGATGGTGAGTGATGTCATAATGACGAGGAATGATTAGAAATGACGGGGAATGATGGGTAGTGACTTTTCCTGGCTTTTAAATATACATGTTTGTATGTATGGGACATTTGGTGGGTATATATACATGTGATCTCAACCATCCAGGGAATATACTACATCAATGATGACTAAAGGCTTGGTTAGCAGTGGTGGTATCGACAGTTTAAAATGGCAACGACCGTGACGAAAGAGTCACCTCCCATAGGCGACCACCTATTCAAAACACCAAAATTTTCCCACACAAAACATTTAAGCTTAAATCTCTCGTAAATGGCCATCTTTTGTAAGCGACCACGTCAATTGCTTTCGGGGCTGACGGTCTCATAATTTTCCATTGTTTTTAACCTGTTGCAAGCGACCACTTGACACATGGCCTGATCTAAACCCCCTATATGTACTATGGCACTATACGTAAAGGTTTTAGCGACAACATTGAACTCTAAAAATAGTTACTTAGAAATTGCAGGCAATAAATTATCTTCCATTAAGTATATGTGTCCGAAGAGAAAAGGTTCGATTCTCGTTAGCGACCACCTGCCGTAAGCGACCTTTAATTCCTCGCATTTTTGTGTGGTCGCTTACGGGAGGTTCGACTGGACTTCTAGCAGTGTTGAAGATAAATGAATCGAAATGGAATCTTGATCTTTAGATCGCTCTGTTGGTCACTACTGGTCCACAAGACACTACACAGACGCTTTCTACCCCTTTAGCCGATGCAACAGCTCAACTGCAAAAAGCCAGCGTTGATGTGTACTCTATTGGGATTGGCCCAGATGTCGTACCTTCTCAATTAGAAACTATAGCCTCAAGACCAGAGTATGTTTTTAGAACGGAGGTGGCCAGTTTGCCCCTCGTTTCATCTCAACTTACCGACATGATACGTCAAGGTAAAGTTCTGTTCATAGATGTCTCTGTGTTATCGAATATATTGCTTCCACCTATTTTGACCTATACTGGGTAAGCCCAACCCTTGGGTTAATGGCTAAATAAGCAGTATCTGCACTCGAAATTCGGAGAAACCAAATCCCCAAATACCCTCACTTAGTGGCTACGTTGAATCCAGTGCCAGTTTGAATGAAGTTATATTTTTCAAACGTAAGTTTGTAAGTTGAAAATTTTCTTATCTGCTGAGGGACTGACGCAATGAACTTGATTGTAAAGTAAGACTACCCCGCAGAACAAAGTGATTAAGAAATCGCAAGGACAACATAAACTTATGTTAAATGAGTGTCCGTAAGTCGGATATACAATCATTCTCAATTACATACGAATTTTCCTTCGATTTAGTGAGCCAAAATAACTCGAATCAAGAAGAAAGTCACAAAGTCGCAAGCTTGATAAAATGTTTGCGTTAGAGTTGTATGGGTTTCTCAGTAGTTAAAGTACTGCTTGGCAGTGTCCGTTCAGATCTCGCGTTACGCCCTCATCTATCGCTTAACAACGTTCCAGGATTATTGTTTTTAATCTGTTCCTTGTCTTCTTAGATCGTATCCCATCGTTAGATGTTGGTTTCTTAGTGGATTCGTCAGATGCAGCCAACTGGCAAAAAACGCTGACTGCCGTTTTAGCAATCGGTGATAACTTAGACATTTCTCAGAGTGGCACACACATTGGCTTCATCTCTTACGCTTCGTCAGCGTCCGTGGCCCTGCCCTTCCCCGCTGCTGATTCTCTGCCCTATAATCCAAGAGTTGTTCGACAGCTTGTGAACAGCGTAGCTCCGTTGGGAGGATCCGAAAGAAAAGTGGATCGAGCATTGCAGTTAGCGAACGATGAGCTTTTTGTTCCACGAAATGGCTCTCGAAAGGCCTCCAAACAGGTATGTCAAGGAACGAGTGTAAGTCATTTTGTAGCCATAATAATAGCGTGAAAGTCAGCCAGCACTTTTCCTTGAAGAGTCATCGGAAATATTTTTCACCTATATGGTATTTGAAATATCTGAACTTCTTTATTATTCTGGGCTGATATATATTCTAATTTTTCACATTTTGGATCCTTCTGCTGGAAACTAAATATAGCGAATTACCCAATTTGATGACTCTATCTTTCTAAAAGCTAAATTTCCCATTTCTGATTTCATCAAATTCTTTAATATTACTCTCTTTCTTGGGACTTTTTCTAAAGGTAATATTTACGGAATAATTATAGCGACTGAGTATGAGTCAGTGATGAGTGTTCATCGCTCCTAACCATTTCAACTACGCCTCTATACTTTATTAGATCGCCATTCTCTTTATCACTGGGGAATGGCCTGCGAGCAAGTGGAGTTCCCCCTTGATGCAACTGAAGAATAAGGGCGTCGAAGTGTATGTCGTAACATCAGGTCCTACAGCAGACACTCCTGAAGCACTTAGAGTTGCAAGTGATGTAAGAAATGTCTTTAGAACAAATCCTTATAGCGATCTTGAAGAAGCTGAGCCGAAAGTCACCCAGGTGGCGACAGAGGGTAAGTTACGAATTCCAGTTGTTGTAAGTGAACAAGAATGCCCTATCTGCGTGTGCTTAGAAATGCACTTTTCGTAGCGTTTAATAACATACATCCCAAAATCTCAACCTCTGTGAGGAATGTCTTGAAATCGAGATTCTTTCTTACTAATGTATGATTTTGCAATCTTTTGCCGTGCATGAATTGCTTTTTGTTAAATTGGCTTGATTACCTTCAAATAAAAACCATTGTCATCGTACTTTTACTTGTATGGACTAGTTTTCATAGCATTTTGACTTGTTAATCAGAACCTAAAGTGACGGTGTGCCAAAGATTCAACAATGGCGATGAGCAGTTTGTTGTGCCAAAGAGATCTGGAGCAAAGTGCAAGGCAAACGGCGAATACGAAGAAATCCAGTGCGACGATGACTCCAAGGAGTGCTGGTGTGTAGACCAAAATGGTTATGAGGTGGCCGGAACTCGAACAACTGGGACTATAAACTGTCCAGAAATAGGTAACTGTTTTTACAGTCTTGCCCCCACACGGGTTAAAAACGAAGAAATTCAAAGTTCTTGACGGACCAAACGATTATTCATGGTTCCTAACGAGTAAAGGGTAATCGAAAGTATTTTTTCACCTTTATTAGGGAGTGACTCTTCACCATGTCAGAAGGAGTATTCAGAAAAGTCAAGGAATTGGTTGTTAAAAGGGAGACATTTGCCTCGCTGCAACCCAGATGGCAGCTACTCCGACAAACAATGTTACAAATCTTACTGTTTCTGTGTTAACAAGGACGGCGTTGAAATCTATGGCACTAGGAAAAATATTTCCGATGGCGATGTAATGTGTGGTCCCGATCCAGGTAAGGTTTGAAGAGTCTTAAAAGGCCAAAACGCTACGGACTCAAATAATTTTCTGGGATGGTGGACTAACACCTTTTCGCTCTTGTCAAAGTCAATTCTTTATTTCAAATTAAAATTCGCTAGGGGAATTTTTTTATTTTTTACATAGAAAGGACGAAGGGGTGCCTTAAATGCTGAAGTAGTAGAGTATAAATTGGTACCACGACGAAAACGATTATCCTTTCGTGCTACAGCTGTCGCCAAGCTTCAGGTTATCTTCACACCACTCTTTTTATTAACCTGTTCTGTTTATCTCTTTCTTAATTATGTAGCACCAACCAACTGTGAACATCAACGCGCTGATTCTGTAGCCAAACCGACACCTGGTGCTTTTACGCCACGTTGTAAGTCAAATGGAAATTTTGAATCAGTGCAGTGCCACGGCTCAGTCTGTTATTGCGTAAACAACAAAGGAATACCTCTTCCTGGTACTGAAGTGAGCATTGGTCAAGGGAGGCCCAACTGCCAAGATCCAGGTTAGAAAGCATGGCTGCCCATGGCTGTTAAAACAAGCGCAGAAGGTTTGGTTGAAACAACTTCTTATTAATTCATCTTCCTCTCTTTGATCTCTTTTACAGATAAAGTTCTCGCAGACTGCGAGAAGAAGGTCCAGAAAAGTCTTGTCGATAACAGTCAGTTTGTCCCAAGATGCAAAAAAGATGGAACTTATGAAGACGTGCAGTGCGATTCCTCAAGTTCGGCATGTTGGTGTGTTGATAAAGATGGCGAAGAGTTGCCTGGAACAAGATCTAAGGATTTAGTCAAGTGTCCTGGTCAAAGTAAGTGAACTTAATTCTGTTTTGTTGCATTCAGCGTGCCTTGTAACGGCATGTGCAAATTAAGTTGGGGGTAATTTTGACTAAGAATTTCTGAAGGCGATCCTGATAAATCGCAATCTCCTTAGCGTTTGCACGCACTCATGCGTCACGGACAAACTTCGCTCACGCTGTGACATTATAACAATTTTTTTTTTGGTTCTCACTGAAGAAGACCCTCTGACATCATGTCAGCTGCAGTACCAAGAAAGTTGGCGAAATCAAGTCAAGGGTCGCGCCGTTCCAGTGTGTATGCCGGATGGGAGTTACAGCAAAGTACAGTGCTACCTGAACACTTGTTACTGTGTTGATGAAAATGGCAACCAGATAAGAGGCACTAGTGTCAACGCTCTGAAGGATGGGATTCCCAGCTGTGACGATTCAGGTTAGTTCGATGCAGTTCAAAAGTTATGGCTATGATTGTGTCGTAAACGATTTCACATAATGCTGAAACTGTATCAGTTGTGATTTATTATCGTAGTGTTATTCTTAGGGTATAAGACAACTGTTGTTCTTGACTTGCAGGGAAGCCCCTTACGGACTGCCAGAGGAGGCAATCTGATGCACAGCTATCATCCTCACTAACTCCACAGATCATGTGCAAACCCAATGGCTCCTACAGTGATGTGCAATGTGACAAATCCTCAAGTGAATGTTGGTGTGTGGACCAAAATGGTGATGAAATTTTTGGAACGCGAACTCTTGGCGTGCTCAAGTGTTCTTCAACTGGTAAGCGTTTCATATCAATTTGGTGAGACATTCAACGTTTTTGGGTCAAAACTAAACCACATATTGTTAATATTGTTCATGAGCTAATCCCCTACAATCAATATAGTAATACAATGCGTAGTGGTTTTCGTATGGCATTTTTTTTAAACCTACAGGAAAGTAACTAATTTGCGTGTACATTATTCGACGGGATCCTAGTATAAGTAGAATAAGAAACAAACATTTGTTACTTTCATTGCCCTCAGCACCACTTTCAGCATGCGAAAATCGCGTAGAGATGTCATCTGGAGGGAAGCTTTCACTTTGGAATCATGTCCCTTACTGTCATTCGGATGGAAGCTTCGAGGACGTGCAGTGCAATGCTCATACTGGTAACTGCTGGTGTGTGGGAAAAAATGGACTTGAGTTGACCGAAACACACAGCAGGGAGATGCCAAATTGTGTGACACCTAGTAAGTTACTGCTTTTTCTTGCTCGTGTCGGTGCTCGTGATATTGTAGTAGACCAGTTAATACATAGATTATCAACAACCCTATATCAATCTTTTCGAACTGGGATTGATAACCACACAAAGCCGTTTTCTACCACCAACCAGTTGAAAAAGGCACTGTACCTTATTGGGGCTTAAATGGCCATTCACGATCGTATGCTTGTGATCCCCCTCCCCCTTGCCAATGTTGCTATCGAAACTTCGAGGAATAACTTTGAATCTCAGTGCTATTTCTCACAGTCGTGTAACTAAGAATGATTTCAAGTAAAAAAGGCCAGTTTTTCCGTGGTGTCTCAACATTTTAGCAACTGGTTGATACTTAATTACACAGGACGAAATAACGTGTTTCCGTATTTTGTAAACTCGACGGAAACGGGAAGTTGCTTATATCCGTCACGTTTCCGCCCTGCGGAAACATGGTGATCTAGTTTTCCATGGACGGGACGCGTTTCCGTCATGAAACATGAAATTGACTTGTTTCCGGAACGTTTTCGCGTGTTTCCCCAAGGATGCTACGCATTTTTCGCTGGTGTTTGCTTAGACGGAAATTTGACAAACCGCATTTTAGCCGCTAACGGAAACATGTGATTACCGCCATGTTTCCGCAACGATTTTACGCGTTTATGTTAAGTTTCCATTTACGGATTCTTGAAATTTCGTCCTGTGTTAGTTTAAGGTCTCTATTTTCACATTCGTAACTTTATTTATTTGTTTTTCTGGTTAAGTCTCTGATCACGCTGTTTATAATAACAAGTAACCTACAAATTTTTATTCAATCGCCTTAAAGTGATTAAAGACACGTGGTTAAATCCATTTCATTGGCAAAAATATTTTTAGTGTGGTATACGCCATGTCAGCGGCATCGACAACAGGTTCTTGGTCCAACTGGCAGCGCTCCGTTGGGCGCTTATGTTCCTCAGTGCAAACCAGATGGAAGCTACGAGCAGACGCAGTGCCAGGGCGCTGGGCAGGTGTGTTGGTGCGTTGATGAAAGTGGAAGAGAGATTCCCAATACCCGACAGAATGGAGATCCAAATTGTGGCAAAGCAGGTAAAACACTGTTTTAACAATTTTCGCTCAAGATTTTTTACCCCGTTGATCTTTATTATGGCCATTTATTTGGAAGAAAGAAATTTAAGAGTTCTAAAACTATCCAAAAAATTTTGCGATTGTCTATTTGCATACTGAAGTTGACCAATGTGTTATAGAGTTTAACAGTCAACTTTGTTTTCAGACAACTTCACCAGTGTTCCAGTGGAACTGGGTTTTCTTTTTGATGGCTCTGGACAAATCAGCAAACCAAATTTTCTTGCTCAAATTGTCACGGCAAAGGAAATTGTTGACAGTTTTAACATAAGTGACGAGCTTGCACGTGTTGGTGCTGCAATTTCCAGTCCTAACAGTCGAGTTCTTTTTACCTTTGACGATCCACTAACTGGTCCAAATCGTACAGCCGAGGCCGTTAAACAGCTTTTGGATAACACACGCCAAGACCAAGGTGCAGCCAGACTTGGCGCAGGGATCAAAACTGTAGATTTGCAGTTGTTTAGCACTAAAGGAGGAAGTATGAATGTTTCAAAGGTCAGTTTCTCTTACCCATTTGTACGTTTCCTGATTGATTCTGTTGAAAGTAGTACAGCGGCTGCTATATCTCTGGTCGCTTATTGGTGTAAGGATTGTTTTTTTACCACCCAAGACACAGCGTTGTTTGATGCGCTTACTTAAACTATGAAGGTATCAGTGATCAAACCCAGTGAGCAAGTCGAACAGCATATTGTTGTCCTTACTGAATTTTGCGTAGAGTAATCGCTCATATGACACAAAACAAACGCACGAAACAGGGACTAGAAAAAAAGGCAACAAGGGTAAGGAGAGCGGACCGAGGTGAGTATTAATGATTTAGGAGTTTTTAAACTGCAGACTGCGTGGGTTAAACTGCATCTTATCTAGAATACATATTTTCATTGTGTAGTTTGTTTATAACTGGTTTTGGCTTTCTTTCGTTTTTTACTTTAGGTACTTGTTGTCTTTGTTGGCAGCACTCAAACAAAGGATAACAAATCGCTTCCTCTCTCTGATGTGGTTGAAGGACTTTCCGAGAAAGGCGTGACAGTTATTCCAGTTAGCATTGGAAATAATTTTGACCCTGAAGAACTTAAGACCATAGCAAGCGATTCTAAGAATATCTTCCCTCAGGATGCTGTGGATTCAGTGAAGAGGGCTGTAAAAGATGCAGCTTCTCTTGCTCCACCAGGAGTTAACCAAGGTAAAAAAAAAATCGTTTTTGGTAATTTTGTACCAGATTGCATCCCACAGATTAAAGAAAACCAAACAAGATTGCCCCAGCCCCAGTGCTTAAGCGCTATGAAAAACGGTGCCGAATCTGAGTTCTATTTAGGTTTCGTATATAAAGACCAGTGCGTAGTCAATACTTAATATGTTTTTTTAGTTCCAGACGAAACAGCTTGCCAAATAGCAGTTGAAAAAGCCCTTCAGACTCCCGCAAGCCCTGATCGTTTTGTACCACGGTGTAAAGAGGATGGCAGTTTTGAGGACGTGCAATGTTCCGAGTTTACTGGGGAATGCTGGTGTGTTGATAGTTCCGGCATGGAAAAACGCGGAACCAGGTCACAAGACTTTATCACCTGTTCTGGCATGGGTAAGCCAATTTTGATAATGAAAATCAGGAGAGACTTTTAGTTACTTTACTGTTACCTAACTAAGGTGACAAGAAACTTGCTATTTGACGAACTCCTTGAAATCCTTTTTTTAATTGTCCTTTGGATTGAACTTCGATTATATCACCTTACTCGCACGAAAAAACCTGTGCCACCCTTTGAAAATTTGTTGTTGTCTCTTACATACTATATTGAAAAGCATTTTTAGAGAACATCCCTTGTGAAGACCTTGCTTAAGGGTTACATTTTTGTAACAGCATGTTATTGTTCTCTCCACAATTAAAATAGGTACTGATTTAACTCAGTGTCAACAAGAATATCTCGAAGGTCGTTTCCAACCACTCTGTACTCCTGAAGGATCATACGAGGACACACAATGCCAGGGAACAGCCTGCTTTTGTGTAAATGAGAGAGGAGACGAGATTGCGAGGTCTCGAACCGAGCTTCCTGCCAGACCAAATTGTACTGCTGCAGGTACTTTTACAAGTCTCTGTGTCCGTAATACAGTCGAACCTCTGTTAAGTGGCCATTTGATGTTTATCGGTCAGATATCAGAGTATCGCAATTGTCAGCCATCAATTCGCTGGCTGGCCGGTCTCAATTGAACGGCTACTTGTCCCATTTGTCAGGGTTAAAGGAAGGAGCCCAAAAGTGTGACCTCCTTTAATTAATTCACATTCTTTCTGGTAGACATTAACCAATCAGAAGTCGAGGACAGGTTCCAGTTGGCTTCTGATTGAATTAAATATGCAAGAAAGAATGTGAATAAATCAAAAGCAGTCACACTTCTGGGGTTCTTGCTGTAAATGTAGACGGCTGCGAGAATGATAATGGTGGTTTTGTAATTTATATAAGCGTGATCAAGAATCATAGTTATTGAGCGAGAGTTGCAAACCAATTAAGTTGAATTTTGAAAACAAACAGTAGCTTTGCTAACCATAAATAATAAAAAATCCAAATCAACCGCTAAAATGATAATTAGGGCAGCACATCTAAACATACTTTGTCGCTCCTTTCCAGACTTCTTTATCCATTCTTGGTCTCTCCTTTAATTATTATCTTTGGTTTTTTGGTTGTCAGGTTGGAAATCATTACCTTAAGCATCGGGTGTTATATAGTTGATTCAATAAAGGTTGCGTTGGGTGTTGGGAATTGGAAATTTGGCATTTAAGCATACGGAACGATGTGATGATTTGCTCAAGTGACCACCAAACAATAGCTTCCTAGTGCCCAATTCCGAATGCCCAAGCAACCTTTATTAAATCGGGAGAATCTAATAAAAATCGGTGAGAGCGGGATGCAACACATAGTTAAATCGGAAGGCTTGGAATCTACGTATATGTAAGCACAGCAATTTTAATGTTATGTTTTGTTTCAGAGGAAAGACCTACGGTATGCCAATTTCAGTATCGACAACAGAATGGCAATGCAGTGCCAGGGGCATTTGTACCCCGCTGCAGATCAGATGGCAGCTATGACGATGTACAGTGCCGTGGCTCAGTCTGTTACTGCGTGGACAGAAGAGGCCATGAGTTGAGAGGTACCAGAGTGAATATTGGAGAAGGGACACCTCAGTGTGCCACACCTGGTAAATATGAAAAGAGAGCCTCTACCGACGTAGTACGATATGTTACAACTGAGACTAACTTTGGGATGCGATTAATGTGGCGCAAGTCACCCAGTTTCGCGCCATACCAATATGTTATACGTCGCTTGTATAACCTACTGCTCCGAAGTGTGTTTCAAAATCTTGCGTTTGATTTTATGTAATTTCGTGATTAACATATTGCCATATTCTTTTTTACTACCGACCGGGACACAGTTGCTGTTTGCCTATGAAGATTATGATTTTATGAGCCGGGCACTGCAGCCATTCACTAAAATCACTTCCATACAGTCCTGAAAAGCTAGTTTTGCCTGCCTCGGCTAAGACACGTACAGCAAGAAGATTAAAATATTAAATGCTTACAGGATAGCTTTTCCGTAGCTTGCGTCATATAATGCCCTTTATAATGCCCTATACTGATTTGACCTGATTTATCCAAAGTATCTTCCCTTTCATTGTACAACTGAAAGAACGCTTTATTAGATATCTTTCTCTACATTAATGGAAAATAAGACAGTTTAGTAATATTTAATAGTTTGTTTTTTATCTCAGTGAACACGAAGATCGTCTCACACTGAATATAAATACTAGCTATTTATGACATTTTGTGTAATTATTTAGGTCAGAAACTTACTTTGTGTCAACGACAGTACCAGGAGTACTGGAAAAATCCAGCCATGGGACGCTATGTTCCTCGATGCAAACCAGATGGTTCCTTTGACAGTGTTCAATGCTCTGGGCCGTACTGCTTTTGCAGCGACCAAGATGGCAACAGAATACCTGGCAGTATCACACTACAATCTGTAGCCGTTGACGTTGACAAGTGCTCCGAAATTGGTAAAGATGTCATTTATAATAACGTTTTTTGTTTAAAAATGTTTTAAGGGTAAGTTCTGTGGGTACACAACTAGGTTATATCATCTATTACTGCATTTTTCAGTTTCATCAGGGCTTTTTTCTAGTTGACGTTACAACCTTTAAAGCAGCTTTTCGAATCATTACTCATTTCGCTACAACAATACATGATACATTTGCCTCTACTGAAATCACCAACCCCGCCATTAAATTTACCTGTGCTTCCAGGAAAACCACTTACCCCATGCCAGCAGCAACAGGTAGACTTTTTTGCCACTCCTCCCAGCGCTGGCAAGTATCTTCCACGTTGCAGTTCGTCAGGGGAGTACATTGAGATACAATGCAGTTTGCAGGGTGATGAGTGCTGGTGTGTTACTGAAGAAGGAAGAGAGGTCCCTCAAACAAGATCACGTGGCCCACTTAGATGTCCCAAACCAGGTTTGAAAAACATGGTTTTATCACTTTTTCATATACTGTACCACCTTTCGTACGCGTGCACCAAAATGTCAAGATTTGGTGGTCACTGCCGGGAAGTGAGTCGAGTCGAGTGTCGCGCCACAGAGCCGATCGGTGGCAAGTGGCAGGTCACAGTACGCATTTCATGGAGCTAACGAAATTGGAAATGCTTAGAATTCCTTCTAGTAAGTGGTTCTCGCGCTTTTTTTAGATTTCAACTGCTTTGACTGGGAAGAAAGTTTGTTGTTTTGGATAGGTCCCGGCCCTTACGAACTTGGTCATCCGTATTTAGTCTTTATAGTTATCTCTTGACATTTGGTTGTTTTCTATTCTTATATGTGTAACCACTAGTTTATCAGAAGTTTCAATTCCTTATCGATCGTAATTTCGCGTTCTATCTTTTGCACTATAGATGCTACAGCTGCCTGTACTCTTAATCAGGTTCAAGATGTGGGTTACTTTACTGTTTTTGTTCCTGACTGTGATGAGAATGGAGATTATAAGCCCGTCCAGTGCGATTACAGGTATGGCTACTGCTGGTGTTCAGATGAAAATGGCAATCCTGTTCCAGGTACAACAGTAAGGGGGAAAGCGAACTGCACAGCTCCAGGTAATATTTTTATTTCTTTTATTTCGGGCTTTTGTCCTTTAATTTTAGAGGAGGTGTACTGTGTCACGAAACCAGAACGAGTGAAATTCAAAAATGAACAAATCGGACAAAATTGCCGAGACATTTTAATTTACTTTACGCAAAAGCAATAATTGGAAAATGACTGATTGAGCACCTAGTGAAAATGTACGGTTGTGATAAGTTTCTTGCCACGACTTGGTCATGGTGAAAAAGTACACCACTGCCGGACACCATGAATGGCAAATTTAATTTTACAAACTATCTTACAAACCAAGCAAAATTAAGTATCAGAACTGTAACTCTGACGACAGCAGGGTGAAGATAAGGGATATAATTCTTTGAGGGATGTTTTTAACCTTTGATCGCTATCTACAGATAAGCTGACGAAGTGTCAAAGCCATCTTAACCAACTGACTGCCTACTCCAGTTTACCATCATCCGGAGATTTTGTGCCGAGTTGTCGCGGTGACAACGGCCATTACAAGACTCTTCAGTGTGACACTTCTACCTCCATCTGCTTCTGCGTTGATGCTTTTAATGGTTATGTGTTGTCAGGGTCAAAAACTGTTGGAAATCCAAACTGTACTAAATTTGGTATGTTGACATGCAATTGATCGCCCTACTTTTTCAATTCAAACTGAAAAGAAATGTCGCCAAAAAGCGTTCGAGATCATTTAACTGCTGATTTTAAATTGTTTTCTCTTCTAGTTGACGATCGTCCACCACCACCTAGTCAACCAGGCTACAAAGTGTATGCTCATCTGGTGAACCGTGCGCCATGTTCAAGGGCCCGCAAGCTTGCATTAGGAGTGCTCACTGTGGCAAGCGTAGGCGTTTATGTTCCACAGTGCAATCGAGATGGAAGCTTTAACCAAATACAATGCCATCAAGCTACAGGATATTGCTGGTGTGTTGACGAGAAAGGAATAGAAACACCACGCACTCGTACACGTGGCACTCCGAAGTGTGATAAAGGTAAGGGCGTTCATTCAAGGTAAGATAGACGTAGAGATTCCATCGCAAAAATTATTCTGAGCTTACGATTCATTTCAACGTTTAGATAAGTAACTGCTAAAACGTTAACAACGTCCATGATTTTCGGGGAGGCTTATCCATTTTACCTTCAGTGTAAAGTGATAGATGGCTTTGATGAATTACAACTGATTGTCTATGAATATATCTGCAGTATGTTTTCCCAAATTTCAAAAGCTATTTCGGTTTCTTGAACTTTTCTTTACAGCTAATTTGACGCTTTGCGAGATGGACCTTTTGCGCGCTCGTGGTTGGCTTATAGATGACCAATCCACTGCAGTTTTCATGCCAGTTTGTCGCCCAGATGGTAGTTATGTACCGGAGCAATGCGACTCATCCATTGGCCAGTGTTGGTGTGTTGACAAAAACGGCAACGAGCTTGTAGGAACAAGAGTCAGTGGAAGTCCTGCATGTACTTCTCAATGTAAGTTTGCAGTATTAAGTCTCACGAGACTTTCCCGAAAATGCCCTGTTGAAACTATTTAAAACATGTTTGGTACCTCCAGCTAGTACAGAGTTTGATACGTCTTTTAAACTTGTTATCAGCTGGCGAGACACAATGTCTAAAAGAAGCTAAGGGCAGTGAATCAGCAGAAGGACCACAATCACTAGCTTGTGATAAGACTGGAGGTTACGCCCCTCTACAGTGTGATCAGTCATCTGGCAACTGTTGGTGCGTGGACAGACTGGGAAGGGAGATTTCTAGGACAAGGAGAAGTGATGGACTGCATGACTGTGATGCAATGGGTAAACATGTATTTGTACTTAAGTATCCTGGTTTTCTTTACTATAAAGCTAAGCTTAAGTGGAAACCCTTGGTACCAAGTGCCCGCTTAAGAGAGGAGTCCGTGTTTGGGAGGGTACAGTGCATTGTTGGAACATGTCCCAGTGTCGGCTTATGGGAGGAATCGACTTACGAGAGGTGTCGTCTGCAACTGTGTCGAGAAACTGTAATTAGCAGCGTGTCTGTGCCAGGAGGACACGGCGATAAGTTTATTTGTTGTTGCCTTTTGTGGCAGTGTACAATTTGTTATTTTAATGTTGCCTGGTTGTCTAGTAATTCAGAAACGTATGACTGACTTGGCTTTATTTCGAAGACTAACTTCATTTCAACCTGTCCGTTTTGCAGCCTTGACCTTTAAGTATTTTTGAGAAATAGTTTTTGATTTTATAAAATACTCTTTTTCTTTAGCTGGATTAAAACAATGTCAACGGGAACGGCAGCGGAGTTTAGGATGGAATGGAAGACCAGCTCCTGGCGTCTTTGTACCAGAGTGTGACACCGATGGAGAGTATGAGAGCACCCAATGCCATGAGTCGTCAGGTTTCTGCTGGTGTGTGGATACGGGAGGAAATGAGATTCCAAGGACTCGTACGCGGGGACGGGCGATATGTAGACCCTCAGGTAAGTTTGTTCTTAAAATATATTCGGTAGCGTATCAAACAATTTCTCAAGATGTTGAACATTAGCTTCGTAATGGTAGAGATAATTGTGTTCGCTCCTCATCGCAGTGACAAAATCACCTTGTCAGAGGGAACGCCAAAGATATCTAGGATGGGAAAGCCAAAACTCTGTGGACTATTTACCAGAATGCGCTGATGATGGCAGCTATAAACCTGTCCAGTGTAACTCGTCTCACTGCTGGTGTGTAGACAGTCATGGATACGAGCTTCCAGAAACGCAAACGTTAACTTCTGAGGACCTCAATTGCTCTAAAGTGCCAGGTATTGTAATCAACCTGAATAATTTTGCTAGTTTAAGGCTCTTAAAGTTCATTTATGGATTTTCCTAGCATTCAAGAAAAATTCAATGAATGTAATTCTGTTTAAGAAGGAATGCTCTTTTTTTTTCTGTTATTTATCAAGCTATCCTTAGCACGTGCCAGCGTTGGAGAAGCCGTTTTCTTGACCTTCCCGGTTACCCTGTACCTCCCGGCGTTTTCATTCCTGAATGTGAGGATGATGGAAGGTTTAGAAATGTGCAGTGTCTGGGAAGTACTGGACAGTGCTGGTGTGTCACTGAGGATGGATTTATGATTTGGACAACCACTGTTCGAGGAAGACCAAATTGTGATAAGAAGGGTAGGTTTATAATGCGTTAGGTTAGGGCTGTTTCCTCAGAAAAGAAATTTTGTACCACTTTGTCTTCTGACTTATGTCTATAAATAGCAGCCGGCATATGATTTGCATTTGCGTCGCTGATCTGATAATTAAGCATGAAGCCTGGTACTGTTTCGTACTGTGTTCTACTATGGTGAGTGGTTCGTTGCCATAAAGGCATTATCAATGCCCAGTGGCGGTTGTTTACGCTGCTGAAAGTCAGATATCTCTTAACTATATGTCCAGTATTCTCTCATTTTGTTGGGAAAGAGCAATTTAAAAATTGTAGCGCGGAATAGTTAATCGGGGAACTAAATGCTTACATTTCCAGGTCCAACAAAATGTCTCAAGGAACAGCAATTGGCAAACACGGCCCTCAGTCTAAATGGAAATGGTAACTCGTTCGTTCCAAGATGTAACCCAGCTGGTGGCTACGAAAGAATGCAGTGCGACGACGCCATTGGCGAATGCTGGTGTGTGAATAAGTTGGGGAATGAAGAACCAGGAACGCGAATAAGGGGAACCAAACAGTACTGCGATGCACCAGGTACGATTCAAAATTATGTTACTAAATAAGATGGATTGACTTAGTTAAATAAAGACATCTAACGTAACTACTATTGATCCCCTGTCTGAGGCTTAACGCCACATCATGGCTGGGTTGCTTAAAGCTGGGTAAAGACAACCCAGGTCAAGAGTGAAATTTGAATTCGCAAACAGCAAATGAAGTTTGATTCATTTTGTCTACAACTATTAACTTGATTATTATATGCTATAAAAAGAATAGAGAAAATATATCGAGGAAAAATATGCTTTTGAACAAAGGAAAAATGAAAGTGTTAATCGGCCTTCAAACAACTGGGCCCTGCAAATGTGCAAAAAAACTGTAACTTTTCAGCCCTTTCTGAGCGTTTGATCCTAAATGATGGAAAGTAGGAAAGCAGTTGATTCTCGCAGGAATTAGACGGTTTACTATTGTGGCTAGCGAGGATGACTTAAAGTTGGTAAATAGAAATGGTCTCCTGATACGTTAAACAAAGTTACATATACTTATTGCAAACTACTTATGAAGTACAAAGCACTCATTCAGGTCGTTATTGAAGAATTGTTTTAGTTTGCGTGAACTGGAAGATCGAGGGCACTTCATTCATCTCGCTTTAAGAAGTTAAAACATTTTTTTCATGTACAGCTGGCCTGTCACCCTGTCTAAAGGAATTACGGAGGGCTTTGGGATACACCAACCAAGCTATTGCTGGACGTTTTATACCACGATGTAAGGTAGATGGCTCATACGAAAATATGCAGTGTGTCCAGGATATAGGTGGTGGACAAAGATGCTGGTGTGTGGACAGTGACGGGAAAGAGTTGTTAGGAACTAGGGTCTCGGGAAAAGCCTCTTGCGTCCCTGAATCAGGTAGGAGGATTTTTAATGAGCTTATCCTCCTTAAGTGTGATGAAAAAGCTTGATGTGGTTGACCCTTGTTACAACATTCATCTTTACAACTGTTACTTATACATGGCCGTTATCGATCATCTAAAATCGGCACTGAATGTGCAACGTAAAACAAAACCAGTATATAATTAAGTTTTTAATCACATTACAGTGTAACAGAAGGTGTAGTACTTGACTGGGACGTTTAACTTAAACGTTCATTAGAATGAGGGCGGTTTGGACCAAAAAATGTCATATTATATTTGCTTGGATTAAACCCCTATGCTCCAAGAATGTTTCATTTTAGATTTGCATATATCATTATAATTTCTTCAGTGATGCCCTCTAGTTTTAATCGTGATACAAAAAAGTTGATTGTAAGTGATTGTTGATCATTGATTTGCGAGTTTCGTATCGTATAATAAGCCAAACCACGACATGATAAATTTGGTGTGTTGCTGTACATGTCAATATCTATCCTGATCCCTATAACAGCACCACAAACCATGTGCCAAAAGACACGGCGCCTAGCTCTTGGATGGGACAGCAAACCAAAGGATGGAGTTTTTGTACCAGAATGCAACTCAGATGGATCATACAAGCCTGTTCAGTGCTCGAAGTCGGGAGGCCCCTGCTGGTGTGTCGACGACAATGGAAAAGAAATCCCTGGGACGCGTGTGCAAAGTGGCAAACCAGAGGACGAATGTCTTGGTAAAGAAAAACAAATGAAACTGTGATTTTGAATTTCTGAGAATATAAACAAGCAATGCTTTTTTAGGTAACCGTCCGCTAGGGGGTGTGTAGTCCATCTGTCGAAATTATTTGACCTTCACACTGGGAACCCGAGTAAATTCGAATAAACTAAGCAATCTGATTACCCAAATGACGACAGTGGGTTGGGTGATGAGTTTAATTATTGACTGTGTTGCATTAGGACGTAATACTAATATCGTGAACTAAGTTCCTGTACGTACAAAGGAGTCATTTTTCAACTTTTTGTCTCTTCCAGTGGTAGGAATAGGACTTCCAGGAAAAAAACCAACAAGGTGTTTGTTAAACAGAGCAAGATCTCTTGCACTGGGCACTCAACCCGCAAATGGCAGGTACATACCCAAGTGCACCGATGTTGGAAAGTATGACCCAGTACAGTGTCATCCTGCTTTGGGGCAATGTTGGTGCGTTGACAAGTACGGAAACGAACTTTATGGAACAAGGCAGGAAGGAACGCCAGACTGCAATAACGTTGGTAAGATTGTCAAAGACATTTTACTGCTCTATGTTCTACATCCTAAAAAGCATTTGGGATATGCTGTTATAATCAATACATTTTTGAAAAATTATCACAGGAAAGGGCATTTTGTACTGTTCGAAGCTGTGATTTATCTGTTGTACTATAATTTTATCTTTGGTTTACATTTTAGACTATTTTTCCACTCCTTTAAAGTCGTCATCGTACATCGCAATACATCGCACAAAATTGAACCACAACATATCGATAGACTACGGCGCAATCTTGTAGGAATGTGCACGTTTTTTCAACATTCCTAGTATTTTTATTTACTTCAGGCTTCAAGTTAACGTTGTGTCAGAGGAAGAGAAAGGATCTCTCTCTTGCGATTCTTCCATTTGGACGTTATATCCCAACCTGTTCAAAGTACAACTCATACGAAAGCGTCCAATGCCATCCTTCAACCGGATACTGCTGGTGCGTCGACCAGAATGGAAACGAGTGGCAAGGTACAAGGCAAAAAGGAAGACCACTTTGTGATCACACAGGTACGTTGCTTTATACTAAGCTACAGAATCGATTATCTGCTTTTCTGAGGAAACAGACTCACAAAAACAAAATACTTTCACGTTATGAATGCAACATAACTTAACGTTTTCTTCGGCAGCTGGTTTGACTCGATGTTTGAAAGAACGTTTTGAGGCCTTTGGTCTTGATACAGTGCCACCACCTGGGCGTTTCGTACCAGATTGCAAGCGTACTGGAGAGTACGAGCGTCTCCAGTGCCATAGCTCAACTGGTTTCTGCTGGTGCGTAGATAAGAACGGTCAAGAAATACGAGGAACACGCAAACAAGGCAGCCCACCGCTTTGCTTCGAAGAAGGTAAGGTTGATTTCATACCCTTTGACCACAAATGTAAGAGGCAACTGAAATGATAAGCGGCACTTAGAAAAGACACGTATCATTCTCTCATGAAATATAATTCTACAATTTCTTGAACTATACTTACTTGGGTAACGTAACATCTCACCATTCAGGTAAGCTACCTCGCTGTCTTCGTGAACGCCGGTTTGCCTTGGGATGGAATGACATTTCGGTACCCGGACTGTTCGTCCCTGAATGCAAAACAGATGGAAAGTATGAGACAGTTCAATGCCATGCCTCATCTGGATACTGCTGGTGTAGTGACAGTGAAGGCTACAGATATAGCGGCACGAAAATTCGCGGGAAACCAGACTGCTCCAAACTATCAGGTAAACAAAGAGTAGTTTATGTAGGTAAGGCTCAATATTGGAAGGCCTAGTATTGAATGTCTGCTCTCCCTTTTTGCTGTTTAGCTAATATCAGGGTGACACTTAAACTTTCATCACCAGGGTAGAACACTGACCTTATCCCCCTTTACTGAAAAGAAGCTGTAATTTAATTGAGTGTGACGGTATATAACGTTTTTTTGTAGACGAGACGAGCCTGTGCATCCAGGACCAAGTGCGAGCTAGTGTATGGTCTACAGACTCTGACATTGTCTTCTCTCCGGAGTGCAATCAGGATGAGAGTTTCAAGCCAGTACAGTGTCACAAGTCCACCGGGTACTGTTGGTGTGTGGACAAAAGAGGAAATGAGATCTGGGGTACCAGAATAAGGGGAAAACCAAATTGTTCCGAAATAGGTACGTAAATTGCAGGTCTATCCTGCTAAGGATAAATCACTAGTCGTGCTTTTAGTGATTGATATTGCGTAATAAATAAAACGGATATTCGACCTTACTGTTCAAGGTAATTTCCAAATATTACGGCCATTCTTCTTGGCAATTACCAGGAAATGTTTTGTTAACATTGCCTAATGAATGCGAGCGTGATCGTTTTAACATCAACGGCGTTAGATCATGGCATTTAATTTTTCCCCTTGCCTTTCATTTCGTATTCAGCTGAGAAAAAGACTGTTTGTGAAATGGAAAGCATGGAAGGTGCACTATTTCAACAAACGCGCTTCCAATTCACTCGCTTTGTACCGCTGTGCGACAGCTATGGAGGTTACCGCAAAGTGCAGTGCGGATCACTTGGAGAATGTTGGTGTGTTGATCGATACGGCAATGAGCTACCGAGGACAAAGACCAAAGGAGTACCTTACTGTGGTGTTGATGGTTAGCATTTTCTCCTTATTTTATCTAACTATATGTAAGGAATTCAAATACGTCACTTTTCTGGTAAATATGCCATACATGCCGGCTGGATTTAGAATATGTTTTCCCATTTAAGAAATGGTAAACCACTGAGTTATGGATGAACTCAGGAGCTTGCTAAGCACGGACGAAGCGGAGGATACGTCTCGAGCTACTCTAGCTTTCAATGTACTGCTTTAAGATGTGTTTTTTAAAATGGGCAAATTTATTAGAGTGAGTTTACGATTGGAAGTTGATATCAAAACTATGTATGTGTGATTGCTTAATGATGTAAAGCTCAAAGGTTTACTGTTTTATTTTTTTTCTCCTAAAGTTTGCATATGCCGACGAATTTGAAAGGGTTAAATAGTAGTTATAAAATTATAACGGTAGATCAACAAAATAAAACAAAAACAAACAAAACAAAACAAACAGGACATTCAGCATATTTAGCAAACGTTTGTTCATCCAGTCCAAAAAACGATTACTCAGGCTGCTTAGATAGAGGAATAAAAGTAGTTGCTTTTTGCAAAGTCTTTTTTTGACTTTATTTCCTCTTACTACATAAAGCTGGACTGAAGCCCTGTCAGAAGGAAAGGCTAGCTTCTCTGGCTTGGTCTGGGTCAGCTTCACCTGGTAGATTTGTAGCCCAGTGTAAAAATGACGGTGAATTTAAACCTGTCCAGTGTACACCATCTGGAGACTTCTGCTGGTGTGTAGATGAAAATGGTAAACCTATTCCCAGAACTCGCTCCACTGGCAAGATTTCCTGCACTGATAAAGGTTTGTAGGTCTGTTAACTCAAAAATAGTTAATGTCTCGAAGTACTTTGGAGTATCAATTTCAAGAATGGTAGTTTTAATCGAATTAGAAATTGTGGAGGAGGCATTTTCAATTTAAGACCAACTCCTACATAATGCAGTTGTATTGGAGGAATTTGCATCGAACTTCACACACAACATATTGAGTTAGTCTGGTTACAGCCTTTGTTTCAGAAAGTAGCAGTGGTGTGAAAACACAGGAAGATAATTTTTTTGCCAGTCAGATTTCAGGCTACCCTTGTTAGTAAACGTTCGTTTTACATTCTTAGCCAATTTGATTTGATTTGATTTCGTTTTACATTCTTAGCCAATTTGACAACGTGTCAACTAGACAGACTTCAGGCATCTGGCAGGCCCGGGCAGTTTCAACCAGAATGTACAGATAATGGGGAATACAAGCCAGTACAATGTGAGAGAGGTATTTGCTGGTGTGTGGATCAGTATGGAAATGAACTGTATGGTACGAAAACGTATGGAACTCCACAGTCGCCATGTCCAGATAAATCCACTCCAGGTATTTCAAGACATGATTTGAATTTGCAGTGATAAACAATGCAATTTTGAACTGTCGTTTTTAAAGATTGTTTTAGTTTTATGCACAATTAAAAAGTGCAGTGAGGATACATTCTCAGTAATAATTACAACAAGGAACAAGCAAATTACATCAGCTGTTTTCTTTACTGATTTATTTTTTCTTAATGAAAACAGGTGTGAAGACTACATGTCAGAGAGAAAGAGATATCAATCGACTACAGCCAGTGGTCTCAATGAAGTTACCGCAGCAATTGATGCGACCGGATCGACCATGGTCGTCCATGGTGAAATGTAATGTCAACGGGGGTTACAGTTCGGTGCAGTGTCATCAGGGAACGCCATTTTGCTGGTGTGTGGATAAGTACGGTCGAGAGTTGCCAAGGACACGAACATCGGGAGAGCCAAAATGCGGACCTATGGGTAAATACTTTGCTTTTAACCTTCTTCATTTCTCACTACGGTCGACTCCAAATCTTTTTGGAGAAATGAAGGTTAAGAGAGGGAATAACGTTTGCAGAAACGAAATATGATTTGCTAAAAAAAGTGATTGATAATGGGAGGTCTGGCGCGCGCCAACAGTTATAACAAAATTATGTATATATTTTTGAGCGTTTATCAAGGTTTGGAATTATTTTGGTTTTTGATTTCGCTGCGAGGCAGGCACAAAAAGAAATATGGAGCATAACATGAGATAGACTACGAATAGTCCCCATTTTCCCTCAGGGATAGTAGAGCGAGCGAAAGGCGAGCGCGCGTGAAACTCACCTCACGCGAAGCGCCTTTCTCGCGTGAGGTGATTTTCACGCGCGCTCGCGATTCGCTCGCTCTACTATCCCTGAGGGAAAATGGGGACTACTCGTGGTCTAATTCAAAAGTGGTGATGTACATTATTGTACTCTTGGCATACCACACACCGTAAACCATACTGCCTGAAATATAAACATTCGGATTGAGGAATTGAGCTGATTATGTACATTTAAAAAGACTGGCAGCCTAACGTTTCGAACGCTGCTTTCCTTTGTAGGAACGAATTTTTGTGTTCCGCTTCCCTACTGACGCAGCACCACACTTTCGTTAGAAACTGACGCTCTCATCTATATACTATCTCAATCTACGAGAGACGTTTTGATCGACTTAATTCAATTTTCTATGAACAACATAAATTACTTGTTTTTTTTTATGCATCTGTAGCTGGTCTCACTATGTGCCAGAGGGAGCGCCAAGTAGCTCTTGGATGGAAGGGTATACCATCTGCTGAAAGCTTCGTACCCACATGTCGGCCAGATGGGGAATACAATGTTGTCCAGTGTCACTCGTCCCTTAGTATTTGCTGGTGTGTGGACAAGAAAGGAATAGAAAAGCAAGGCACAAGGACCAACGGAATTCCAAGTTGTGGACTTATGGGTGGGTTCGTCGGGCCGCATGGGCATACATTGTTGACGATTTAAACCACAACGTCAAAGCTTTGTAAAAATGGCATCTAGAATATTATTAGATACCATTGCAAAGTGTATCCTGAATCTGCCTTACACCTTGACCGAATTTTGTCAGTTGTAATGGCTCGGTCAATTTCAAGCGTGCCCCTTCCCGGGGGCAGACCCAAGGTTTGAGTCATCAAATATTTTTCTGATAGCTTTTGTCATGTAACTTTTATATGCCCGAAAGTTTCCTTTTGAAAACTGGAAAAATGTGAACTTAACCATGTAAAATTCTGGCTCCACAGGTAGAACTCTAATGACAAATGCCCCAACGAAGGAAAGGAAGGACTTGTCAAATGCTTGGCAAATGGCAGGCGTGGGGAATGGGTTTGCTTGGAATTGACTGAGCTATAATATTAACCGCTTTAGTATAAGAATTATACGTTCGCCAACTTGGTGTATAGGCTGGATCCATAGATCGGTTTCGTTTTGAGAGCAAAAGTTGCGGCACGTTGACATTTGTACTTAATTATTTTACAGCGGACTTAACCCAGTGCCAAAAAGAAGAAATGACCGCCTTGGGTCCATCAGGAAATGCGCCTCCTGGGAGATTTGCTCCCGAGTGTGATAAGAGCGGCCAGTACAATAAGGTGCAATGTTACTCCACTACCGGGTACTGCTGGTGTGTAGATTCAAGTGGGCGAGAAATACCAGGAACAAGGAGCAAAGGGCGGGTTACTTGCCCTGACAGAGGTTTGAGTTTGCTAATAACAATGTGTTCACACAGTCTATAAATCCTCAAGGACTTTAATAGCAATGTAATCCGTACCTTGAAAAAGCATGTAGTATTTGGATGAGGCAGCGTGGACAAGCGGTAAGAGCCTCCTACCAGCTGTGAGTTTTAATCACGTTATGTTTTCTTTGAATTATTTGTTTCAATATCCCTGAAAATCCCCATAAAGGGACAAGTTAACTACGTATTTAAATGGAAATTTATTTATATAGTCAAGTCGATTTTCTTTTTTTCTGCCTCCGTTTTGGCATTACGTATAAAAAAATTCGTTAATGAATAAAAAATAGTTACAAATAACGCATTAATTTTATATAGGAAACAATTCAAATTTCTCTGATTTTGTTTTAGATGTACCCAAAGAGTGCTTGTATGACAGAGAAAGGTTGATTGCATCCGGAATAGTGGACATTGCATTTCCGGAGTGTGATAGCGAAGGAAACTATAAAAAAGTTCAATGTAGTTACGCTTGGGGTTTACAGTGCTGGTGTGCAGACCGGAATGGGAATGCCTACTGGAACACGACGGTGTACAACAGTGCTCCAGACTGCACTGAAGAAGGTATTGCCTTTCTGAGATAATTTTTTCATACAATTATTTATTCAACTGTTTTTGTCACTGTTCTCTTACATCTGTTTTTAATGTTGTAGTCTTAAGAGGGAAACCAACCGAATGTCAGCAGCAGAGAGACGTCGGTCTTAATTTCCGTTCGAGGGATATTAACGTTAACCGCCAACTCCCTCAGTGCAAACCCGATGGTAGCTATGATGACGTTCAGTGTTCTGCTGCCACAGGACAATGTTGGTGTGTCTATTATAACAACCTTGAAATTAGAGGAACAAGAACAAACGGAAAACCAAGCTGTCCTGCAACTGGTAAAACCTTTCGAAATTAGTAATAACTTTTCAAAGATTTTGTGACTTTTCCTGTACACTTACTAATGGATTTATTACTAGTATATCTGTTTGATGTTCAAATTGAAATATTCAATGCAAAATGCCGCTGAAATCTCGAAATGTTCGTCAACATAGTGAGCAACCTTTCACTCTGCAATTGCATGATTTGCAGATTGTACGTTTTTTCCTTGATGAGAAACAGAAAACTTAACATTAATGAATCGGCTGATGTGGTTTTTGTACTTGTACGTAGTCAGTGATCCTGTAAGCTGCTATCGATAGCTTTATCTAAAAACGTTTTGTACGTTTTTTAGCTGGCCTAACTCCTTGCTTAATGGAGCATTTGAATGCAGAGGGCTACACGGGTTCAACCCTTCCTGGTCGTTTTGCACCTGAATGTGACTTGGATGGCAATTACAAACCTTTGCAATGTCTCGAATCTAGTGGCGTTTGCTGGTGTGTTGATAGTCAAGGACAGGAAATCCCAGGAACCCGAGGCAGAGAAAAGAAGCGATGCATTACAACCGGTAGGTTACTACATTCGTTCTTCAGAGAGTGAGGCCCCCCTTTTTAATTAAAACAATCCTTTAGTTTTAAATGGAAAAGGGCTTGAAATGTTTTATTTTTGTCCCAGTGATAGTAACAAGAAGGAAGCCTTTGGAATGTCTAAAAGAATTGATAGGTGACAATGGTTTTTGGTCCTTCGAGGGCTTAGTCCATTATGATATCATTGCCACCAATTTTCCTCCATGCCCTATTTTACTCCGACGTTTATAAAAATGGGTGCACGGCCAATGAGAAGGTTATGAAATGTCTGTAGGGAGAGGCCCCTTCTTTATTCCTTCAAAGTTGGTCCAGGAAGAATAAACCTTAACCTACTGCCAAGGTAGATTAGATTCTTAAAAAAGCCGCAGCCGGAAATAGAATTGACAAGGAGGACGACAGCGGTACATTCTGGAGAAACAACTTGGTGATTTTTTCTTTCATGTATAATGCAGCTTTTGGAAAAGGCTGAATTCTCTGTGATGTTACACACTTTAGGTGGCCGGCTGACCAAATGTCAGGATCAAAGAGATAGGGCTCTTCAAAACAGAGCGCCTGGAAGGTTTATTCCACGATGCAAAGAGGATGGTAGCTTTGAAGAGATCCAGTGTCAGGGCTCTTTTTGTTACTGCGTTGACAAGGACGGGAATGAGATATATGGGACCAAGACGTATCGTCCGGATACACCCAACTGCCTTGTTGCGATACCAGAGGAAGTCGGTAGGAGATTATATTTTTGTGTAAAAAGTGGTTTCGCTACATGAAGCCAACTTTTTTCGGCTGGAACAACGCCCGAGTCTTAAAAAAATTGATTAGATAGTTATAATACCGGAATGGAAAGGATTTCCAGTCCTCTCGGTCGAGGAATCTTATCATCGTATGCCCATTCTCACAACGCTTTCTCTTACCAAACGCTATTGTAGGACGTAAAAGAACCGCAGTGAACGTAACAATGTCTGGTAGTGACCACCCCTAGGGTTTTGTTTATCTCCGAAAGGTCCTGTTGTGGGACGTATGGTTACCGTTTGATCCTTCCCCCGGGTTGTCTTTGCCAGTAAATCTGGAAAACAAAGGGAAGAAAGACATTTATAAAAAGGTAGTCCCTTTTGTATTTTGTATAAGTGATTATTTTGTCTCGTCTCTTGTAATATGCATCACTGTATAGCAATGGACTAACTTTAAAGACGAGGACATTCTCGTGGGGCAAATTTGTTGTCTTCCTTTGTTCAGTTCATTGAGGTAACATCTTGGACCTAATTTATATCCATTCTCTTCTTTAGACCCAATCAAAAGCGACTGTTTACAAAAATACAGCCAAGCAATGGAAAACTACAACATCGACAGATTTGTTCCACAGTGTAAACCGGATGGCCGCTATGAAGAGGTGCAATGTGGGGCTGCATGGGACTACTGCTGGTGTGTTGATTCTTCTGGCACAGAGCTACCTGGGACAAAAACAAAGGGATGGCCAAAATGTGGTAAGATACATATGAAGAACACACTGCAATAATAACACGTCCATGTTTTTGGGACTTACTCGTGCTTTACAGTGTATTGTTGTGTAGTTAGGCACAATTCCCTACCTTTCCGAATGTCGCATGGAAAGAAGGCGAGCAAGAGTTTAAACCAAACTCGGTAACCTTATATAATTACGCACCTCACCAACCTAATCTCTTACGTTCATTTACATGCTTGTATGCAACAGTTAACAATTATTTTTCTGGTGGAGACAATTAATTCGAAATTCTAAAGTCGACTTGTTACTCGTAGTCAAATCTAAAGGACTATTATACCTTGCTTCTGGGTAGAACCTTCCTCTGGAGTAGATGTTGCTTTGGTTGTGGACTACGCAACAACCCCTGACGTCATAAAGCAGCTGTCAGCCTTCATCAGTTCCATCGTGGATGGTCTCGATGTTTCACCAAGTGGTGCTCATGTGGGTATTATTACTTATGGGAGCAATGCAACAATACTGATACCATTCAATAAGCTGGAAGGATCGCAACTAAATAAGGATGAAGTGAAGCGATTGGTAGATACTGCTAAGCCAATGGCTGGCAGTCCTCGGATAGACAAAGCTCTACAACTCGCCGATACAAAGCTGTTTACCACAGAGTCTGGTGCACGACCTGGAGTAACAAAGGTAATCATCTGTGCAAATTTCCATTTATTCCTCCCAAAGCGAAGGAGACATGATTAAAGGAAGGGTTGTCTTGCAGGCAATACATTGATAAGACCTTTACGTAACGGGATCATTGCATTGCATGTTATTCTAATGACGAACGATTTCATTTACTTCGAGCATTTCGTTGTGTAAAAGGCTTTAAGGGTACCTGCCATTTCATACTTTTTTCTTTTTTGCAAGTTAAAAGTTTCAAAAAGGGTACTGCGCGTTTCCGTCCATGTTGCATGTCAACCACGAGTGATGAGTTTTTCATTATACTGTAGTTCCTAGTGTTGGTATCTTTGGATGCAAAAACAGACATCGGAGCTGATGACCCTCCCCTTAGCAAGACTTCTCAAGGGCTGAAAGACAAAGGTGTCAAAGTTTACGCTGTTGGGGTAAAGCCCCGTGTAAATCAAACAGATCTAGAAGACGTAGCATCTAGGCCTTTCAACATTTACATCATAGAAGCAGATCAGCTGTCTGAGACTGGAAAAAGAATAGCCGACTCTTTCAACGGATATGTAGAAGATACTAGGGAGGAATCAGGTCAGTGTTTTTCTTGGCACCCTGGTGGTGTGTTGGTCATCATCGCAGAGAGGGCGATGATGATGATGATGATTATGATGACGATGATTATGAAAATGAATACGTTTTTGAGATACTGACGTAATGGTCATTTATTTACATTCACAGCGCTGGCATCTCCAGCTGATGTTGGAATTTTAATTGCATCCTCTCCACAAACTACACCATCGAAATGGTCATCAATCCTAGACGATGTCAACACAATGGTAGACGCATTCCCAGTATCACAGAGGGGTGCAAAATTTGCAGTTTCAACTGTGGGAAACGATACCAAGATGGCACTAAAGTTCGACACACTAACAGGTTCAGAAAACAATGTGGAGGAGGTCAAAAGACGCATATCCCAAATTCCGTATGAAAGGGTGGACTCCACAAGGTTGGATCTGGGTCTTGAACAGGCTGCTCAAGAAATGTTTTCGGAGAAGAATGGAATGAGAAGCGAAGCTTCAAAGGTATATCCCGAGGCATAGTGCTGTAAATAATCTCAGGGCGGGTTGAAGACTACAAGTATTTATGACGTGGAATGTTTGATCGTTATTAACATTTTAGGAACGGGTGCCAACTTGACAGTGTCAAATGGTATTACTTCGTGATGCTTCTGTTTTGTACCGTACCATTAACCATGAACACGGTTGTCGCTCAATTAAACAAAGCTTCTTGCAATCTTTTTGTTTTGCGGAATATCAGCAATATATTTTTGTTATTTTATTGATTGTTGGTTTCTTGTAAACATGCGCTTATTTTGTTTTTCTCTAGTTCTTACTTGTAGTTGCTGATGGAGACCAGACAAAGGATGAGCCATTTACACCGTTAGCCAGTGCTGCCCAAAAGGTGAAAGACAAGGATGTGGAAGTTATTGCATTTTCGACGATACCAGAGGAGGAAACTGATGTAGATGATCTACGTGACGTAGCCTCTGGTGATGGCGATGAAAATGTTTTTGTTGTTTCTCCTAACGCCCCTTCGCCTGCCATAACTACCAAGATTATCAGCAAAGTTAAAAGCCTTGTTAGAGGTACGTAACTTAAAGCAATATCACTTTTTTGGTCGCAACGTAAGCTATTTTGTCAGTGCGTTTATTTTGAGAGTGGTGATGTTAAACAGGTTCTATTCTTCAGGTTGATTATATACCCCTCTGTAAATATTGGTGCCGGTACATAGATTTTCAGATTGCGTTGCTGTCGCTTTCCATTAGGAATAGTTTGCAGAAATCCTTTTAATTTTAGATTTACAGATCCCAAGCTTCTGTGATATAAAAAAATATTATCCAGCATTACACAGAATCCAGAGATGTAAGCCATGTATTCGTATCCTTTATCAACTGAGACTGGTTATACGGCAAATTAGTTTACTGGAAGCTGAAGAAAGTTTATGTACTCTGCTTCATAACAAATTTTGTTTAACTTTTTCAGAACGTACATACCCAGTGGACATAGCCTTCTTGATAGGATCTTCACCATCGACAACATCGGAGCAATGGAAATTAACTTTGGACTTCGTCAAGTCTGTTGCTGACCAGTTCCCAGTTTCAGACAGGGGGGCTCGTATAGGAGCAATATCGTTCGCTGAAACCCCGAAAGTTGCCTTTGACCTCAATGCTTTGTCTGGCCCAGAACTAAGTAACTATGAGGTCAACAGGTTGATAGACAGAGTTTCCTACGACAATAGTCCTACAAGGATTGATAATGCACTGAAGCTTGCCAACGGGTACCTTTTTACATCCGAGGGTGGTGCAAGAAGGAACTCTATGAAGGTATAAAAGTGCTCAGTAAAAAAATTTTTGTCTATAGCACAACTTCTAGAGAGGCAAAACATCCGTAACAAGCCTTTAAGTGCGCATACGGTAGGAGGTATACAAATTGCTGTTTACAAGCAGGAATGCGCGGTTGAACTCGGGAATACTGTGAAATCCCAGCTAGTGGTGATAGCGGAAATTGAATTCTTGACTTTTGGATTGGAATTCCTGCATGCTGAAAACTCTGGATCCAAAACCAATCTAATGAATTTAAGCCTTTTAGTCTAACGTTGACAACACATTGGCCATATAACAGTGTAGCTTAGAGCACTGCAGTCACGCTTTACAAAAATACATAAGGAAAGGACTTGGTATAATTATTGCAACAAAAAATACTGAATAATAATGCTTTCATCTCTTGATTATCCTATTTACCACGTTTTCCGCCAAATTTCCCTTTAAGGAAGATAACTCGTTCTTCTCTAATCTATTTAAAAACCCATGATCATAATCTTTGACTTGAAGCATGTTCAAATAACTGATTATGCATCCAATCCCAGAAGGGCTCATCATTAACAATTCGTCTATTGCTTAGATTTGAATGAATGTTTTTAATGGAAGTTCTGTAATGATAGAACCTTCTTTCCATAATACTTGGTATTTTAGTACTCATGTTCTTGTACGGTACCAAAACGTTTGCGTCTATTTCGTAAATTTTGCAGATTTTGTTTGTGTTAGTTGACTCTGGACAAGCCTCTGATCAAAAGCCATCTACACCGCTTGATGAGGCTTCACTTCCGCTCAAGAACAAAGGGGTTCAAATTTATGGCCTTGCAATAGGAGGAAAGGTCCCTGCGCAGAACTTAAGGGATATTGTCTCAAGACCAGAGAACATTTTCACACGCGCAAACTCAGTCGATGATTTACCTCAGCGCCAGCCAAAAGTAGTTTCTGCCTTAAAGCAATATTTGAAAGGTTAGAAAGGATCTTTGCTGTTGGAGGAAAGAGGGAGGTCTTTTATTGCCTAGGAATTTTCAGAACTTTTTCCTCATGGATGTGTGTTACAGTGTTTTAGTTCATTTCAGATCGTTAAACGTTCCACTAAAAGAGTGACTGCGTAATTTCCCGCTTTAAAGCTGTCATAAATTAAATCAATGTTACGTATATTATGAAGGTAGTGAAGAAAATTAAATCTGCAAACAGTAATTGATTTGCCATTGTTAAGAAACCTTGTTAGATCAGTTGAAAAAACTGCCATTGATTGCTAAATTTCTATATCATATCGTGATCTGGACAGAGGAGAGTCTATCCTTTGTAAGTGAGTTCTCTCCTGTCATCTAAGTTTATAAACTGGTGACAGTGAATATAATTTGGAGAAGCAGGGAAGTAAGTTGAGGTCGATAAGAAGTACTCATACTATATTTGTTTTATTTTCCTTAGATCGTTGGGTAGGTATGGATATCGGGTTTGTTGTGGAGGCTTCAGATTCCGTGACACCAGAGGTGTGGACGGACTTCTTAGGCATCGTCAAAAGAACCGTTGACCGTTTCCAAGTAGCACCACAATCTGTTAATGTTGGGATGGTCACTTTTGGAACCAATGCCACCGTTGTATTTAACTTCAACTCTTTACCAGATGAAATACTGAACAATTATGAAGTAAAAAGACTGGTGGATACAGCGACCCTGCAGGGAGGACCGTCTAGACTTGACCGCGCTCTTAAAACTGCTTACAAATCCCTCTTTAATGAGAAAAATGGAATGAGGAAATGGGTGCCTAAGGTTTGTACTGCATGATTTTATGGGATGTTTTGTGAGGATCATTTTTCAGATCTAGAAAGAGGTGGTCGGATCACTTGCCAGCTATATAGATGCTTTTTACTTTACTGAGAATTCTTTAAAAACAATTAGAAATATCACAGAAATAGGGGTGGCCACGATCCGTTCCGCCCACCTCTAATCCCGCCCATGTCTTTCATTACATGAAACTCTTTTGTCATTTACCGTTTTTTTATTTTGTCACAGATTCTTTTCGTAATAACAGCAAGTGCGCAATCTAGTTTCCCTGGGAGGTACACACCCCTGGCCACAGCAGCTCAGCCATTGAAAGACAGCGGAATACAAGTGTATGTTCTTGGCGTGGGCCCTAGTTTCGACGAACAAGAGCTCAATGATGTTGCCTCGCGCCCAGAGAATGTGTACCAGGAACCTTTTAGCCGATTAGCGGATTTTGGGCCTGCGCTGTGGGACGATTTGCTTGCTACCATTCGCAACAAAGGTAATTTGCCAGAGATAATAGAGAGATTAAGAATTACTTTAAGGACAAACGCCATATTGAAGTCTACAATTTGGTAACTTAGAACATTGGCAAACACAAACTGTTTAAAACAATTCTTATAGATAAAACTTGCGTGAATTTTCTGATTTCTGTGCAGACGTAACGAGTAATAAATGAAAAGTAGAGGTAAAACCTGGTCACTTGGTACAAATTGACGTTTGCCGTTTGCCATAAACGAGATTATAAATCTCTCTAAAATCATCCTGGAGATACCTGGCAAAAAATGTGTGTTGGGAAAAAAAATTGGTTAATTCCGATCCCCTGATTGAAATTACACGCACAAAAAGAACAGCATTGCAAAAAGAAAATAAATAAAATAAATAAATCCTTAACTTTAACGGGCGTTTACCTCTAAGTAGTGGCACAAAATTGGTTCACTGTAGCATTAGTCTAATTGAAAATGCGGTTGCAGATTCTAGCTTTGTTCATTAATGACGTTGTAAATGCTGGTGATGACGTTGACTAAAATAATGAAGTTCCCAGCCATCAGAATTGTTTGCTTTATTTATTGAAACAATTACGCTTCTTTCATAGGCCTGTTTCCTGCAGCAGACGTAGCTTTCCTTTTGGGTTCGTCTCCTCGAACCACACCCGAGACGTGGACTGCATTCCAGACCTTTGCCAAGACAGTAGTAGACACACTGGGGGCGTCTCAAGATGGCGTCCATTACAGCGCGATTGCGTTTAACTCCGAACCTCGCGTAATATTCCGCTTCAATAGCCTGCAAGGACCTCAGTATACAGGAGAAAATGTGAAACGTCGTATTGATGAGATGTGGTATACGGGAGGGGAAACTAACATCGAAAGAGCTGTGGAGCTAGCTAATACTGTTCTCTTTAGTTCTCAGTCTGGAGCAAGGAAAGACGCCCCAAAGGTGCGTTTATAGTTAACTGAAACCTGCTATAAAATATTTCAGGCAAAAAAGGTAAGACCGCTCTATTTAATCTTTAATAATAGTTTGAATTCGGTAATTTATGGACCTTAGCCTACAGTTATTCACGAAGCATTTTAAGTAAACAGGACAAATGCAAGAGAAACGTTTTCTGAAAGTTACATTTCTTGTTCGTCTGATCGGAAAAACTTGGCAGTACTCAACTTATGTCTCGTTAACGTTCAAAAAAAAAAAAGAATATTAGGGCGCGCATTTTTCGAAAAATATCAGCAGCCAAAGGGGCCAGTGATTCAGTAATACACGGGCATCTCGAAACGACGGCCAGGGAGAAGAAAACTTTTTGGTTTGGTTGATTTGATATGCAGTGTAATTATAGCAGTCATGTACAATCATTTTGTTAACAAAGACTGTTTTTGTCCAGCTGGTTATCATATTGGTCGATGGGCCACAAGCAAGTGACCAGGTTTCATTATCAAAAGCATCGCAGCCACTCCGGGATCGTGATATTGATATTTATGCTGTCGGTGTACTGCCTTACACTCCTGAGAAAGAGTTGCAAGAACTTACCTCTGACAAGTCGAAAGTTTTCCTGTATCCAGTAGATGAACTTCCTAAACGTACACCAGAAGTTCTAAATCGATGGTATGACACTTGGTTAACTAGGTGGCGTCCCACAGGTAAGGCCTTTGTAATGTCTTAGCATTCAGCAGTTAGTCAAGCCTATTGTCGTCATTTGTCGTTAAATTTGTTTTTAGTTTAAATTGCTTGTTGGAAGAAGTTGTCGGCTTGTTTTACGTTGGAGATAATACGATATAAGAACTGAAGAAGGGAATCGTTTTTCATAATAGACACAACGCTTTTTTGGTGCACATTTTAGAAGTATCGCTGTTGTCATGAACTAGTGCGTGTTACTTTTTCAGGGTTTTCGTTCCATACTGCGCTAGATTTGATTTCTTTTCTTAGTATTGCTTTGTGATTCAGGACATAAGCGTGCATGTCTGTTGACCCATGCCGAATTTGGAATGGAGGACGGCAAATACTGATTTGTGACATGACAGCGAAGGGTTTATACAGCCAACGAATAAAACAATGAAACAGCGCTAAATATGCATTTTATGCTTTTTAAAACTATGGCAGAATGCAGTTTATCGTTGTTGTTTTTTTAAAGCACAAAGTTTGTTGATTATAACAATTTTATCCAATTCTTTCTTGCTTGCAGCTCCTTCCGATACTCAGTGCAGAGAAGAATATCAAACGGCATTGCAAAACTACGTAGTGGGACGATATGTACCACGCTGCAAACCAGATGGTAGCTATGAGCCACTTCAGTGCCGTACGTCGTATTGTTTCTGTGTGGATAAGTATGGAAAAGAGGTTCCTGAAAGTCGAAAATCTGCCTCGGACCCTCCAAACTGCGCCAAGTTTGGTACGTGAGATTTGATAGAATTTAAGTATATCAACAACCTAAAGATGGACATTTATGGGGATCAATACAGAGGAAAAGAGTTTGATTTAAAAAACGTTTGCATCTTGGCCAGCGGAGTAAGGTTGAATAAAGAGTAAGACTGAGAGCAAACTGCTTTGTGCCCTGAGGCCTACGCAATGCGCTCGGTGAAAAACAGACTCACCGTCATAAAATTACCCTGGGCCATATGGGGAAATAGAAGTCCTCGTATTACTTATTGATGGAGCTAGGTGACATATTTCTCCATTCTTTCTTTTCCCTAATTGATCTTATGATCTTTTAGACCGCCGCCTGGTTAGCTCAGTTGGGAGAGCGCCGGTCTGCTGAGCGGGAGGTCGCGGGTTCAAACCCCGGCCGGACCAAGACTTAGGGTCTTTAAATGACCGAGAAGAAAGTGCTGCCTTTGTAATGACATCTGCAAATGGTTAGACTTTCTAGTCTTCTCGGATAAGGACGAAAAACCGTAGGTCCCGTCTCACAGCACTTTCACTGATCTGTTCTTGTGGGACGTAAAAGAACCCAGACCCCGGTGGTGTGGCCAACCTTAACGGGTTGTGGGATTGGGTAGGGATGGCACCTTGCCTGGGACCTTTGAGTCCCGTTTGTGCCTATTCCCTCTGGGCAGGCCTGTGTCCAGAAAAGCTTGTAAAACTAAAAACTAAAAAATTATTTACTAGCGCCCGTTAATTCAGCTAGCTGATTAATGTAGCTAAATGATACATTGCTCCATTCTTTCCTCTCGCTTCTTGATCTATGTAATTATTAGCCCCTGTTAAATCAGGTAGCTGTCAGAATTTTCACACTCTCTCATAACCAGATGTTCACTTTCTTTTATTATCATGATTTCAGTCGATCCACCAACAAAGTGTCAGCAAGGGTATAAGGAAGCAGTGACCAAACGTTTGTTTTCAAGAGGTGGAACCGTCCCTCGGTGTCGACCAGATGGAACATACGATGAAGTGCAGTGTTGTCCAAGTGGTTATTGCTGGTGTAGTAACAGCTCCGGATCGATGTATGGCTTAAGCAAGGGTTGGCCTCTATGTGCCACTGGAGGTTAATTTCAATTTACTGCCTTACAGGCTTTAGACATGTTCGATTGACCGTGTACCGAACTACAAATAAATGAAATTGATTAAGAAACTGTTCGATTAGAGATTTAGCATGTAACTCTCGCTGACATACAATTTTCAGCTTCCTGTTGCATTTCGGTGGTTCTTAAACCTTCATAAAAGCGATTTGCACTTCTTTGGATTCTTTTCTTTTCTTTCTTAAAAGCTGGAATAAAGTAGAAAAATGTAGTCCATACTTTCATGTCATTGTGATAATAATTACCGAAAAAAGAAAAGAGTACTATGTAAAGCTCACATAGGTTTTGCTAGATTGAAAGCTAAAAGATGTTAGACCTCTCTATATTTTGAAAGTGAAGCCAATCGATATCGCTAGAATTCCCAATTCTTCACAAAGGTAGCTTGCAACGCTTTGACGCATTTTACTTTATATTAATTTTGTAGGGAAGCCACAGACACCTTGCCAGCGACGATTCGAAAAAGCATTTTCAGTTCGTTCCTATGATAAGTATATTCCTCATTGCACTCCGGATGGGAAATTTTTCCCAGTACAGTGTGACGCATCTGAGTGCTTCTGTGTGGACCAGCAAGGAGCAGAAATCAAGAACACAACTAGGCTGCTTCCAGAATTTCCATCCTGCGATTCATCGTCAGGTAAACTGTTAATCCAGTTTTTGAATTTTTGTGCCTGATTGATTCAGGAAATAATTGAAGTTTTCCACATAACGAACTGTGAATGTAGCTCTAAAAAGCAGCAAGAAATTCCAAAAACTTTTCGACCTTTTATTTGCTGAAAAAGATTTATCAGGTTGTTTGAGCACTTAAACAGGTAATATGCTAACTTGACATTCACTTTTCTAAGAACAAAAAATGATTGTTAATATGGCTGGATATTTTTGGTAGCTCTACCTTTGTCACCGTGCCAGAGAGAGAGGCTTTCAGCAACTGCGAATCATGTCATAGGAAGATGGGTGCCACAGTGTCAGGAAGATGGCTCTTATTACCCAGTACAATGTTCAACTGGTTGGGATTGTTGGTGTGTCGATGAGGATGGAAGGGAGATCACAGGTTCTAGAGGAAGAGGTTGGCCGGACTGTGAGCAAACTGGTAAATATAATAAGTGAAACAATTATCACAGCAGTTGAATAGTAGTACTGCATTCTCGCTTTGTTTAAAAAGGCAAGTTTTGGTAACTGATTGGGAAGGTGCTTGCGAAAGACGCACAAATTACGGACAACTAATCTCTGCATTCAGGTTAAGCTACAGAAAGAAATGCACTTGAAGAGGAACAAGGTGCCGTTGGGCAACCATATCATTTGTACAAATGTATTAATCGTTGCTTCTGGCTGCCCTCAGTTCCTGATGCCTTTTGTATTTATTGAACTATGACACCTGTTGTTGTCTTATACGTACTTGCTGCAAGTAAAACGTAAATAACAAACGCGCTTATAACTCAAAATGACCTTCAGTCTTGAAAATAAACTTTGTTACATGCGATTTGCTCAATCTTTCCTCTACTTTTCAACAGTTAAAAGGCCGACCGAATGTCGAAGCCACTTCAAAACAGCTTTACTTCGCCTTCTTCCTGGACGATTTGTTCCTCGCTGTGGAGCAGATGGAAGTTATGATCAAACACAATGTGTCGGTTCCATTTGTCTCTGTGTTGATAAGCGTGGTATTGCAATTCCTGGAACATCAAGACCGCGGTTTATTAAGCCCAACTGTGAAGCTCGAGGTAAAACAAGATAAGACCTATTCCAATTGGTAATGCGATGTTTTTTTGGCTTCGTTCTAAATTATTTTTAAAATGTGCTTAATTTAAAACCCTGAATGAAATAACTGAAGAACATGGTCTTTGAAAATGCCTATATATTATCAGTTTATCTTATCCCTTCTTGGCAATTTCCCTCCTTGGGAAAGCTATAGAATCGCGGATTATCTCGGAGGCAGCGTGGCTGAGCGGTTACAATGCTGGAATTGTAATCCTCGAGGATTAGTCCCGCCCTGACTGTAACCTGGATTCAAATCCGAATTCAAATCCTCGGCCAGGCTTATAAAATAGTAACTGGTTCGCCTCCTACAAGATTGGATTCTCAACCACGTTTTGGTCCATTTGAATAATTTGTTTCATTATCCCTGAAAAGCCTCATTAGGAGAAAGAATAACAACGTATTTAAAGTTACATTTAAACTACAGCAGGTCAAATAATGTATTTTTGTTGCCTTACCATCAGGTTGGAGATTGACAACATGCCAACGACACTTCCAAGATTCATCTCGCTTCTACACTACAGGCCGGTTCACTCCAAAGTGCCACACAGACGGTCGTTACAAAGAGGTCCAGTGTTATGGAAATAAATGTTTTTGCGTTGGCAGTGATGGCCTGGACTCCGGTTTCAATCAAACTACGCTTCCTCAAATTCCAATCTGCCCAACAATTCCCGGTAAGACATGTTGCCCGTTGCTGCCTGTTAACAAGGCTAATATAGTGCTGCCTTGAGAATCACGACGAGAACCTTTTTTTGGGGGGGGGGACAGATTACATAAATTTCCTTCATGCCTTTGCAAAAACTTTGACTTTAAAAATTTGACTACTGGATGTAGAAATAAATCTTACAAATCCTTCATTTTAACCCGTGCTTTGTAGAGAAATCAACAAATCGGATACGAGGAGGCAAACGACGAATTCGCCGCTTCCGATAATCTGATTGGTTATTCTTTTGAGCCGCAGTGTACTATTAAACACTGCAAAGGACCCAGTAGAATCATCTGTTGCACTTAAACACATGATATCAACTTGGATCAGTTGCTTGCTTTCATTATCATTTTAAAGTGGCTGTTGAAAGCTAGTCCTATTCTCAAATGTTTGCTTTTTCCGTTATATATAAAACTTACAAGAAATACTTTTTGTTTTTATGCTCTTTTCAGCCCCTGCCAGCGGCAGATCTAGGGGAGTGGCCCGGGGGGGCCCGGGTTCCCCCTTATTTTTAGACCAAAATGAGGCCGGAAGGGTCGAAAAAAATTTTTTGGAGACCGGCCTCCCCCTTATGTCAAGGTCTGGATGACTGCCCCCCTCCCCCACCCCCTTATCTGAAGGTCTGGATCCGCCACTGCCTGCAGTTCAACTTTTGCATGCCATTTATTTGTTGCAGATACAGAGACTCCTAGCACACCACGATCACCATGTGAAAAGCAACGTGTCGCAGCTCTTCAAGAATCTTCAGATACATTTGTCCCGTATTGCAGATCAGATGGCTCATTTGACCCTATTCAGTGCCAAGGTTTGATGTGTTACTGTGTAGACAGTGATGGAAAGACAAGAGAAGGAACAGACAAACCACGACCAACTCGACCAGATTGTGAAGGTAGATGTTATAATATTTTTTGGGATGTTCAAATACGCTTCTTCCTTTCTTCGCTCGCTTGATATTAACGTTGCCTTTTTACAAGCCAAATCGCTCAAAGTGTTGCTTTATTGAATTGGTTTTTGTTCTCGACGACGTAGAGGACGTCGCTGAACATTTCACGTGTATTTTAATCGTTTTCAGTGTTGGTTTTTAGCTTTTTTTTTATCGCCATTGGCGTTGAGTTAAACTAGAGAACTGTTTCCTCGCAACATAAATTAGAGTTGAACTTAAATTGTAACATTGTTGAGTTTAGGGAGGAAAAGAGTGGTAAAAACTGTGTTAATTTCATTTTAAACAGCTCCTAGTCCCACCAAATGCCAGAGGGCTTATCTTCGAGCTCTGGAACAATATCGTCCAGGTCGATTTATTCCACGTTGTACACGCGATGGCCAGTTTGATCCTATCCAACTAAGTGGGCCAGACGCCTATTGTGTGGATCGTGAAGGAAACGAAATACAAGGAACAAGAGTAAGCAGGCCATTTAGGCCTGACTGTAGTTCAGGTATGAAAAATTAATTTTTATTTTGGCCAACTGCTAATAAAATGCATCTCTTTCTAATGTCGGCCACGTTTCTACCTTAAAGTAGAAAGAATTTAACTAACTTCGGTCTTTACTTTCATGTTTCAGATAAACCAGGTCGATGCCCATTGCCTTGGAAGGGTTTGGACGGAATCTGTGATTTCAAAGGGGATGAATGCCAGCGTGACAATGACTGTGAAGATGACAACAAGTGTTGTTTCAATGGTTGTCAGAAGGAATGTGCTAAAGTGCCTAGTGAAAAATATGGTAAGGCTAAGTTTCATTCAAACAACGGAGTATATCTTTTTGGCCCTAACTATGTGCAGAAATTGTTAAAAAGTTAAAACTCTTTGTTTTATTTCTCCACAGGGCCAGCTTGCCCCACTCCCATGGATACCTCGTTCATCATAGATTCATCCGAATGTGCTACCCGTCGCAACTGGATTCTCATGCTGAATTTTATCCAGACCTTAGTCAATTTCTTTGATGTGTCACCAGCTGGGGGTCGCATTGCTCTGTTACAATACAGCACCAATGCAAACGTGGTTCTCAAGTTTAACACGTTAACGGGACGTCTTCTTAATGGCGCAGAGGTTGTCAGGAAAGTTGGTCGTCTTCAGTGCCAAGAAGGATTGAGAAGAATTGATAAGGCATTAGAGCTTGCTGACAAGGAAATTCTTACTTCTGCTGGTGGAATGAGAAACATCTCAAGGGTAAACACACTTACTACTGCAATGTTCTTTCCCACTCCTAAGTAGAATACGAGCCATTAATTTAAATGTACACACCATCTCTTACACGTGCTCCAGTTGTACTAATGATTCACTATAACGTTCTTACCATACAGCCTGTACTGGTAATCACAACAGGAAAGCAAACAACAGACCAAGGCGTCTTGACCGATCTTGGTGTGGCGTCTTCTCGCTTACAAAGCAAAGGTGCTCCAGTCTTTTCTTTGGGAATAGGAGAAGACTTAGATACCTCAGAACTTGGCAAAATTGCGTCTGGACCTGATAACGTATTTTCCGTGGACTCATTCGAAGACTTAGACGACAAAGTTAAGGAAATAAAGAGAGGCTTATGCTTAGGTATTAAATAATGACTTAATGTTATGTGTATAAACATATATTTATCTCAGTATACTTACATATACAGCTGTAAGTACTCTTAAGTGTTGCATTTGTTTATGTCCGGTATTAAGTAACATTGCCTTATTTTCCATCGCAGGGTTGCCTCTTACAACAACCGCAACCCCAACACCAACACCAGGACCATCAACTACACCGACAGAAGGTAACGTTTTCCAGACTGTGTACGTCAAGAATGCTGACCTCTAAACAACTGTATTGTTGATCATTACTGTACTTAGCGCATTTATCTTTTTTGATACGCAGATCCATGCAGGACGGTTGGTTGCAACGCTCCCTACAACGTAGGCTGCAGAGTTGTAGACAATGCAGCAGAATGCATCTGCCCTACATGTCCGGATACGATCAGTCCTGTCTGTTCATCAGATGATATAGAGGACCCGTCTGAGTGTTTTATGAAGAGAAGGTCTTGTCTCAGCGGCGATCTGGTCACTGTTGCTAAAAGTGGGCCATGTGGTATGTGCTATTTGACTCTATATGCATTTGTCTTTTGTTTGAGAGTTTCTTTCATGTAATAGTTCAGTTGTGGCAACTTATTTCGAACCAAAGTACACATTAAAAACATAATCACGAAAACACGTTTGAAATCTAATCACGAAATCCTCTACTTATTTTATTATATATATAGGGTCTTTTTTCCCTTTGGTTGCGGTTGTGTTTAACGTCATGACTTATTGTTTAAATAACTAACCCATATCTTCAGTAATTACATTCAGCTGTTTCAGTACAATGGCTAGGGGTTATGGCATTCTATACTTCCATTTAATTGCCAATTAAAATGAAGAGACTTAAATACAGCTGTAAAAGGACGTTATTTAAAGGATGTTTGAATAACACAACTTTTTTTCTTTATATTTGCAGATAAGGATTGTAGGGCCATTGTAGACGTGGCGTTTGTAATTGATTCGTCGGGAAGCATCGGACCCGCCAACTGGGAAAGAATGAAGCAATTCCTTAAAGCAGTGGTCAGCAAACTTGATATTAGCCCCTCTGCTACACGCATAGCAGTTATTGCGTACAGCACCGAGCCTGAGGTGGTTATGCTATTCAGCAACCGACAGAGTACGGAAGACGTAAATAGAGCATTTGACAGCATGCGCTGGCAACGAGGATTTACATTTACCGATAGAGCTTTGAAACTTACAGATAGTGATTTGTTCCAGACGGCAAATGGAATGAGACCAAGCGTACCAAAGGTAAAGGGTAAACTTTCATTTTCTTGCCAAAGTCGTCGTAGGAGAAAGTATAGTGCGGCCCCTGCCGGCCCCTGCCTATGTGAAGACGCTTCTAAGTTTCACGGAGTGTGTTGCTTACAATATAAATCCAATACCAGCTACGAATTAAAGGTCCCCAAAACAAAGTGCAAGGCCTTTGGGGACAGGACCTTTGATCGTGCTGGCCCCTCACTGTGGAACACTCAGGCTAGGAAGACTTTTTTTTACTTTGCTTGGGATTTGCTCATTGAACCGATTCTTGTACGGTGACTGCGATGATTTATTTTCATCTTCTCTAGCTAGGTTTACTGTTTGTTATGTGCTTTTGTTTGTCAGCTTTTGTTGGCGCTTTAGAAAATGCACCGTGTATATAGTTTTAGTGTTATATAAATAAATATCTCTGACTATATCTTTATCTTTGTACACAGAAAAACTAGTGAAGACGTTTATCACTACCGAATGGGCATTGAAACTCCAGTAAATTGTTTGATACAAAGCATCCCTGTATGATGTAGAAATAGGAAGCGTGTTCATCCTGTCGTAAGAAATTATCTGGACATTTGCTTTTCTTTTTTACAATCAGGTCTTAATTGTGTTTACTGATGGGAAACAAACAACATCTCAACCGTACACTGAACTATCGGAGGCATCTCAGGGAATAAAGAATAAGGGAATTGAAGTGTACGCCGTTGGAATTGGAAAGGGCGTAAATGTATCCGAACTCCAGAATATTGCATCCAGCAAAGAAAACGTTCTACTATCAACATCCTTCAAGGAGGTCATTAACCTCACTGTTCCGATAAGAAGGACGATTTGCGCCCGTGAGTTTCTCTTTTTGAACTGAGTGTTTTTTTATGGTCTTCTTAATTTGGTATTTGTATTCTAAATGTCGGGGAGGGGTACTTATTAGGAAACCCAAGCAAAAACGACTTATTGGAATACTAAGAAACTGTAAGTAATTAAGGTAGGAAAAAAACGAAGATTGTTATCTTCTGTTCACATTCTCTAGAAAACGTTAAAATAGGAAGCTTCACCTCGAAGTCGTGCAACGACGGCAAAGAAATGTACAAAAATGCGTGCTGCATTTGCAAAGTTGTTGTTTTGCTGATCTAAACCTGTTTTTTAGTTTTTTGCCGTTATCGTCGCCGTCGCCGTCGCCGACGTGGGTGCTTAAGCTCCCTATTCTTATGACATGTAACACCTTGATCGTAGCCTTAACATGTTCCTTACATGTTGTGTTGCTACGTGACGTTTCACCTGTTGAGCAGGTATCCTCTCCCATTTTAATGTTATGGCTAACATTGGCTGTTAATACGTACACTAATACGAATGAATCATGAATATAAATTTGATAAACTTAGTTGCAGTTAATTAGCTAAAGACAAAGACCTGAGAATGAGCGTTTAGGCTTGCCTGTAATAGAAACCTCCTAACTTTACGCTGAGCGGATGCAATAAAAACGTTTTCCTTTTTCGCTAATCTTGCAAAGTGGTGGAGCAGGTCTGTTATGAGTTTGTCTTGCTTGTTGATGATCTTTATATGTGTAATGCGGATGAAAGAGGTAAATGTAAAGACGTGTTTAACGATGAACATAAAGTAACCTGAAAATATTCCAGTGGTGCAGATGGAATACACAAATTATTTTGGTATCTGAATTTTTGTTCTCTCGTAGTGCCTCCCGTAACGGTGACTCCAACTCCAACTCCAACACCAACACCATCCTCAACACCAACACCAACACCAACACCAACCGAAGGTTAGTTATTGGTAGTAGATAAACGACAACATTAAGAAAAGTGAATATGGTATGAGTATTCGCAATCCACACCCAGATATGAAGGGGTACAAAACCACCTCCTTTCCTACGTTGGTTTTCGCAATTATTATATTTTGACAAAATTAGACGATTTGAAGCCCCGCAAAATGAAATAGATGTTCAAAAAATGGTGGATATCACAAGATATCTCCTAGCCCAAATCCTCACCTAGGCGCTAGCATTTTTGTCGACTTCATGCCGAAATTAAAAATAATTGTATCGTATAGCAAGTGCCAAAGTTCTGAGTTTTTCCAGCATAGCTGGAAATTACTGTCATGCTTGAGCATACGGGCAATATTTTGCCAGGAGGGGGCGGTAAACAATTTGCCCAAAAAGTTGTCGCATGTTGCCCAAATTTTCACGAAAGAGTCGAAAAGATGCGAGGGTCATACGATGCAACAACTTAGGCCTACATGTGAAGTGAAAATATTCTTACATATGAATGTATCTTATGAGCTCATAAAATACGTTAATAGCTGTCTTTTAACAAATTGTTAGAAAAGCTACAGCTATGAAGTGTTTGGTACAGACTGAAACGTTTTTATCGCCTCTCTATTTTGGTACCATAAGCTTTAATAAGCAAAGGAACTACAGTTTAACAAGTTTGAAGGCGTTTAGTTAAATAACTAAGCCGCTGTTTATTTCTCTTCCTTAGAAGAGGTTTGTCCCATTCCTATGGATACGACCTTCGTTATTGACTCATCAGTGTGTGATGACGATAACGACTGGAATCGCTTGCTGAAGTATGTGCAAACTTTGGTCACCTTTTTCAATGTATCACCATCCGTAGGGCGTATTGCCCTCGTCCAGTTCAGCACTGACGCGAGAGTTCTTCTCAAGTTCAACACGTTATCTGGTAACCTTCTGAATGGCGCAGAAGTCAACCAACGAGTTGGTCAATTAAAGTGCTTAGGAGGTTCCAGAAGAATTGATAAGGCATTAGAATTGGTAGACAAGGAAGTACTGACTGTTGCCGGTGGAATGAAGGACATCTCAAGGGTACTTACAATACTAGTAATAACCGAAGTTACTGAGTGCGGGCGACAATGGTCGAAGGTGGTAGATGGTCAAAACGCGAGTGATTAGATTACGAGTAATAGAAGGTCTTAACAGGCGCAATCAGATACGCGTTTTGTACATTTCATTCATTCATTCGAAGCTGGTTACATACGTGTCGCGCATGCGTAATAGCTTGCAACCTAGAGATTAGGATTGCGGGCCTCTCTTGTCGCCTGCAATAAGCTAAGTGAATGCATTTTATTTTATTGTGTCCTTTGTTGAATTCGCATCCATTTGCATGACTGTTAGTTGGGATGTCAGTTGATTTAAGCTTTTTTTCGCAGCCTGTTTTTGTAATCACAACTGGGAAGCAAACGTCAGACGAGGGCGTGTATACTCCACTTGATATAGCGTCCTCTCGACTCCAGAGTAAAGGAGCAGCTGTGTTTGTCTTGGGTATAGGAGACGACGTGGACAGCACAGAGCTTAGCCAAATTGCCTCTGGACCTAAAAATGTGTTTACAGTGGATTCCTTCAACGACTTGGACCGTAAGGCCGATGAAACAAAGAGAGGCATTTGTATTTTCGGTAAAATATATGCAAATTTACTTTTATTTTCTAGAAGAAATGTCGTATTTGTTTGAAACACTGTCACTCAAGTAGAATGATTACCATTTGTTAGTTTTGCTCCTTACTTATTTTTGTCTTGCTGTAGTGCCAACTCCATCTGTCACGCCTACACCAACGCCAACTCCAGGAGGTAAGGGATAACTCCATCTGTCATTAGATTATCACCAAATTGCCAACTTTTCAGGAGGTCCGATTCCCATGGATACGACTTTCATTATCGATTCGTCCTTATGTGATAGTGACAGCAACTGGAATCGCGTACTGTACTTTGTCCAAACTTTGGTCAGATTAGGTTATCTCATAAATTGCATTTTATTTTACTTTTCATGAAGACGAAGTATGTCCGATTCCCATGGATACGACTTTCATTATCGACTCATCCTTATGTGATAGTGACAGCAACTGGAATCGCTTACTGTACTTTGTCCAAACTTTGGTCAGCTTTTTCAATGTATCACCATCTGTAGGGCGTATTGCCCTCGTCCAGTTCAGCACTGACGCGAGAGTTCTTCTCAAGTTCAACACGTTATCTGGTAACCTTCTGAATGGCGCAGAAGTCAACCAACGAGTTGGTCAATTAAAGTGCTTAGGAGGTTCCAGAAGAATTGATAAGGCATTAGAATTGGTAGACAAGGAAGTACTGACTGTTGCCGGTGGAATGAAGGACATCTCAAGGGTACTTACATTACTAGTAATAACCGAAGGTTACTGAGTGCGGGCGACAATGGTCGAAGGTGGTAGATGGTCAAAACGCGAGTGATTAGATTACGAGTAATAGAAGGTCTTAACACGCGCAATGAGATACGCGTTTTGTGCATTTCATTCATTCATTCGAAGCTGGTTGCATACGTGTCGTGCATAGGTAATAACTTGCAACCTGGAGATTAGGATTGCGGGCCTCTCTTGTCGCCTGCAATAAGCTCACTGAATGCATTTTATTTTATTGTGTCCTTTGTTGAATTCGCATTCCATTTGCATGACTGATAGTTGGGATGTCAGTTGATGTAAGCTTTTTTTCGCAGCCTGTTTTTGTAATCACAACTGGGAAGCAAACGTCAGACGAGGGCGTGTATACTCCACTTGATATAGCGTCCTCTCGACTCCAGAGTAAAGGAGCAGCTGTGTTTGTCTTGGGTATAGGAGACGACGTGGACAGCGCAGAGCTTAGCCAAATTGCCTCTGGACCTAACAATGTGTTTACAGTGGACTCCTTCAACGACTTGGACCGTAAGGCCGATGAAACAAAGAGAGGCATTTGTATTTTCGGTAAAATATATGCAAATTTACTTTTATTTTCTAGAAGAAATGTCGTATTTGTTTGAAACACTGTCACTCAAGTAGAATGATTACCATTTGTTAGTTTTGCTCCTTACTTATTTTTGTCTTGCTGTAGTGCCAACGCCATCTGTCACGCCTACACCAACGCCAACTCCAGGAGGTAAGGGATAACTATATATAATTGCTCTCTCTTTTTCTTTTATTAGATGATCTCATAAATTGCATTTTATTTTACTTTTCATGAAGACGAAGTATGTCCGATTCCCATGGATACGACTTTCATTATCGACTCATCCTTATGTGATAGTGACAGCAACTGGAATCGCTTACTGTACTTTGTCCAAACTTTGGTCAGCTTTTTCAATGTATCACCATCTGGAGGTCGTATTGCCTTGATCACGTATGACACGGACGCAAGCGTGGCTCTCAAGTTCAACACATTGGCTGAAAATCTCTTGAATTCCGCGGAAGTCAACCGACGAGTTGGGTTATTGCGATGTCAGGGTGGCTCTAGGCGAATAGATAAAGCACTGGAGCTGGCAGAAAAGGAAGTTTTAACTCCTGCTGGTGGAATGAGAGATATCTCAAAGGTAAAGTAAAGCTGTCATTGACGCTAAATGATAACAGAAACACAGCAAAGTTTCTTACTTGTTTGAGTTTTTCCATCTTTTTACCTTTTCCTGAAATTGCGTCTGATAATTTGATTTGCCTCATAGCCTGTTTTTGTGATCACTACTGGAAAGCAAACAACCGATCAAGGAGCATACACGCCTCTTGATGAAGCTTCTGCTCGCCTCCGGACTAAAGGAGCCGCCGTGTTTGTCCTGGGTATAGGAAAAGACGTCGACACTTCAGAACTCAATCAAATTGCCTCTGGACCCAAAAATGTGTTCACTGTGGACTCGTTCGAGGACTTGAACGACAAAGCGAATGGAGTTAAGCGAGGCATTTGCATTCTAGGTAAATCATTAATTGAGAGTGGTGTTTAGAGTTTAAAAATTCTTTACCCTTCAAAGGCTCACTGCTTGAGATGGATTTCTGAATGCAATTGCGGGAGTTCATTTTCTCAGGTTTATGCAGCCGTAATTTTCGTTGATGTGATAAAGATTGCCAAAATGTTACCTTTAAATGGTAATGGTACCATTGCACAGTTGACATCCACCTGGCTTTTGTAGAAAGTTGTATCGTGTTTTGTCTGTTACTTGAAGAAAAATATTCATTTTGTCATAATTGTTCTAAACGTTTGCTCATTATGCCTTGCATGATATCCTCTAAGCGGTTACTTATAGAAAGTTTAATTTACTTACTGTACGCTGTTATGAAACCGAAATAATCACCAGTCGACTTGTGCGATGTATTTGCTCACTGACCTCTAACTGTCCCTTTTCAGTTCCAACTCCATCCGTGACAACAACGCCTACTCCAACCACAGCAGGTAAAATGTACTCACAGCCTTTGGGAACGTTTCAATATCCTGTCAACCTGCAAGCTTCCTGTCTGCTAGATAAGCCTGATTTAAATAGGGATTTTTGTTACTCATGACGTTTTCTCATTGTCGTTTGTCGTGTATCCCAACCGTATATTTTGTTTTTTTTTTGCAAGGAGAAATCGTATACATGCATGCATATAACTGCCAAACGAAATCCTCGTCTTGAATTTGACCAGCAATTAACTATGTAAACTACTGCAACAACATTCCTTTCCCATTGTTTTATTCGCGTGGTAAGTGACCAACAACAGTTTTGAAATAAAGTGTTGACAGGCTAAACACAACCCATGGTAGTGTGAAACCGTGTGACCCCACAGTTACCTTTTTCCTTCTTTTCGTTCCTTCGCTAAGGTTATGCAGTGCACAGAGTATTCTAAAATCTGACCTAATCTTACTTTTGCCGCTCTGATTCTAACATTAATTAGAGGTCATAAAGCTTTCCCAGTGTTTCATGGTGGTCGATGGAGTAATTATCGGGTTACCCTGCCGTCAAAGTCAACTTTCCACAATATGGAAAGTACAATGTGATTGGCTAAGCTTGGGAAAGGAATGTTTTTTTCGGTTGAGCAGGCGTTTGTGGGGAGGGAAGAAATACGAGCACCCCTAAAAACTCTTGAGTGGGAGGCTAGCCCTACACGGCCGGAGCTTAACCCTATTAACCAGTAGTATTGATACTCTTGCCCATCGCAGCGTTACCATCAGCACCCATTTATACACCTGGGCCCAGTTGTTCCAAGGTCGGTTAGCGCTAACCCAATGTGAAATTTTAATTCGGGCTTCTTTTTTCCTTTGTTCAAAATCATTTTATCGGATAATTTTCTCTATTCGTTTTCGAGCATTTAGTTATCAAATCGTGGACAAAAATATTATTAATCATTATTTTTAAGCTTTTGTATATTGAATATTCAAATTTCGTACAAACCCTAGATTATCTTCAGCCTGCTTAGCTCAGTCACCACGCCTCCTGAGTAGTTATTTGGTTTGCGTTGATTTGGGATAAACGAGTAGTTATCTAAGAAGAGCTTTTATTTGTCGTTACACCAGGAAAGAGAGTGGAACACTGAGCCAATAACGAAAAAAAATGGAAAACTGAGCCAATAACGTGAAACGTGCCCTACCATTACTGGAACGCACTCAACCTTCTCCTCAAATCCACGAGTACCCTTGTAAATCAAAGATATTTAGGGAGCTAGAATTCTTGCCAAAACAAGTTGTTTTTGGTTCCTTATCTCGTACCACTATCATTTACCTCTAATTATTGTTGTTGTCTTGTCGCTGTTTCCATTTCAGTTTCCACTTCGACTAGAGTGACACCAACACAGACACCTGCAACGACGCCAGCGCGTAAGTGTTTTTTTTACGTTGAATCGTCTTAGATCAAGAGGTCAAACATGTTAATAGTTGTAATATTGATTGTTATAATTTATTTAACATTAAATCAATTAAATGATAGTTTAAAGAGTTTGTTCGTAAACTAGACACCCATTGAAGTAATTATTAGGGTATTTTTATTAGTATTGTCATTACTATCATTATTATTATTGTTTTAGAAATCTGCATCAATCGTGTAAAGTCACACGTATTTCCTCTAATAAGAAAAATGTCGACAAGTTCTTTCTTTGCTTTTAAACATTGTTCTTACTATTTAATTTTCTACAGCATGTAAAGCTATAGCAGATGTGGCATTCATTGTGGATTCATCAGGGAGCATTGGTCGTAGGAAATGGCCTTTGGTGTTGGACTTCTTAAAGGAGCTCATCACTTTGTTCAATGTTGGACCAGATGATACTCATATCGCTGTAGTGGCCTACAGTACAAACCCGAAGCTTGAGTTTACTTTTAATGCGCTATCTGGAGCTCAAATTACTGTGGAGGAATATGGAAAACTTATTAATAAAATACGGTTTCAGAGGGGCTTCACGTACATTGACAAAGCTCTGAAAATGGCTGACGAACAGGTGTTTGTTACAAGTGCTGGGATGAGACCAAACGTAGACAAGGTACACATACACACCATGCAGTCGAGTGAAACGAAATTTATTTGGGGTAACGTTGGTTTGACCTTTCCTACGTCTCTCCTTATGATAATCTGATAGCAAGTTTTCAGAAAGCATAAACTAGTGGACTGGCTTCATGAGATAAATGAAATATAATTTTTACCTATTGTAATTAACTTAGGGCAATTGAAGTTCCTACAGCAAAAGGCGACGAAATGATCAGGGGCTTAAAGGAAAGTAGCGTTATATCAACTCGATTAAACGCCATCCTCGAACAAACGCCACCTCCCTCGATTGAAGGCCGCAGATGGAAGCACAATTACCAAAAAACGCCGCCCTCGAATAACCACCTCACCCAATCAGAATAATGCGGCGTTTATTCAAGGATTATAAGGAAAAACTCAGTACAACTTCATAATTTACACCATCCAGATAATTGCTATTCTTTCTCAGCAAGAAAATGCAAGACATTGGAACTTTTAACATCTTTCAATAATTTATTGTAGTTGTTGTCAGTGTTTTAAGAATTGTTTTGCTAAAATCTTAAAAAAACGACGCGGCGTTAAATGAAATAAAGAAGGTACTCATAGTGAGCTTTAAGAGCGGAAAGGCGTGCGTTCGATTAAATCAAGAATGGTTTTTGTCTCATTTTTTAGGTTACTGAGAAGGTAACCTTTCCAAAGGATGATTATTATTCAGTTTTCTGTATTTTTCTTGTTTGCAAAAAGCTTGATCCAGAAGGCTCTTTTTGGCGGTTCTTAAAATCTTTCGATGGTTTCTTTACCTTTTTAGGTCGCTATTGTTATCACCGACGGCGAACAAACAACAACTGAAGATTATACACCTTTGGCTACAGCATCTAAAGGGATAAAAGACAAAGGAGTTGTGGTGTACTCACTAGGCATTGGTAGTGGTGTAAACTCTGACCAGCTGCGGCAGATTGCTAGTTCTGATGACAACGTGTTCACCGCTACTGGTTTCGACACATTAGCTGATGTTGTGCTGCCAATTGTGCAGAGGTCTTGTCCAAGTAAGGACTAACACGAAAATGTTTTGCGACTTAGAATCTGGGGGTATTGGCTAAAAGTTAAGAGAGAAGATTTTTGGCCACATCTCATATTGACTTATATCTGAATGCGATGCTGAATGTTCATACTGAGAGGTGCAACCTAATAAGCTTTCATGTTTCCGTGCGAACCCATGCAATTTAAGTTACAGTTGGCTGTTCTGTGCATTAAGCTATAGGGTACTATTAGAGACTTATCATTACACATATACCCGTAGCTAAGTTCTTAGATGACCCATTTGGTATGGAGAAGATCATTTGCTCTAGTGTCATGGGTGTTCACTCGATAACAGTGAGTTATTTTGTAATTGGATGTAACAGGTAATGATCAGCTGACCCTGTGCCGACTCTAGCCCTACTCTTCACCTGACCAGTGCTCAGCGTGCATACTTTGTTTGCTATTTGTGTGCCATTAACTGCTTAGTGCATATGTGTGCATACGTTAACGTCGTAAATAAAGTTAAAGAAAATGTTAGCTTTGTGTGATCATAACGTAAAAGTAAAACAAAGTGAATGTTATGAATATTTTAAGCGCAATACGTGTTCTTGTGTATATTAAATTGCATAAATTAAAAGCTGATTATCCTGCAGTCTGTGTTATGTATCAGCTGTCTTCGTGTTGTTTCTTTTTTTTGATCTTGTATAGTTCATGTTTTTCGTGTGTTTTCTAGCTTTACTTTCTCACAATAACATACTTTTCTTAAGTACTAGCTTTGATTCTCTACTGGATATTGTTAGCCAAAGCCGGTACACTGGACTGTTCTGGATTATCCCCTTTAACCCTACTGATTGTCAAAACTTTAATCCTCATTTGGTGTCTCCGAAAATTTCCTATTAAAGCAGTGGGGAGGTGTTTAAGTACATGTATCTGTATTGAGTTAACGGCTCGTATGATCCAAGTCCTCAATTCTCGGTATTATCTTGTTTTATGAAGTTACGACATTTCAAGAAGAAAATTTTATGGTGCCCTCTCCTAGGGCTTAAAGGGTTAAGAGAAATCCTGGATATTTCTCTCATGCCCCTTTTGAACTTTTCCGTCATTATCAAGCTAATGTACGAGCTGGTTTTGGGATTTTTGAAAATGTCTGACACCTGAGATGACTCTACAGCTTAGCCAGTAGGAGCCTCAAAGTAAAGGGAGCACACCATTTGATGAGCTACAATGGGATGGTTCTTCAAGCTTTTAGATTACTGTTTACGACAGCATTAAATAACTGCTTATTTACCTCGACTGTGCATCAGACGTTAATTAAGCTTAATCTACTCAGTTTGACAAATACAAGACTACGAGTACCCCCCCATTTTTCCTCAGGGATAGTAGAGCGAGCGAGACGCGAGCGGGGCGGCGTGAAAATCACCCTACGCGAGAAAAGTCACCGCCGCGTCTCGTCTTTCTCGCGTGAGTTGATTAGGCGCGCTCGTGTGTCGCTCGCTTTACTATCCCTGAGGAAAAATGGGGACTACTCGTAGTCTAGACAAATACTGGATAGGTTTGTCACCTGTTTCCCCTTACTTTATGTATGCTTAACTCATTTGATTGTGTACTCTCCTGAGCATAAAGCATAACCAAAGTTCGTACCCGCTAACTGACTGTGCCATTAAGTAGCTACATATATGCTGATGGTATTGCTTTGCGTATAAGCTGCGCGTGAAATGGTGCTCCAACTACATCAATACAATGTGCTCTAAAATGAGCTTCGGGAAGAGAATTGTTCATCAACAATAAACAAAACAGTCTTAAACAATTCGATAACGAGTACGATTTTTTATTAAAAGCTATCGAGGCGCGTCTCAAAACCAAGTTTTGATGAAAATATGTGAAACAAATCTTTCTTTTCAGAACTTGAATCCACGAAATTTGCGACTGTTGATTAACAAACAACTAAATTTGTACCTTAAAATATGTTCACGCCGTTTTCTTTAATTTTGGACAAAAATGGTCGCTAATGAGATAGGACCTACCTGGATTCAACCCGCGGCCCAAAGTTAATGATTTAATAGCAGAGCTCAAGTGGTAAGTGCAAACATCAGTTGAGCGTTATTGGCGATGAAAGACCAAAGCTGAGAAAAATGCATAAGACAAAATTTCTTAAAACTTAAACGTAGGCTTGCTTTCCCGAAACATATTGCTTACGTTTTGAAGTCAATTGTTTGATGAACTGGGATATATCATAACTATTTTTAGCATGAGAATCGAAAACAAGAAGTGATGCATCAGAAATAAACAGAGCACTTTCTTCTTTTAATGTTGCACTTTAAAAAAGGCGTAGAGCAAAGCTTGTGAAATGCTTAAGCAAGGCTAATGAACTTTCTTGGTTGGGCTGTTGTAACACTCAATGGTGGTGACTCTAAAGCTTTCTGCAGGTGCTGTAAGCAATCACTCTCGTACGTACGCTCTTCGTGGGCTTTTTGCGCTAAAGGAAGACATGGATGGCTACAAGAATGTAAAGTAAGCGCAATAAAGGTATGCATAATGCAAAATAGAATAACTGCCTCACCACAAAAACATAGACTCTAAGCAGTACCACATTTTCCACAAATAATGTTAGGGAGGTAACGAAACTGCAGTACTGTGCAGCTTAGGGCAAAACACTCTTTTGCGCTTTCCAGTGACGAGCCAAGGTAAATTGAAATAAGTTAAAATCTGTTATTCAAAATTAATACAAACAGGTCGAATGCATCGCGTAATTTGTTTTTCAGTCCATACAAATAAATAACATCTCTGACAAATGAAAGTGGACAATCCTTTTGTTCAAAAGTGAAACCAAGCCACAAACACATTTATGGATTACCTTCATATCGTTTAAGAATAGAGCTATCATTGTTTACAGCTGCTTTCCATGTATCGTGTCTTACTTCATATTTACCTCTTCCTTTAGCTCTGACACCATCAGCTACACCGACTCCCGCAGGTAAGAAGGAGAGATTCGATAATAAATTAAGGTGCAGTATACGAAAAAGCTCTTTGACCATGTATAATGGCATTTTGGAAGAGCGCTTATTAACGATAGCGTCATCTTTGGACGCGCTTTGGGACTAATGGGATAAAAACAATGTCACATGAATAGAGATTTATCCAGTGTCTTTCGAACTACTTCGCCCTGGTTCCGGTTAATCGATTTAGGCGAAAATACTACATATTTGTAAGGACAAAGGAGATTTGTTTCTTTCTTGCATAAAAAACATTTATTTAGGTATTCCTCTCAGCTTCACAGTCCTCCGTAATTCCATTTCTTCTCTCCACCTCAAGTCTTACTAAAATCACCATCAACACCTTCACAATTCGGTTGTTTTCCCTCCTCCATCACTACTACCACATTCATAAAGTTTTTTTGCCCTCAACCACCACTAAAACCGCATTTCTATTCTTTTACCTTTTCCACCACCATATTTCCATTGCTTTTCCCCCTTTGACACTACCGCCGCAACAACTCTGTGGTGGAAGTGTCATCTCTCGACCTCTGATAGAATAAGCACTTTAGACATTTATTACGGTAGTGTGCAACAATAAAGCCTTCTTCTGGTCGATATTTCTGATTACCTTAATCCTTAAATCTTTAAATGTAAGAAATACCAGCATTTTCCGAAAAGTTACATGTAGATGCCTTAAATCCTAGGGCATCGCTAAACTGCAAACTTGCAAACTTGGAAAAAGAGAGATTAGGAATTCTTCTCTAAATTGCATTACTTTTTGTTTGTTCTTTTCAGTGCCAACAACGTCTACACCAGTACCAACGACGCCAGGTAATTCATGCATGGCCATGTTGATTTGGCCAGTCCGGTAATCTATCTTATGTTTTACGTGTAAATCTACTTACTGTTAGCGTTCGAAAGTTTGCTTAGAATCTGCTTCAATTTCGACAGAATTGTGCCGAATTCCAATGGACACCACCTTTATTATCGACTCGTCGTTGTGTGAAAGCGACAGCAACTGGCAGCGCTTGCTGAACTTTGTGCAAACGTTGGTCAGTTACTTTAATGTGTCACCATCAGGAGGTCGTATTGCTGTGATTCCATACGGCTCGGACGCCAAAGTGTCTCTAAACTTCGATACATTAACTGGAAACCGTCTCAACGGAGAGGAAGTCAACAGGAGAGTGGGCAACCTAGCGTGTCAGGGAGGATCCAGACGAATCGATAAAGCCTTGGAATTAGTAGACAAAGACGTTTTGATCCCCTCTGCTGGAATGAGAGATGTATCACGGGTAAGAAATATTTTCTGAGTTACCAGACGTTTCAACTGGCATTTGTAGTTTTTTCTCTGTAGATTGACTCTGTTAATGAAGACAGCTTTTGATAATCAAATTTGGGGAGTCGAGGGAAATGGCCTGTGTATTTAGAAGGGGCTTTTTGACCGGAGCTTGTTGATCTACACAAGTCCGTGACCAGAAATAAATAGTTAAAATACCCTGAAAAAAGGAACTTTGTAGCTCACACTGAACAACACCATAACAGTGCGTGTTCATCGATTGAAAACGTAGGTTATTGATTTGTTTCCTTCCAGCCTGTTTTGGTGATCACGACTGGAAAACAAACAGCAGACGAAGGAGTGTACACGCCTCTTGATATAGCTTCTTCTCGTCTCCAAGACAAAAGAGCAGCCGTTTTTGTCCTTGGTATAGGGAAAGACGTTGACCCTTCGGAACTTAAGCAAATTGCTTCTGGACCAAATAATGTCTTTACCGTGGGATCATTCGATGACTTGGATACCAAAGCTAACGAGGCCAAGAAAGGCATATGTGTGTTAGGTATTTGAATCTCCTGCATTGATTGTCCACATTATCGCCCTAATCTACATAATTACGCGGGATCTGATTTTGTTTCTGTTTTGTAGTGCCTCCAACACCAACCATAACAGTGGGACCAACAACTCGAGGTAAGTGATTTCCGTGGTATATGAGGTCTGTCTGCACTTTGTACATAACTTTTCTTCTGAACGGGTGGTTTGCAGTTGTTGTGGAGATAGCGCTGTAATCCTCGTAGGCTATCAGACGTAAAAGAAAATCTGCAACTTGCCAAGGCCTGTAGAGAATGCCCCATGGCTGTAGGTCATGGCTGGAATGCACGAAAAACATGCACCGTACCTTGAGTCTAATTACATTACTTTGTCTTTTCTGTTTCAGAAGAAATATGCCCAATCCCTATGGACACAACTTTCGTTATTGACTCGTCTCTGTGTGATAGTGAGAGCAATTGGAATCGCTTGTTGTACTTTGTGCAAACTTTGGTCAACTATTTTAATGTGTCACCGTCAGGAGGTCGTGTTGCGTTTGTTCCTTACGGTACTAATGCTAGTGTAGTTCTTAAGTTTAACTCATTAAGCGGAATTAATCTTAATGGAGCAGAAGTCAAGAAACGACTTGATGGCTTAAGATGCCAGGGTGGTTTTAGACGAATCGACAAAGCATTGGATCTTGTAGACAGGGAGGTGCTGACACCCGCTGGTGGACTGAGAGACATTTCAAGGGTAAGTTGGAGAAGGAAGAATAACCGCACAAATTGACCAATAACACGCTAGGCACCTGGTGGATCAAAAGACTGACTTTGTGTTTTTCTATTGTTTGTCTGCAGCCCGTATTTGTGATCACGACTGGAAAGCAAACAGCGGACCAGGGCGTATACCTACCTCTGGATATAGCCTCCTCTCGCCTTCAGAGTAAAGGAGCGGCCGTGTTTGTGTTGGGTATAGGAGAGGACGTGGACACCTCAGAACTGAACGAAATTGCTTCTAGCCCTGACAACGTTTTTAGAGTGGATTCTTTTGAGGACTTGGACGAAAGGGTACCAACGATAAGAAGAGGAATATGCAAATTAGGTAAAATCATCTTTCGGCTATCCTTTTCCTAGTCAGGAGATGGTTACTTAAGAAAAAGGCTTAAAGGATTGACAGAGAGTCTTACTTAGTGTGTTTGTAAATAAGAAGGGCTTTCAAGTATTGCTTTGGATAATCTGTTGTTGTTGTTGTTGTTGTTGTTTTCAGTTCCAACCTTGTCAACGCCAACATTAGCACCAACACCAGTACAAACACCTGCACGTAAGTAAAGATTATTTTGAAAAACGCTTAGACGGACTGGCTTGAATTGAAATGTAGTGCCATTGTGCTTTCTGAACGATAAAATAACGGCGAATAGAGTTCACTTGATATCGATTCCACATCTTACGTCGTCGTATTTGATTGGAGTAGGAGCTATTAATAGTAAAGTATGGTTAGAATGAGGTTAGGCTCAACAAGGATACAGCCGATTGTGGTGATAGTTTATTAGGTCATCGTTCGGTAAAGCACCTAGATTACATAAGCGGGATACTGTTAAAGTAAAGCGGGCAATAAATACTCCTAATTGAAAAAAGCCGATCACAGAGTTGCATTGCTTGCCATTTGCGGTAGACCATTGAGCGTGGTACATTCGTGAAAAGCGTGTAAGATTCACGGCAAAACAAATGGCATAGTACATGCCTAAAATGCTCGTAATCTTGTTTTTATAATGCGTGCATGAATTTTAAGACCTCAAGCTAGTGGATCGTGTTTGCCATGGAAGGAGAGGTCACACGATTTTATTTTTGCCTGACAGCCTGCAAAGCCTCTGTAGATGTGGCATTTATTGTGGATTCATCAGGAAGCATTGGTCGTAGAAGATGGCCTCTGGTGTTAGACTTCTTAAAAAAGATCATCAATGAGTTCAATGTTGGACCCGACGGCACACATGTGGCGGTAGTTGCCTACAGTACAAATCCGAAGCTCGAGTTCCCTTTCAATGCCGTATCTGGAGACCAAATTACTGCAGAGGAATATGGGAAACGTATCGACAGCATCAGATTCCAGAGAGGCTATACGTACATCGATAAGGCTTTGAAATTGGCTAACGAACAAGTGTTTGTCACAAGTGCTGGGATGAGGTCCGATGTACCGAAGGTATGATTGCAAAACGTCCCTTAAAAAAGCCTCAGAAAAGTTTGTTCAATTGCGTATAGCGAAGTGTGGGTTTGTTTTGTTTCGCTGAATTATGTAAAGAGAACGTGTCGTTTTTTGTGTAATTAGGAGGACACCGACTTTCTTGTGAACTTGATGGGAGGCTTAGAGTAGACACTGTACATGCTTGTGGTGCAATGAGATGTTAACAAACGCGTTTGTATTTTTTTTTGTGCTACATGCAGGTCGCTATTGTAATCACCGATGGGGAGCAAACAACGACCGGTGGATTTACACCATTGGACGAAGCATCCAAAGACATCAAAGACAAAGGAGTTGTAGTGTACTTTTGGGTGTAGGGAGTGGCGTCAACTCAGAACAATTACGGCAGATTGCTAGTTCTGATGACAACGTGTTTACGTCTACTGGCTTTGAGGAACTGATTAATGTGGTGAAGCCTATTGTAGAGAAATCTTGTCCGATCAAACCAACACCAACGCCTACTCCGAGTAAGAAATAAGACCCTGTTCGATTTTGCTATGCATATTTAAGCAATGGCTGTACTGTTGGTTTGCAACCAGGTTTCAATGTGGCCATGTTGTTCGACGAAAAAATACAGCCTTTTTTTTGGCAGATATTTACATAAAAACGGAATTCAGGTCCCAGCTTCAGCTTGTTCTGGGCGGACAACATGGTCGCCGTGAAGTCAATATATTTGAGGGGGAGAGATCCTCTACGATAAGAGTTTCCAAAGAGCTGTGCGAAGATGTCGTTGTTACTATAACTTAGGTGGATAGTGCAATCCCTTAGAGAGGTCGTTTCCGATGTCTGTCTTGTCAAATTCTCTTGTGTTATTCGTAATATATACAAATTCATTTAATTGATGAAGTTTGTTGTATAGGATACGTTATAAAGCTGGATTGGTAGGATGACTCGCTGTCTGGTTTTGTAAGGTGTGAACGAGTTTTCTCTTACACTTTTGCCTAATGTACAGGTGCAGTATGCCCCATCCCTATGGAGACCACCTTCATTATCGACTCATCTGTATGTGGGAGCGACAGTGACTGGAATCGCTTATTGTACTTTGTGCAAACATTGGTCAGCTTCTTCAATGTGTCTCCTAGTCCATCTGGAGGACGTATTGCTCTCATTCCATACGCTACTGACGCTAGCGTTGCTCTAAAATTCAACACATTGACTGGAAGCCGACTCAGTGAAGCAGAGGTCAATAGACAAATTGGTCTGCTTAAATGTCAGGGTGGGTTTAGACGAATTGATAAAGCATTGGACCTGGCGGACAAGGAAGTGCTGACTCCCGCCGGTGGAGTGCGAGATATCTCAAAGGTGAAGGCCTCTAGAATACATTTTTTTTTCCATCCTCAACACTTACATAAACTGTACGGTTTGAGCACGATATAAATCAGTCATATAAGAGAAATCGAAGTCAACGAGACTTGAGACTACAACTAGATTAGATTAAAGGGAGTTGCTTGGCTTCGAAGGCTTGTGGGACGCTCACACAACCACATCAGCAATGCGTTTAGTGTATGATGTATAATTGAATGCTGTTATTTTATTGTCATAATGATTTTTTTTGTGGTTATTATAGTTAAAGTCTTTCCTGGTTTGTGGGCCATTGTCTTCAAATTTCTGCAGTTCGCTGAAAACGTTTGCATCATATTGGTAATTTTTCCTTTCCTCTTTTATAGCCTGTTTTAGTTATCACCGCTGGAAAGCAGACAAAAGATCAAGGAGCATACACGCCACTTGATAAAGCCTCATCCCGCCTTCAGAGTAAAGGAGCAGCTGTGTTCGTCTTGGGAATAGGAGAAGACGTGGATACCACAGAACTTAACCAGATCGCCTCCGGGCCTAATAACGTATTTAGGGTGGACTCTTTTAAGGACTTGTACGAGAAGGCTAACGAAGCGAAGAGAGGAATCTGCGTACTAGGTATCATTTGCAGACAATATCGTAACACGCACCCTTCATGCAGTTTTCTTTTGTACGGCGAGTTGGCTAGGCATAATTTATTGTTTTCCGCCATGATCTGCGTTAACATTGTTACTTTGCCTTTAGAATTTATAACATGTGGAGACAGCAAACGTGGAAAAAGTGAGATTAGTAATCTTTCTCTAAAATGCATTACTTTTTGTTTGTTCTTTTCAGTGCCAACAACGCCTACACCAGTACCAACGACGCCAGGTAAATCATGCATGGCTATGTTAATTTGGCCAGTCTGGTAATCTATGTAATGTTGTACTGTAGGCTCATATCGCGCCCGTGGGCCGTGGTCCGTGTTCCATGTTAAAGGGCGAATTTGCTTGCTGTTAGCGTTCGCAAGTTTGCTTAGAATCTGCTTTAATTTCAACAGAATTGTGCCGAATTCCAATGGACACCACCTTTATTATCGACTCGTCGTTGTGTGAAAGCGACAGCAACTGGCAGCGCTTGCTGAACTTTGTGCAAACGTTGGTCAGTTACTTTAATGTGTCACCATCAGGAGGTCGTATTGCTGTGATTCCATACGGCTCGGACGCCAAAGTGTCTCTAAAGTTCGATACATTAACTGGAAACCGTCTCAACGGAGAGGAAGTCAACAGGAGAGTGGGCAACCTAGCGTGTCAGGGAGGATCCAGACGAATCGATAAAGCCTTGGAATTAGCAGACAAAGACGTTTTGATCCCCTCTGCTGGAATGAGAGATGTATCACGGGTAAGAAATATTTTCTGAGTTACTAGACGTTTCAACTGGCATTTGTAGTTTTTTCTCTGTAGATTGACTCTGTTAATGAAGACAGCTTTTGATAATCAAACTTGGGGAGTCGAGGGAAATGGCCTGTGTATTTAGAAGGGGCTTTTGACCGGAGCTTGTTGATCTACACAAGTCCGTGACCAGAAATAAATAGTTAAAATACCCTGAAAAAAAAGAACTTTGTAGCTCACACTGAACAACACCGTAACAGTGCGTATTCATGGACTGAAAACGTAGGTTATTGATTTGTTTCCTTCCAGCCTGTTTTGGTTATCACGACTGGAAAACAAACAGCAGACGAAGGAGTGTACACGCCTCTTGATATAGCTTCTTCTCGTCTCCAAGACAAAGGAGCAGCCGTTTTTGTCCTTGGTATAGGGAAAGACGTTGACCCTTCGGAACTTAAGCAAATTGCTTCTGGACCAAATAATGTCTTTACCGTGGGATCATTCGATGACTTGGATACCAAAGCTAACGAGGCCAAGAAAGGCATATGTGTGTTAGGTATTTGAATCTCCTGCATTGATTGTCCACATTATCGCCCTAATCTACATAAATACGCGGGATCTGATTTTGTTTCTGTTTTGTAGTGCCTCCAACACCAACCATAACAGTGGGACCAACAACTCGAGGTAACTGATTTCCGTGGTATATGAGGTTTGTCTGCATTTTGTACATAACGTTTCTGCTGAACGGGTGGTTTGCAGTTGTTGTGGAGATAGCGCTGTAATCCTCGTAGGCTATCAGACGTAAAAGAAAATCTGCAACTAGCGCAAGGCCTGTAGAGAATGCCGCATGGCTGGAATGCACGAAGAACATGCACCGTACCTTGAGTCTAATTACAGTACTTTGTCTTTTCTGTTTCAGAAGAAATATGCCCAATCCCTATGGACACGACTTTCGTTATTGACTCGTCTCTGTGTGATAGTGAGAGCAATTGGAATCGCTTGTTGTACTTTGTGCAAACTTTGGTCAACTATTTTAATGTGTCACCGTCAGGAGGTCGTGTTGCGTTTGTTCCTTACGGTACTAATGCTAGTGTAGTTCTGAAGTTTAACTCATTAAGCGGAATTAATATTAATGGAGCAGAAGTCAAGAAACGACTTGATGGCTTAAGATGCCAGGGTGGTTTTAGACGAATCGACAAAGCATTGGATCTTGTAGACAGGGAGGTGCTGACACCCGCTGGTGGACTGAGAGACATTTCAAGGGTAAGTTGGAGAAGGAAGAATAACCGCACAAATTGACCAATAACACGCTAGGCACCTGGTGGATCAAAAGACTGACTTTGTGTTTTTCTATTGTTTGTCTGCAGCCCGTATTTGTGATCACGACTGGAAAGCAAACAGCGGACCAGGGCGTATACCTACCTCTGGATATAGCCTCCTCTCGCCTTCAGAGTAAAGGAGCGGCCGTGTTTGTGTTGGGTATAGGAGAGGACGTGGACACCTCAGAACTGAACGAAATTGCTTCTAGCCCTGACAACGTTTTTAGAGTGGATTCTTTTGAGGACTTGGACGAAAGGGTACCAACGATAAGAAGAGGAATATGCAAATTAGGTAAAATCATCTTTCGGCTATCCTTTTCCTAGTCAGGAGATGGTTACTTAAGAAAAAGGCTTAAAGGATTGACAGAGAGTCTTACTTAGTGTGTTTGTAAATAAGAAGGGCTTTCAAGTATTGCTTTGGATAATCTGTTGTTGTTGTTGTTGTTGTTGTTGTTGTTTTCAGTTCCAACCTTGTCAACGCCAACATTAGCACCAACACCAGTACAAACACCTGCACGTAAGTAAAGATTATTTTGAAAAACGCTTAGACGGACTGGCTTGAATTGAAATGTAGTGCCATTGTGCTTTTTGAACGATAAAATAACGGCGAATAGAGTTCACTTGATATCGATTCCACATCTTACGTCGTCGTATTTGATTGGAGTAGGAGCTATTAATAGTAAAGTATGGTTAGAATGAGGTTAGGCTCAACAAGGATACAGCCGATTGTGGTGATAGTTTATTAGGTCATCGTTCGGTAAAGCACCTAGATTACATAAGCGGGATACTGTTAAAGTAAAGCGGGCAATAAATACTCCTAATTGAAAAAAGCCGATCACAGAGTTGCATTGCTTGCCATTTGCGGTAGACCATTGAGCGTGGTACATTCGTGAAAAGCGTAAGATTCACGGCAAAACAAATGGCATAGTACATGCCTAAAATGCTCGTAATCTTGTTTTTATAATGCATGCATGAATTTTAAGACCTCAAGCTAGTGGATCGTGTTTGCCATGGAAGGAGAGGTCACACGATTTTATTTTTGCCTGACAGCCTGCAAAGCCTCTGTAGATGTGGCATTTATTGTGGATTCATCAGGAAGCATTGGTCGTAGAAGATGGCCTCTGGTGTTAGACTTCTTAAAAAAGATCATCAGTGAGTTCAATGTTGGACCCGACGGCACACATGTGGCGGTAGTTGCCTACAGTACAAATCCGAAGCTCGAGTTCCCTTTCAATGCCGTATCTGGAGACCAAATTACTGCAGAGGAATATGGGAAACGTATCGACAGCATCAGATTCCAGAGAGGCTATACGTACATCGATAAGGCTTTGAAATTGGCTAACGAACAAGTGTTTGTCACAAGTGCTGGGATGAGGTCCGATGTACCGAAGGTATGATTGCAAAACGTCCCTTAAAAAAGCCTCAGAAAAGTTTGTTCAATTGCGTATAGCGAAGTGTGGGTTTGTTTTGTTTCGCTGAATTATGTAAAGAGAACGTGTCGTTTTTTGTGTAATTAGGAGGACACCGACTTTCTTGTGAACTTGATGGGAGGCTTAGAGTAGACACTGTACATGCTTGTGGTGCAATGAGATGTTAACAAACGCGTTTGTATTTTTTTTGTGCTACATGCAGGTCGCTATTGTAATCACCGATGGGGAGCAAACAACGACCGGTGGATTTACACCATTGGACGAAGCATCCAAAGACATCAAAGACAAAGGAGTTGTAGTGTACTCTTTGGGTGTAGGGAGTGGCGTCAACTCAGAACAATTACGGCAGATTGCTAGTTCTGATGACAACGTGTTTACGTCTACTGGCTTTGAGGAACTGATTAATGTGGTGAAGCCTATTGTAGAGAAATCTTGTCCGATCAAAGCAACACCAACGCCTACTCCGAGTAAGAAATAAGACCCTGTTCGATTTTGCTATGCATATTTAAGCAATGGCTGTACTGTTGGTTTGCAACCAGGTTTCAATGTGGCCATGTTGTTCGACGAAAAAATACAGCCTTTTTTTTTTGGCAGATATTTACATAAAGACGGAATTCAGGTCCCAGCTTCAGCTTGTTCTGGGCGGACAACATGGTCGCCGTGAAGTCAATATATTTGAGGGGAGAGATCCTCTACGATAAGAGTTTCCAAAGAGCTGTGCGAAGATGTCGTTGTTACTATAACTTAGGTGGATAGTGCAATCCCTTAGAGAGGTCGTTTCCGATGTCTGTCTTGTCAAATTCTCTTGTGTTATTCGTAATATATACAAATTCATTTAATTGATGAAGTTTGTTGTATAGGATACGTTATAAAGCTGGATTGGTAGGATGACTCGCTGTCTGGTTTTGTAAGGTGTGAACGAGTTTTCTCTTACACTTTTGCCTAATGTACAGGTGCAGTATGCCCCCATCCCTATGGAGACCACCTTCATTATCGACTCATCTGTATGTGGGAGCGACAGTGACTGGAATCGCTTATTGTACTTTGTGCAAACATTGGTCAGCTTCTTCAATGTGTCTCCTAGTCCATCTGGAGGACGTATTGCTCTCATTCCATACGCTACTGACGCTAGCGTTGCTCTAAAATTCAACACATTGACTGGAAGCCGACTCAGTGAAGCAGAGGTCAATAGACAAATTGGTCTGCTTAAATGTCAGCGTGGGTTTAGACGAATTGATAAAGCATTGGACCTGGCGGACAAGGAAGTGCTGACTCCCGCCGGTGGAGTGCGAGATATCTCAAAGGTGAAGGCCTCTAGAATACACTTTTTTTTCCATCCTCAACACTTACATAAACTGTACAGTTTGAGCACGATATAAATCAGTCATATAAGAGAAATCGAAGTCAACGAGACTTAAGACTACAACTAGATTAGATTAAAGGGAGTTGCTTGGCTTCGAAGGCTTGTGGGACGCTCACACAACCACATCAGCAATGCGTTTAGTGTATGATGTATAATTGAATGCTATTATTTTATTGTCATAATGATTTTTTTTTGTGTGGTTATTATAGTTAAAGTCCTTCCTGGTTTGTGGGCCATTGTCTTCAAATTTCTGCAGTTCGCTGAAAACGTTTGCATCATATTGGTAATTTTTCCTTTCCTCTTTTATAGCCTGTTTTAGTTATCACCGCTGGAAAGCAGACAAAAGATCAAGGAGCATACACGCCACTTGATAAAGCCTCATCCCGCCTTCAGAGTAAAGGAGCAGCTGTGTTCGTCTTGGGAATAGGAGAAGACGTGGATACCACAGAACTTAACCAGATCGCCTCCGGGCCTAATAACGTATTTAGGGTGGACTCTTTTAAGGACTTGTACGAGAAGGCTAACGAAGCGAAGAGAGGAATCTGCGTACTAGGTATCATTTGCAGACAGTATCGTAACACGCACCCTTCATGCAGTTTTCTTTTGTACGGCGAGTTGGCTAGGCATAATTTATTGTTTTCCGCCATGATCTGCGTTAACATTGTTACTTTGCCTTTAGAATTTATAACATGTGGAGACAGCAAACGTGGAAAAAGTGAGATTAGTAATCCTTCTCTAAAATGCATTACTTTTTGTTTGTTCTTTTCAGTGCCAACAACGCCTACACCAGTACCAACGACGCCAGGTAAATCATGCATGGCTATGTTAATTTGGCCAGTCTGGTAATCTATGTAATGTTGTACTGTAGGCTCATATCGCGCCCGTGGGCCGTGGTCCGTGTTCCATGTTAAAGGGCGAATTTGCTTGCTGTTAGCGTTCGCAAGTTTGCTTAGAATCTGCTTTAATTTCAACAGAATTGTGCCGAATTCCAATGGACACCACCTTTATTATCGACTCGTCGTTGTGTGAAAGCGACAGCAACTGGCAGCGCTTGCTGAACTTTGTGCAAACGTTGGTCAGTTACTTTAATGTGTCACCATCAGGAGGTCGTATTGCTGTGATTCCATACGGCTCGGACGCCAAAGTGTCTCTAAAGTTCGATACATTAACTGGAAACCGTCTCAACGGAGAGGAAGTCAACAGGAGAGTGGGCAACCTAGCGTGTCAGGGAGGATCCAGACGAATCGATAAAGCCTTGGAATTAGCAGACAAAGACGTTTTGATCCCCTCTGCTGGAATGAGAGATGTATCACGGGTAAGAAATATTTTCTGAGTTACTACACGTTTCAACTGGCATTTGTAGTTTTTTTTCTCTGTAGATTGACTCTGTTAATGAAGACAGCTTTTGATAATCAAACTTGGGGAGTCGAGGGAAATGGCCTGTGTATTTAGAAGGGGCTTTTTGACCGGAGCTTGTTGATCTACACAAGTCCGTGATCCAGAAATAAATAGTTAAAATACCCTGAAAAAAAAGAACTTTGTAGCTCACACTGAACAACACCGTAACAGTGCGTATTCATGGACTGAAAACGTAGGTTATTGATTTGTTTCCTTCCAGCCTGTTTTGGTTATCACGACTGGAAAACAAACAGCAGACGAAGGAGTGTACACGCCTCTTGATATAGCTTCTTCTCGTCTCCAAGACAAAGGAGCAGCCGTTTTTGTCCTTGGTATAGGGAAAGACGTTGACCCTTCGGAACTTAAACAAATTGCTTCTGGACCAAATAATGTCTTTACCGTGGGATCATTCGATGACTTGGATACCAAAGCTAACGAGGCCAAGAAAGGCATATGTGTGTTAGGTATTTGAATCTCCTGCATTGATTGTCCACATTATCGCCCTAATCTACACAATTACGCGGGATCTGATTTTGTTTCTGCTTTGTAGTGCCTCCAACACCAACCATAACAGTGGGACCAACAACTCGAGGTAAGTGATTTCCGTGGTATATGAGGTTTGTCTGCATTTTGTACATAACTTTTCTGCTGAACGGGTGGTTTGCAGTTGTTGTGGAGATAGCGCTGTAATCCTCGTAGGCTATCAGACGTAAAAGAAAATCTGCAACTAGCGCAAGGCCTGTAGAGAATGCCGCATGGCTGGAATGCAGGAAGAACATGCACCGTACCTTGAGTCTAATTACATTACTTTGTCTTTTCTGTTTCAGAAGAAATATGCCCAATCCCTATGGACACGACTTTCGTTATTGACTCGTCTCTGTGTGATAGTGAGAGCAATTGGAATCGCTTGTTGTACTTTGTGCAAACTTTGGTCAACTATTTTAATGTGTCACCGTCAGGAGGTCGTGTTGCGTTTGTTCCTTACGGTACTAATGCTAGTGTAGTTCTGAAGTTTAACTCATTAAGCGGAATTAATCTTAATGGAGCAGAAGTCAAGAAACGACTTGATGGCTTAAGATGCCAGGGTGGTTTTAGACGAATCGACAAAGCATTGGATCTTGTAGACAGGGAGGTGCTGACACCCGCTGGTGGACTGAGAGACATTTCAAGGGTAAGTTGGAGAAGGAAGAATAACCGCACAAATTGACCAATAACACGCTAGGCACCTGGTGGATCAAAAGACTGACTTTGTGTTTTTCTATTGTTTGTCTGCAGCCCGTATTTGTGATCACGACTGGAAAGCAAACAGCGGACCAGGGCGTATACCTACCTCTGGATATAGCCTCCTCTCGCCTTCAGAGTAAAGGAGCGGCCGTGTTTGTGTTGGGTATAGGAGAGGACGTGGACACCTCAGAACTGAACGAAATTGCTTCTAGCCCTGACAACGTTTTTAGAGTGGATTCTTTTGAGGACTTGGACGAAAGGGTACCAACGATAAGAAGAGGAATATGCAAATTAGGTAAAATCATCTTTCGGCTATCCTTTTCCTAGTCAGGAGATGGTTACTTAAGAAAAAGGCTTAAAGGATTGACAGAGAGTCTTACTTAGTGTGTTTGTAAATAAGAAGGGCTTTCAAGTATTGCTTTGGATAATCTGTTGTTGTTGTTGTTGTTGTTGTTTTCAGTTCCAACCTTGTCAACGCCAACATTAGCACCAACACCAGTACAAACACCTGCACGTAAGTAAAGATTATTTTGAAAAACGCTTAGACGGACTGGCTTGAATTGAAATGTAGTGCCATTGTGCTTTCTGAACGATAAAATAACGGCGAATAGAGTTCACTTGATATCGATTCCACATGTTACGTCGTCGTATTTGATTGGAGTAGGAGCTATTAATAGTAAAGTATGGTTAGAATGAGGTTAGGCTCAACAAGGATACAGCCGATTGGGGTGATAGTTTATTAGGTCATCGTTCGGTAAAGCACCTAGATTACATAAGCGGGATACTGTTAAAGTAAAGCGGGCAATAAATACTCCTAATTGAAAAAAGCCGATCACAGAGTTGCATTGCTTGCCATTTGCGGTAGACCATTGAGCGTGGTACATTCGTGAAAAGCGTGTAAGATTCACGGCAAAACAAATGGCATAGTACATGCCTAAAATGCTCGTAATCTTGTTTTTATAATGCATGCATGAATTTTAAGACCTCAAGCTAGTGGATCGTGTTTGCCATGGAAGGAGAGGTCACACGATTTTATTTTTGCCTGACAGCCTGCAAAGCCTCTGTAGATGTGGCATTTATTGTGGATTCATCAGGAAGCATTGGTCGTAGAAGATGGCCTCTGGTGTTAGACTTCTTAAAAAAGATCATCAATGAGTTCAATGTTGGACCCGACGGCACACATGTGGCGGTAGTTGCCTACAGTACAAATCCGAAGCTCGAGTTCCCTTTCAATGCCGTATCTGGAGACCAAATTACTGCAGAGGAATATGGGAAACGTATCGACAGCATCAGATTCCAGAGAGGCTATACGTACATCGATAAGGCTTTGAAATTGGCTAACGAACAAGTGTTTGTCACAAGTGCTGGGATGAGGTCCGATGTACCGAAGGTATGATTGCAAAACGTCCCTTAAAAAAGCCTCAGAAAAGTTTGTTCAATTGCGTATAGCGAAGTGTGGGTTTGTTTTGTTTCGCTGAATTATGTAAAGAGAACGTGTCGTTTTTTGTGTAATTAGGAGGACACCGACTTTCTTGTGAACTTGATGGGAGGCTTAGAGTAGACACTGTACATGCTTGTGGTGCAATGAGATGTTAACAAACGCGTTTGTATTTTTTTTGTGCTACATGCAGGTCGCTATTGTAATCACCGATGGGGAGCAAACAACGACCGGTGGATTTACACCATTGGACGAAGCATCCAAAGACATCAAAGACAAAGGAGTTGTAGTGTACTCTTTGGGTGTAGGGAGTGGCGTCAACTCAGAACAATTACGGCAGATTGCTAGTTCTGATGACAACGTGTTTACGTCTACTGGCTTTGAGGAACTGATTAATGTGGTGAAGCCTATTGTAGAGAAATCTTGTCCGATCAAACCAACACCAACGCCTACTCCGAGTAAGAAATAAGACCCTGTTCGATTTTGCTATGCATATTTAAGCAATGGCTGTACTGTTGGTTTGCAACCAGGTTTCAATGTGGCCATGTTGTTCGACGAAAAAATACAGCCTTTTTTTGGCAGATATTTACATAAAGACGGAATTCAGGTCCCAGCTTCAGCTTGTTCTGGGCGGACAACATGGTCGCCGTGAAGTCAATATATTTGAGGGGGAGAGATCCTCTACGATAAGAGTTTCCAAAGAGCTGTGCGAAGATGTCGTTGTTACTATAACTTAGGTGGATAGTGCAATCCCTTAGAGAGGTCGTTTCCGATGTCTGTCTTGTCAAATTCTCTTGTGTTATTCGTAATATATACAAATTCATTTAATTGATGAAGTTTGTTGTATAGGATACGTTATAAAGCTGGATTGGTAGGATGACTCGCTGTCTGGTTTTGTAAGGTGTGAACGAGTTTTCTCTTACACTTTTGCCTAATGTACAGGTGCAGTATGCCCCATCCCTATGGAGACCACCTTCATTATCGACTCATCTGTATGTGGGAGCGACAGTGACTGGAATCGCTTATTGTACTTTGTGCAAACATTGGTCAGCTTCTTCAATGTGTCTCCTAGTCCATCTGGAGGACGTATTGCTCTCATTCCATACGCTACTGACGCTAGCGTTGCTCTAAAATTCAACACATTGACTGGAAGCCGACTCAGTGAAGCAGAGGTCAATAGACAAATTGGTCTGCTTAAATGTCAGGGTGGGTTTAGACGAATTGATAAAGCATTGGACCTGGCGGACAAGGAAGTGCTGACTCCCGCCGGTGGAGTGCGAGATATCTCAAAGGTGAAGGCCTCTAGAATACACTTTTTTTTCCATCCTCAACACTTACATAAACTGTACAGTTTGAGCACGATATAAATCAGTCATATAAGAGAAATCGAAGTCAACGAGACTTGAGACTACAACTAGATTAGATTAAAGGGAGTTGCTTGGCTTCGAAGGCTTGTGGGACGCTCACACAACCACATCAGCAATGCGTTTAGTGTATGATGTATAATTGAATGCTATTATTTTATTGTCATAATGATTTTTTTTTGTGGTTATTATAGTTAAAGTCCTTCCTGGTTTGTGGGCCATTGTCTTCAAATTTCTGCAGTTCGCTGAAAACGTTTGCATCATATTGGTAATTCTTCCTTTCCTCTTTTATAGCCTGTTTTAGTTATCACCGCTGGAAAGCAGACAAAAGATCAAGGAGCATACACGCCACTTGATAAAGCCTCATCCCGCCTTCAGAGTAAAGGAGCAGCTGTGTTCGTCTTGGGAATAGGAGAAGACGTGGATACCACAGAACTTAACCAGATCGCCTCCGGGCCTAATAACGTATTTAGGGTGGACTCTTTTAAGGACTTGTACGAGAAGGCTAACGAAGCGAAGAGAGGAATCTGCGTACTAGGTATCATTTGCAGACAGTATCGTAACACGCACCCTTCATGCAGTTTTCTTTTGTACGGCGAGTTGGCTAGGCATAATTTATTGTTTTCCGCCATGATCTGCGTTAACATTGTTACTTTGCCTTTAGAATTTATAACATGTGGAGACAGCAAACGTGGAAAAAGTGAGATTAGTAATCCTTCTCTAAAATGCATTACTTTTTGTTTGTTCTTTTCAGTGCCAACAACGCCTACACCAGTACCAACGACGCCAGGTAAATCATGCATGGCTATGTTAATTTGGCCAGTCTGGTAATCTATGTAATGTTGTACTGTAGGCTCATATCGCGCCCGTGGGCCGTGGTCCGTGTTCCATGTTAAAGGGCGAATTTGCTTGCTGTTAGCGTTCGCAAGTTTGCTTAGAATCTGCTTTAATTTCAACAGAATTGTGCCGAATTCCAATGGACACCACCTTTATTATCGACTCGTCGTTGTGTGAAAGCGACAGCAACTGGCAGCGCTTGCTGAACTTTGTGCAAACGTTGGTCAGTTACTTTAATGTGTCACCATCAGGAGGTCGTATTGCTGTGATTCCATACGGCTCGGACGCCAAAGTGTCTCTAAAGTTCGATACATTAACTGGAAACCGTCTCAACGGAGAGGAAGTCAACAGGAGAGTGGGCAACCTAGCGTGTCAGGGAGGATCCAGACGAATCGATAAAGCCTTGGAATTAGCAGACAAAGACGTTTTGATCCCCTCTGCTGGAATGAGAGATGTATCACGGGTAAGAAATATTTTCTGAGTTACTACACGTTTCAACTGGCATTTGTAGTTTTTTCTCTGTAGATTGACTCTGTTAATGAAGACAGCTTTTGATAATCAAACTTGGGGAGTCGAGGGAAATGGCCTGTGTATTTAGAAGGGGCTCTTTGACCGGAGCTTGTTGATCTACACAAGTCCGTGACCAGAAATAAATAGTTAAAATACCCTGAAAAAAGAACTTTGTAGCTCACACTGAACAACACCGTAACAGTGCGTATTCATGGACTGAAAACGTAGGTTATTGATTTGTTTCCTTCCAGCCTGTTTTGGTTATCACGACTGGAAAACAAACAGCAGACGAAGGAGTGTACACGCCTCTTGATATAGCTTCTTCTCGTCTCCAAGACAAAGGAGCAGCCGTTTTTGTCCTTGGTATAGGGAAAGACGTTGACCCTTCGGAACTTAAGCAAATTGCTTCTGGACCAAATAATGTCTTTACCGTGGGATCATTCGATGACTTGGATACCAAAGCTAACGAGGCCAAGAAAGGCATATGTGTGTTAGGTATTTGAATCTCCTGCATTGATTGTCCACATTATCGCCCTAATCTACATAATTACGCGGGATCTGATTTTGTTTCTGCTTTGTAGTGCCTCCAACACCAACCATAACAGTGGGACCAACAACTCGAGGTAAGTGATTTCCGTGGTATATGAGGTTTGTCTGCATTTTGTACATAACTTTTCTGCTGAACGGGTGGTTTGCAGTTGTTGTGGAGATAGCGCTGTAATCCTCGTAGGCTATCAGACGTAAAAGAAAATCTGCAACTAGCGCAAGGCCTGTAGAGAATGCCGCATGGCTGGAATGCACGAAGAACATGCACCGTACCTTGAGTCTAATTACATTACTTTGTCTTTTCTGTTTCAGAAGAAATATGCCCAATCCCTATGGACACGACTTTCGTTATTGACTCGTCTCTGTGTGATAGTGAGAGCAATTGGAATCGCTTGTTGTACTTTGTGCAAACTTTGGTCAACTATTTTAATGTGTCACCGTCAGGAGGTCGTGTTGCGTTTGTTCCTTACGGTACTAATGCTAGTGTAGTTCTGAAGTTTAACTCATTAAGCGGAATTAATCTTAATGGAGCAGAAGTCAAGAAACGACTTGATAGCTTAAGATGCCAGGGTGGTTTTAGACGAATCGACAAAGCATTGGATCTTGTAGACAGGGAGGTGCTGACACCCGCTGGTGGACTGAGAGACATTTCAAGGGTAAGTTGGAGAAGGAAGAATAACCGCACAAATTGACCAATAACACGCTAGGCACCTGGTGGATCAAAAGACTGACTTTGTGTTTTTCTATTGTTTGTCTGCAGCCCGTATTTGTGATCACGACTGGAAAGCAAACAGCGGACCAGGGCGTATACCTACCTCTGGATATAGCCTCCTCTCGCCTTCAGAGTAAAGGAGCGGCCGTGTTTGTGTTGGGTATAGGAGAGGACGTGGACACCTCAGAACTGAACGAAATTGCTTCTAGCCCTGACAACGTTTTTAGAGTGGATTCTTTTGAGGACTTGGACGAAAGGGTACCAACGATAAGAAGAGGAATATGCAAATTAGGTAAAATCATCTTTCGGCTATCCTTTTCCTAGTCAGGAGATGGTTACTTAAGAAAAAGGCTTAAAGCATTGACAGAGAGTCTTACTTAGTGTGTTTGTAAATAAGAAGGGCTTTCAAGTATTGCTTTGGATAATCTGTTGTTGTTGTTGTTGTTGTTTTCAGTTCCAACCTTGTCAACGCCAACATTAGCACCAACACCAGTACAAACACCTGCACGTAAGTAAAGATTATTTTGAAAAACGCTTAGACGGACTGGCTTGAATTGAAATGTAGTGCCATGGTGCTTTCTGAACGATAAAATAACGGCGAATAGAGTTCACTTGATATCGATTCCACATGTTACGTCGTCGTATTTGATTGGAGTAGGAGCTATTAATAGTAAAGTATGGTTAGAATGAGGTTAGGCTCAACAAGGATACAGCCGATTGGGGTGATAGTTTATTAGGTCATCGTTCGGTAAAGCACCTAGATTACATAAGCGGGATACTGTTAAAGTAAAGCGGGCAATAAATACTCCTAATTGAAAAAAGCCGATCACAGAGTTGCATTGCTTGCCATTTGCGGTAGACCATTGAACGTGGTACATTCGTGAAAAGCGTGTAAGATTCACGGCAAAACAAATGGCATAGTACATGCCTAAAATGCTCGTAATCTTGTTTTTATAATGCATGCATGAATTTTAAGACCTCAAGCTAGTGGATCGTGTTTGCCATGGAAGGAGAGGTCACACGATTTTATTTTTTTTGCCTGACAGCCTGCAAAGCCTCTGTAGATGTGGCATTTATTGTGGATTCATCAGGAAGCATTGGTCGTAGAAGATGGCCTCTGGTGTTAGACTTCTTAAAAAGATCATCAATGAGTTCAATGTTGGACCCGACGGCACACATGTGGCGGTAGTTGCCTACAGTACAAATCCGAAGCTCGAGTTCCCTTTCAATGCCGTATCTGGAGACCAAATTACTGCAGAGGAATATGGGAAACGTATCGACAGCATCAGATTCCAGAGAGGCTATACGTACATCGATAAGGCTTTGAAATTGGCTAACGAACAAGTGTTTGTCACAAGTGCTGGGATGAGGTCCGATGTACCGAAGGTATGATTGCAAAACGTCCCTTAAAAAAAGCCTGAGAAAAGTTTGTTCAATTGCGTATAGCGAAGTGTGGGTTTGTTTTGTTTCGCTGAATTATGTAAAGAGAACGTGTCGTTTTTTGTGTAATTAGGAGGACACCGACTTTCTTGTGAACTTGATGGGAGGCTTAGAGTAGACACTGTACATGCTTGTGGTGCAATGAGATGTTAACAAACGCGTTTGTATTTTTTTTGTGCTACATGCAGGTCGCTATTGTAATCACCGATGGGGAGCAAACAACGACCGGTGGATTTACACCATTGGACGAAGCATCCAAAGACATCAAAGACAAAGGAGTTGTAGTGTACTCTTTGGGTGTAGGGAGTGGCGTCAACTCAGAACAATTACGGCAGATTGCTAGTTCTGATGACAACGTGTTTACGTCTACTGGCTTTGAGGAACTGATTAATGTGGTGAAGCCTATTGTAGAGAAATCTTGTCCGATCAAACCAACACCAACGCCTACTCCGAGTAAGAAATAAGACCCTGTTCGATTTTGCTATGCATATTTAAGCAATGGCTGTACTGTTGGTTTGCAACCAGGTTTCAATGTGGCCATGTTGTTCGACGAAAAAATACAGCCTTTTTTTGGCAGATATTTACATAAAAACGGAATTCAGGTCCCAGCTTCAGCTTGTTCTGGGCGGACAACATGGTCGCCGTGAAGTCAATATATTTGAGGGGGAGAGATCCTCTACGATAAGAGTTTCCAAAGAGCTGTGCGAAGATGTCGTTGTTACTATAACTTAGGTGGATAGTGCAATCCCTTAGAGAGGTCTGTCTTGTCAAATTCTCTTGTGTTATTCGTAATATATACAAATTCATTTAATTGATGAAGTTTGTTGTATAGGATACGTTATAAAGCTGGATTGGTAGGATGACTCGCTGTCTGGTTTTGTAAGGTGTGAACGAGTTTTCTCTTACACTTTTGCCTAATGTACAGGTGCAGTATGCCCCATCCCTATGGAGACCACCTTCATTATCGACTCATCTGTATGTGGGAGCGACAGTGACTGGAATCGCTTATTGTACTTTGTGCAAACATTGGTCAGCTTCTTCAATGTGTCTCCTAGTCCATCTGGAGGACGTATTGCTCTCATTCCATACGCTACTGACGCTAGCGTTGCTCTAAAATTCAACACATTGACTGGAAGCCGACTCAGTGAAGCAGAGGTCAATAGACAAATTGGTCTGCTTAAATGTCAGGGTGGGTTTAGACGAATTGATAAAGCATTGGACCTGGCGGACAAGGAAGTGCTGACTCCCGCCGGTGGAGTGCGAGATATCTCAAAGGTGAAGGCCTCTAGAATACACTTTTTTTTCCATCCTCAACACTTACATAAACTGTACAGTTTGAGCACGATATAAATCAGTCATATAAGAGAAATCGAAGTCAACGAGACTTGAGACTACAACTAGATTAGATTAAAGGGAGTTGCTTGGCTTCGAAGGCTTGTGGGACGCTCACACAACCACATCAGCAATGCGTTTAGTGTATGATGTATAATTGAATGCTATTATTTTATTGTCATAATGATTTTTTTTGTGGTTATTATAGTTAAAGTCCTTCCTGGTTTGTGGGCCATTGTCTTCAAATTTCTGCAGTTCGCTGAAAACGTTTGCATCGTATTGGTAATTCTTCCTTTCCTCTTTTATAGCCTGTTTTAGTTATCACCGCTGGAAAGCAGACAAAAGATCAAGGAGCATACACGCCACTTGATAAAGCCTCATCCCGCCTTCAGAGTAAAGGAGCAGCTGTGTTCGTCTTGGGAATAGGAGAAGACGTGGATACCACAGAACTTAACCAGATCGCCTCCGGGCCTAATAACGTATTTAGGGTGGACTCTTTTAAGGACTTGTACGAGAAGGCTAACGAAGCGAAGAGAGGAATCTGCGTACTAGGTATCATTTGCAGACAGTATCGTAACACGCACCCTTCATGCAGTTTTCTTTTGTACGGCGAGTTGGCTAGGCATAATTTATTGTTTTCCGCCATGATCTGCGTTAACATTGTTACTTTGCCTTTAGAATTTATAACATGTGGAGACAGCAAACGTGGAAAAAGTGAGATTAGTAATCCTTCTCTAAAATGCATTACTTTTTGTTTGTTCTTTTCAGTGCCAACAACGCCTACACCAGTACCAACGACGCCAGGTAAATCATGCATGGCTATGTTAATTTGGCCAGTCTGGTAATCTATGTAATGTTGTACTGTAGGCTCATATCGCGCCCGTGGGCCGTGGTCCGTGTTCCATGTTAAAGGGCGAATTTGCTTGCTGTTAGCGTTCGCAAGTTTGCTTAGAATCTGCTTTAATTTCAACAGAATTGTGCCGAATTCCAATGGACACCACCTTTATTATCGACTCGTCGTTGTGTGAAAGCGACAGCAACTGGCAGCGCTTGCTGAACTTTGTGCAAACGTTGGTCAGTTACTTTAATGTGTCACCATCAGGAGGTCGTATTGCTGTGATTCCATACGGCTCGGACGCCAAAGTGTCTCTAAAGTTCGATACATTAACTGGAAACCGTCTCAACGGAGAGGAAGTCAACAGGAGAGTGGGCAACCTAGCGTGTCAGGGAGGATCCAGACGAATCGATAAAGCCTTGGAATTAGCAGACAAAGACGTTTTGATCCCCTCTGCTGGAATGAGAGATGTATCACGGGTAAGAAATATTTTCTGAGTTACTACACGTTTCAACTGGCATTTGTAGTTTTTTCTCTGTAGATTGACTCTGTTAATGAAGACAGCTTTTGATAATCAAACTTGGGGAGTCGAGGGAAATGGCCTGTGTATTTAGAAGGGGCTTTTTGACCGGAGCTTGTTGATCTACACAAGTCCGTGACCAGAAATAAATAGTTAAAATACCCTGAAAAAAAGAACTTTGTAGCTCACACTGAACAACACCGTAACAGTGCGTATTCATGGACTGAAAACGTAGGTTATTGATTTGTTTCCTTCCAGCCTGTTTTGGTTATCACGACTGGAAAACAAACAGCAGACGAAGGAGTGTACACGCCTCTTGATATAGCTTCTTCTCGTCTCCAAGACAAAGGAGCAGCCGTTTTTGTCCTTGGTATAGGGAAAGACGTTGACCCTTCGGAACTTAAGCAAATTGCTTCTGGACCAAATAATGTCTTTACCGTGGGATCATTCGATGACTTGGATACCAAAGCTAACGAGGCCAAGAAAGGCATATGTGTGTTAGGTATTTGAATCTCCTGCATTGATTGTCCACATTATCGCCCTAATCTACATAATTACGCGGGATCTGATTTTGTTTCTGCTTTGTAGTGCCTCCAACACCAACCATAACAGTGGGACCAACAACTCGAGGTAAGTGATTTCCGTGGTATATGAGGTTTGTCTGCATTTTGTACATAACTTTTCTGCTGAACGGGTGGTTTGCAGTTGTTGTGGAGATAGCGCTGTAATCCTCGTAGGCTATCAGACGTAAAAGAAAATCTGCAACTAGCGCAAGGCCTGTAGAGAATGCCGCATGGCTGGAATGCACGAAGAACATGCACCGTACCTTGAGTCTAATTACATTACTTTGTCTTTTCTGTTTCAGAAGAAATATGCCCAATCCCTATGGACACGACTTTCGTTATTGACTCGTCTCTGTGTGATAGTGAGAGCAATTGGAATCGCTTGTTGTACTTTTGTGCAAACTTTGGTCAACTATTTTAATGTGTCACCGTCAGGAGGTCGTGTTGCGTTTGTTCCTTACGGTACTAATGCTAGTGTAGTTCTGAAGTTTAACTCATTAAGCGGAATTAATATTAATGGAGCAGAAGTCAAGAAACGACTTGATGGCTTAAGATGCCAGGGTGGTTTTAGACGAATCGACAAAGCATTGGATCTTGTAGACAGGGAGGTGCTGACACCCGCTGGTGGACTGAGAGACATTTCAAGGGTAAGTTGGAGAAGGAAGAATAACCGCACAAATTGACCAATAACACGCTAGGCACCTGGTGGATCAAAAGACTGACTTTGTGTTTTTCTATTGTTTGTCTGCAGCCCGTATTTGTGATCACGACTGGAAAGCAAACAGCGGACCAGGGCGTATACCTACCTCTGGATATAGCCTCCTCTCGCCTTCAGAGTAAAGGAGCGGCCGTGTTTGTGTTGGGTATAGGAGAGGACGTGGACACCTCAGAACTGAACGAAATTGCTTCTAGCCCTGACAACGTTTTTAGAGTGGATTCTTTTGAGGACTTGGACGAAAGGGTACCAACGATAAGAAGAGGAATATGCAAATTGGGTAAAATCATCTTTCGGCTATCCTTTTCCTAGTCAGGAGATGGTTACTTAAGAAAAAGGCTTAAAGGATTGACAGAGAGTCTTACTTAGTGTGTTTGTAAATAAGAAGGGCTTTCAAGTATTGCTTTGGATAATCTGTTGTTGTTGTTGTTTTCAGTTCCAACCTTGTCAACGCCAACATTAGCACCAACACCAGTACAAACACCTGCACGTAAGTAAAGATTATTTTGAAAAACGCTTAGACGGACTGGCTTGAATTGAAATGTAGTGCCATTGTGCTTTCTGAACGATAAAATAACGGCGAATAGAGTTCACTTGATATCGATTCCACATCTTACGTCGTCGTATTTGATTGGAGTAGGAGCTATTAATAGTAAAGTATGGTTAGAATGAGGTTAGGCTCAACAAGGATACAGCCGATTGTGGTGATAGTTTATTAGGTCATCGTTCGGTAAAGCACCTAGATTACATAAGCGGGATACTGTTAAAGTAAAGCGGGCAATAAATACTCCTAATTGAAAAAAGCCGATCACAGAGTTGCATTGCTTGCCATTTGCGGTAGACCATTGAGCGTGGTACATTCGTGAAAAGCGTGTAAGATTCACGGCAAAACAAATGGCATAGTACATGCCTAAAATGCTCGTAATCTTGTTTTTATAATGCATGCATGAATTTTAAGACCTCAAGCTAGTGGATCGTGTTTGCCATGGAAGGAGAGGTCACACGATTTTATTTTTTGCCTGACAGCCTGCAAAGCCTCTGTAGATGTGGCATTTATTGTGGATTCATCAGGAAGCATTGGTCGTAGAAGATGGCCTCTGGTGTTAGACTTCTTAAAAAGATCATCAATGAGTTCAATGTTGGACCCGACGGCACACATGTGGCGGTAGTTGCCTACAGTACAAATCCGAAGCTCGAGTTCCCTTTCAATGCCGTATCTGGAGACCAAATTACTGCAGAGGAATATGGGAAACGTATCGACAGCATCAGATTCCAGAGAGGCTATACGTACATCGATAAGGCTTTGAAATTGGCTAACGAACAAGTGTTTGTCACAAGTGCTGGGATGAGGTCCGATGTACCGAAGGTATGATTGCAAAACGTCCCTTAAAAAGCCTCAGAAAAGTTTGTTCAATTGCGTATAGCGAAGTGTGGGTTTGTTTTGTTTCGCTGAATTATGTAAAGAGAACGTGTCGTTTTTTGTGTAATTAGGAGGACACCGACTTTCTTGTGAACTTGATGGGAGGCTTAGAGTAGACACTGTACATGCTTGTGGTGCAATGAGATGTTAACAAACGCGTTTGTATTTTTTTTGTGCTACATGCAGGTCGCTATTGTAATCACCGATGGGGAGCAAACAACGACCGGTGGATTTACACCATTGGACGAAGCCTCCAAAGACATCAAAGACAAAGGAGTTGTAGTGTACTCTTTGGGTGTAGGGAGTGGCGTCAACTCAGAACAATTACGGCAGATTGCTAGTTCTGATGACAACGTGTTTACGTCTACTGGCTTTGAGGAACTGATTAATGTGGTGAAGCCTATTGTAGAGAAATCTTGTCCGATCAAACCAACACCAACGCCTACTCCGAGTAAGAAATAAGACCCTGTTCGATTTTGCTATGCATATTTAAGCAATGGCTGTACTGTTGGTTTGCAACCAGGTTTCAATGTGGCCATGTTGTTCGACGAAAAAATACAGCCTTTTTTTGGCAGATATTTACATGAAGACGGAATTCAGGTCCCAGCTTCAGCTTGTTCTGGGCGGACAACATGGTCGCCGTGAAGTCAATATATTTGAGGGGGAGAGATCCTCTACGATAAGAGTTTCAAAAGAGCTGTGCGAAGATGTCGTTGTTACTATAACTTAGGTGGATAGTGCAATCCCTTAGAGAGGTCGTTTCCAATGTCTGTCTTGTCAAATTCTCTTGTGTTATTCGTAATATATACAAATTCATTTAATTGATGAAGTTTGTTGTATAGGATACGTTATAAAGCTGGATTGGTAGGATGACTCGCTGTCTGGTTTTGTAAGGTGTGAACGAGTTTTCTCTTACACTTTTGCCTAATGTACAGGTGCAGTATGCCCCATCCCTATGGAGACCACCTTCATTATCGACTCATCTGTATGTGGGAGCGACAGTGACTGGAATCGCTTATTGTACTTTGTGCAAACATTGGTCAGCTTCTTCAATGTGTCTCCTAGTCCATCTGGAGGACGTATTGCTCTCATTCCATACGCTACTGACGCTAGCGTTGCTCTAAAATTCAACACATTGACTGGAAGCCGACTCAGTGAAGCAGAGGTCAATAGACAAATTGGTCTGCTTAAATGTCAGGGTGGGTTTAGACGAATTGATAAAGCATTGGACCTGGCGGACAAGGAAGTGCTGACTCCCGCCGGTGGAGTGCGAGATATCTCAAAGGTGAAGGCCTCTAGAATACACTTTTTTTTCCATCCTCAACACTTACATAAACTGTACGGTTTGAGCACGATATAAATCAGTCATATAAGAGAAATCGAAGTCAACGAGACTTGAGACTACAACTAGATTAGATTAAAGGGAGTTGCTTGGCTTCGAAGGCTTGTGGGACGCTCACACAACCACATCAGCAATGCGTTTAGTGTGTGATGTATAATTGAATGCTGTTATTTTATTGTCATAATGATTTTTTTTGTGGTTATTATAGTTAAAGTCTTTCCTGGTTTGTGGGCCATTGTCTGCAAATTTCTGCAGTTCGCTGAAAACTTTTGCATCATATTGGTAATTTTTCCTTTCCTTTTTTATAGCCTGTTTTAGTTATCACCGCTGGAAAGCAGACAAAAGATCAAGGAGCATACACGCCACTTGATAAAGCCTCATCCCGCCTTCAGAGTAAAGGAGCAGCTGTGTTCGTCTTGGGAATAGGAGAAGACGTGGATACCACAGAACTTAACCAGATCGCCTCCGGGCCTAATAACGTATTTAGGGTGGACTCTTTTAAGGACTTGTACGAGAAGGCTAACGAAGCGAAGAGAGGAATCTGCGTACTAGGTATCATTTGCAGACAGTATCGTAACACGCACCCTTCATGCAGTTTTCTTTTGTACGGCGAGTTGGCTAGGCATAATTTATTGTTTTCCGCCATGATCTGCGTTAACATTGTTACTTTGCCTTTAGAATTTATAACATGTGGAGACAGCAAACGTGGAAAAAGTGAGATTAGTAATCCTTCTCTAAAATGCATTACTTTTTGTTTGTTCTTTTCAGTGCCAACAACGCCTACACCAGTACCAACGACGCCAGGTAAATCATGCATGGCTATGTTAATTTGGCCAGTCTGGTAATCTATGTAATGTTGTACTGTAGGCTCATATCGCGCCCGTGGGCCGTGGTCCGTGTTCCATGTTAAAGGGCGAATTTGCTTGCTGTTAGCGTTCGCAAGTTTGCTTAGAATCTGCTTTAATTTCAACAGAATTGTGCCGAATTCCAATGGACACCACCTTTATTATCGACTCGTCGTTGTGTGAAAGCGACAGCAACTGGCAGCGCTTGCTGAACTTTGTGCAAACGTTGGTCAGTTACTTTAATGTGTCACCATCAGGAGGTCGTATTGCTGTGATTCCATACGGCTCGGACGCCAAAGTGTCTCTAAAGTTCGATACATTAACTGGAAACCGTCTCAACGGAGAGGAAGTCAACAGGAGAGTGGGCAACCTAGCGTGTCAGGGAGGATCCAGACGAATCGATAAAGCCTTGGAATTAGCAGACAAAGACGTTTTGATCCCCTCTGCTGGAATGAGAGATGTATCACGGGTAAGAAATATTTTCTGAGTTACTAGACGTTTCAACTGGCATTTGTAGTTTTTTCTCTGTAGATTGACTCTGTTAATGAAGACAGCTTTTGATAATCAAACTTGGGGAGTCGAGGGAAATGGCCTGTGTATTTAGAAGGGGCTTTTTGACCGGAGCTTGTTGATCTACACAAGTCCGTGATCAGAAATAAATAGTTAAAATACCCTGAAAAAAAGAACTTTGTAGCTCACACTGAACAACACCGTAACAGTGCGTATTCATGGACTGAAAACGTAGGTTATTGATTTGTTTCCTTCCAGCCTGTTTTGGTTATCACGACTGGAAAACAAACAGCAGACGAAGGAGTGTACACGCCTCTTGATATAGCTTCTTCTCGTCTCCAAGACAAAGGAGCAGCCGTTTTTGTCCTTGGTATAGGGAAAGACGTTGACCCTTCGGAACTTAAGCAAATTGCTTCTGGACCAAATAATGTCTTTACCGTGGGATCATTCGATGACTTGGATACCAAAGCTAACGAGGCCAAGAAAGGCATATGTGTGTTAGGTATTTGAATCTCCTGCATTGATTGTCCACATTATCGCCCTAATCTACATAATTACGCGGGATCTGATTTTGTTTCTGCTTTGTAGTGCCTCCAACACCAACCATAACAGTGGGATCAACAACTCGAGGTAAGTGATTTCCGTGGTATATGAGGTTTGTCTGCATTTTGTACATAACTTTTCTGCTGAACGGGTGGTTTGCAGTTGTTGTGGAGATAGCGCTGTAATCCTCGTAGGCTATCAGACGTAAAAGAAAATCTGCAACTAGCGCAAGGCCTGTAGAGAATGCCGCATGGCTGGAATGCACGAAGAACATGCACCGTACCTTGAGTCTAATTACAGTACTTTGTCTTTTCTGTTTCAGAAGAAATATGCCCAATCCCTATGGACACGACTTTCGTTATTGACTCGTCTCTGTGTGATAGTGAGAGCAATTGGAATCGCTTGTTGTACTTTTGTGCAAACTTTGGTCAACTATTTTAATGTGTCACCGTCAGGAGGTCGTGTTGCGTTTGTTCCTTACGGTACTAATGCTAGTGTAGTTCTGAAGTTTAACTCATTAAGCGGAATTAATCTTAATGGAGCAGAAGTCAAGAAACGACTTGATGGCTTAAGATGCCAGGGTGGTTTTAGACGAATCGACAAAGCATTGGATCTTGTAGACAGGGAGGTGCTGACACCCGCTGGTGGACTGAGAGACATTTCAAGGGTAAGTTGGAGAAGGAAGAATAACCGCACAAATTGACCAATAACACGCTAGGCACCTGGTGGATCAAAAGACTGACTTTGTGTTTTTCTATTGTTTGTCTGCAGCCCGTATTTGTGATCACGACTGGAAAGCAAACAGCGGACCAGGGCGTATACCTACCTCTGGATATAGCCTCCTCTCGCCTTCAGAGTAAAGGAGCGGCCGTGTTTGTGTTGGGTATAGGAGAGGACGTGGACACCTCAGAACTGAACGAAATTGCTTCTAGCCCTGACAACGTTTTTAGAGTGGATTCTTTTGAGGACTTGGACGAAAGGGTACCAACGATAAGAAGAGGAATATGCAAATTAGGTAAAATCATCTTTCGGCTATCCTTTTCCTAGTCAGGAGATGGTTACTTAAGAAAAAGGCTTAAAGGATTGACAGAGAGTCTTACTTAGTGTGTTTGTAAATAAGAAGGGCTTTCAAGTATTGCTTTGGATAATCTGTTGTTGTTGTTGTTGTTGTTGTTGTTGTTTTCAGTTCCAACCTTGTCAACGCCAACATTAGCACCAACACCAGTACAAACACCTGCACGTAAGTAAAGATTATTTTGAAAAACGCTTAGACGGACTGGCTTGAATTGAAATGTAGTGCCATTGTGCTTTTTGAACGATAAAATAACGGCGAATAGAGTTTACTTGATATCGATTCCACATCTTACGTCGTCGTATTTGATTGGAGTAGGAGCTATTAATAGTAAAGTATGGTTAGAATGAGGTTAGGCTCAACAAGGATACAGCCGATTGTGGTGATAGTTTATTAGGTCATCGTTCGGTAAAGCACCTAGATTACATAAGCGGGATACTGTTAAAGTAAAGCGGGCAATAAATACTCCTAATTGAAAAAAGCCGATCACAGAGTTGCATTGCTTGCCATTTGCGGTAGACCATTGAGCGTGGTACATTCGTGAAAAGCGTGTAAGATTCACGGCAAAACAAATGGCATAGTACATGCCTAAAATGCTCGTAATCTTGTTTTTATAATGCGTGCATGAATTTTAAGACCTCAAGCTAGTGGATCGTGTTTGCCATGGAAGGAGAGGTCACACGATTTTATTTTTGCCTGACAGCCTGCAAAGCCTCTGTAGATGTGGCATTTATTGTGGATTCATCAGGAAGCATTGGTCGTAGAAGATGGCCTCTGGTGTTAGACTTCTTAAAAAGATCATCAATGAGTTCAATGTTGGACCCGACGGCACACATGTGGCGGTAGTTGCCTACAGTACAAATCCGAAGCTCGAGTTCCCTTTCAATGCCGTATCTGGAGACCAAATTACTGCAGAGGAATATGGGAAACGTATCGACAGCATCAGATTCCAGAGAGGCTATACGTACATCGATAAGGCTTTGAAATTGGCTAACGAACAAGTGTTTGTCACAAGTGCTGGGATGAGGTCCGATGTACCGAAGGTATGATTGCAAAACGTCCCTTAAAAAAAGCCTCAGAAAAGTTTGTTCAATTGCGTATAGCGAAGTGTGGGTTTGTTTTGTTTCGCTGAATTATGTAAAGAGAACGTGTCGTTTTTGTGTAATTAGGAGGACACCGACTTTCTTGTGAACTTGATGGGAGGCTTAGAGTAGACACTGTACATGCTTGTGGTGCAATGAGATGTTAACAAACGCGTTTGTATTTTTTTTGTGCTACATGCAGGTCGCTATTGTAATCACCGATGGGGAGCAAACAACGACCGGTGGATTTACACCATTGGACGAAGCCTCCAAAGACATCAAAGACAAAGGAGTTGTAGTGTACTCTTTGGGTGTAGGGGTGGCGTCAACTCAGAACAATTACGGCAGATTGCTAGTTCTGATGACAACGTGTTTACGTCTACTGGCTTTGAGGAACTGATTAATGTGGTGAAGCCTATTGTAGAGAAATCTTGTCCGATCAAACCAACACCAACGCCTACTCCGAGTAAGAAATAAGACCCTGTTCGATTTTGCTATGCATATTTAAGCAATGGCTGTACTGTTGGTTTGCAACCAGGTTTCAATGTGGCCATGTTGTTCGACGAAAAAATACAGCCTTTTTTTGGCAGATATTTACATGAAGACGGAATTCAGGTCCCAGCTTCAGCTTGTTCTGGGCGGACAACATGGTCGCCGTGAAGTCAATATATTTGAGGGGGAGAGATCCTCTACGATAAGAGTTTCCAAAGAGCTGTGCGAAGATGTCGTTGTTACTATAACTTAGGTGGATAGTGCAATCCCTTAGAGAGGTCGTTTCCGATGTCTGTCTTGTCAAATTCTCTTGTGTTATTCGTAATATATACAAATTCATTTAATTGATGAAGTTTGTTGTATAGGATACGTTATAAAGCTGGATTGGTAGGATGACTCGCTGTCTGGTTTTGTAAGGTGTGAACGAGTTTTCTCTTACACTTTTGCCTAATGTACAGGTGCAGTATGCCCCATCCCTATGGAGACCACCTTCATTATCGACTCATCTGTATGTGGGAGCGACAGTGACTGGAATCGCTTATTGTACTTTGTGCAAACATTGGTCAGCTTCTTCAATGTGTCTCCTAGTCCATCTGGAGGACGTATTGCTCTCATTCCATACGCTACTGACGCTAGCGTTGCTCTAAAATTCAACACATTGACTGGAAGCCGACTCAGTGAAGCAGAGGTCAATAGACAAATTGGTCTGCTTAAATGTCAGCGTGGGTTTAGACGAATTGATAAAGCATTGGACCTGGCGGACAAGGAAGTGCTGACTCCCGCCGGTGGAGTGCGAGATATCTCAAAGGTGAAGGCCTCTAGAATACACTTTTTTTCCATCCTCAACACTTACATAAACTGTACGGTTTGAGCACGATATAAATCAGTCATATAAGAGAAATCGAAGTCAACGAGACTTGAGACTACAACTAGATTAGATTAAAGGGAGTTGCTTGGCTTCGAAGGCTTGTGGGACGCTCACACAACCACATCAGCAATGCGTTTAGTGTATGATGTATAATTGAATGCTATTATTTTATTGTCATAATGATTTTTTTTTTGTGGTTATTATAGTTAAAGTCTTTCCTGGTTTGTGGGCCATTGTCTTCAAATTTCTGCAGTTCGCTGAAAACGTTTGCATCATATTGGTAATTCTTCCTTTCCTTTTTTATAGCCTGTTTTAGTTATTACCGCTGGAAAGCAGACAAAAGATCAAGGAGCATACACGCCACTTGATAAAGCCTCATCCCGCCTTCAGAGTAAAGGAGCAGCTGTGTTCGTCTTGGGAATAGGAGAAGACGTGGATACCACAGAACTTAACCAGATCGCCTCCGGGCCTAATAACGTATTTAGGGTGGACTCTTTTAAGGACTTGTACGAGAAGGCTAACGAAGCGAAGAGAGGAATCTGCGTACTAGGTATCATTTGCAGACAGTATCGTAACACGCACCCTTCATGCAGTTTTCTTTTGTACGGCGAGTTGGCTAGGCATAATTAATTGTTTTCCGCCATGATCTGCGTTAACATTGTTACTTTGCCTTTAGAATTTATAACATGTGGAGACAGCAAACGTGGAAAAAGTGAGATTAGTAATCTTTCTCTAAAATGCATTACTTTTTGTTTGTTCTTTTCAGTGCCAACAACGCCTACACCAGTACCAACGACGCCAGGTAAATCATGCATGGCTATGTTAATTTGACCAGTCTGGTAATCTATGTAATGTTGTACTGTAGGCTCATATCGCGCCCGTGGGCCGTGGTCCGTGTTCCATGTTAAAGGGCGAATTTGCTTGCTGTTAGCGTTCGCAAGTTTGCTTAGAATCTGCTTTAATTTCAACAGAATTGTGCCGAATTCCAATGGACACCACCTTTATTATCGACTCGTCGTTGTGTGAAAGCGACAGCAACTGGCAGCGCTTGCTGAACTTTGTGCAAACGTTGGTCAGTTACTTTAATGTGTCACCATCAGGAGGTCGTATTGCTTTGATTCCATACGGCTCGGACGCCAAAGTGTCTCTAAAGTTCGATACATTAACTGGAAACCGTCTCAACGGAGAGGAAGTCAACAGGAGAGTGGGCAACCTAGCGTGTCAGGGAGGATCCAGACGAATCGATAAAGCCTTGGAATTAGCAGACAAAGACGTTTTGATCCCCTCTGCTGGAATGAGAGATGTATCACGGGTAAGAAATATTTTCTGAGTTACTACACGTTTCAACTGGCATTTGTAGTTTTTTTCTCTGTAGATTGACTCTGTTAATGAAGACAGCTTTTGATAATCAAACTTGGGGAGTCGAGGAAATGGCCTGTGTATTTAGAAGGGGCTTTTTGACCGGAGCTTGTTGATCTACACAAGTCCGTGACCAGAAATAAATAGTTAAAATACCCTGAAAAAAGAACTTTGTAGCTCACACTGAACAACACCGTAACAGTGCGTATTCATGGACTGAAAACGTAGGTTATTGATTTATTTCCTTCCAGCCTGTTTTGGTTATCACGACTGGAAAACAAACAGCAGACGAAGGAGTGTACACGCCTCTTGATATAGCTTCTTCTCGTCTCCAAGACAAAGGAGCAGCCGTTTTTGTCCTTGGTATAGGGAAAGACGTTGACCCTTCGGAACTTAAGCAAATTGCTTCTGGACCAAATAATGTCTTTACCGTGGGATCATTCGATGACTTGGATACCAAAGCTAACGAGGCCAAGAAAGGCATATGTGTGTTAGGTATTTGAATCTCCTGCATTGATTGTCCACATTATCGCCCTAATCTACATAATTACGCGGGATCTGATTTTATTTCTGCTTTCTAGTGCCTCCAACACCAACCATAACAGTGGGATCAACAACTCGAGGTAAGTGATTTCCGTGGTATATGAGGTTTGTCTGCATTTTGTACATAACTTTTCTGCTGAACGGGTGGTTTGCAGTTGTTGTGGAGATAGCGCTGTAATCCTCGTAGGCTATCAGACGTAAAAGAAAATCTGCAACTAGCGCAAGGCCTGTAGAGAATGCCCCATGGCTGGAATGCACGAAGAACATGCACCGTACCTTGAGTCTAATTACGTTACTTTGTCTTTTCTGTTTCAGAAGAAATATGCCCAATCCCTATGGACACGACTTTCGTTATTGACTCGTCTCTGTGTGATAGTGAGAGCAATTGGAATCGCTTGTTGTACTTTGTGCAAACTTTGGTCAACTATTTTAATGTGTCACCGTCAGGAGGTCGTGTTGCGTTTGTTCCTTACGGTACTAATGCTAGTGTAGTTCTAAAGTTTAACTCATTAAGCGGAATTAATCTTAATGGAGCAGAAGTCAAGAAACGACTTGATGGCTTAAGATGCCAGGGTGGTTTTAGACGAATCGACAAAGCATTGGATCTTGTAGACAGGGAGGTGCTGACACCCGCTGGTGGACTGAGAGACATTTCAAGGGTAAGTTGGAGAAGGAAGAATAACCGCACAAATTGACCAATAACACGCTAGGCACCTGGTGGATCAAAAGACTGACTTTGTGTTTTTCTATTGTTTGTCTGCAGCCCGTATTTGTGATCACGACTGGAAAGCAAACAGCGGACCAGGGCGTATACCTACCTCTGGATATAGCCTCCTCTCGCCTTCAGAGTAAAGGAGCGGCCGTGTTTGTGTTGGGTATAGGAGAGGACGTGGACACCTCAGAACTGAACGAAATTGCTTCTAGCCCTGACAACGTTTTTAGAGTGGATTCTTTTGAGGACTTGAACGAAAGGGTACCAACGATAAGAAGAGGAATATGCAAATTAGGTAAAATCATCTTTCGGCTATCCTTTTCCTAGTCAGGAGATGGTTACTTAAGAAAAAGGCTTAAAGGATTGACAGAGAGTCTTACTTAGTGTGTTTTTAAATAAGAAGGGCTTTCAAGTATTGCTTTGGATAATCTGTTGTTGTTGTTTTTGTTGTTGTTTTCAGTTCCAACCTTGTCAACGCCAACATTAGCACCAACACCAGTACAAACACCTGCACGTAAGTAAAGAATTTGAAAAACGCTTAGACGGACTGGCTTGAATTGAAATGTAGGGCCATTGTGCTTTCTGAACGATAAAATAACGGCGAATAGAGTTCACTTGATATCGATTCCACATCTTACGTCGTCGTATTTGATTGGAGTAGGAGCTATTAATAGTAAAGTATGGTTAGAATGAGGTTAGGCTCAACAAGGATACAGCCGATTGTGGTGATAGTTTATTAGGTCATCGTTCGGTAAAGCACCTAGATTACATAAGCGGGATACTGTTAAAGTAAAGCGGGCAATAAATACTCCTAATTGAAAAAAGCCGATCACAGAGTTGCATTGCTTGCCATTTGCGGTAGACCATTGAGCGTGGTACATTCGTTAAAGCGTGTAAGATTCACGGCAAAACAAATGGCATAGTACATGCCTAAAATGCTCGTAATCTTGTTTTTATAATGCATGCATGAATTTTAAGACCTCAAGCTAGTGGATCGTGTTTGCCATGGAAGGAGAGGTCACACGATTTTATTTTTGCCTGACAGCCTGCAAAGCCTCTGTAGATGTGGCATTTATTGTGGATTCATCAGGAAGCATTGGTCGTAGAAGATGGCCTCTGGTGTTAGACTTCTTAAAAAAGATCATCAATGAGTTCAATGTTGGACCCGACGGCACACATGTGGCGGTAGTTGCCTACAGTACAAATCCGAAGCTCGAGTTCCCTTTCAATGCCGTATCTGGAGACCAAATTACTGCAGAGGAATATGGGAAACGTATCGACAGCATCAGATTCCAGAGAGGCTATACGTACATCGATAAGGCTTTGAAATTGGCTAACGAACAAGTGTTTGTCACAAGTGCTGGGATGAGGTCCGATGTACCGAAGGTATGATTGCAAAACGTCCCTTAAAAAAGCCTCAGAAAAGTTTGTTCAATTGCGTATAGCGAAGTGTGGGTTTGTTTTGTTTCGCTGAATTATGTAAAGAGAACGTGTCGGTTTTTGTGTAATTAGGAGGACACCGACTTTCTTGTGAACTTGATGGAAGGCTTAGAGTAGACACTGTACATGCTTGTGGTGCAATGAGATGTTAACAAACGCGTTTGTATTTTTTTTGTGCTACATGCAGGTCGCTATTGTAATCACCGATGGGGAGCAAACAACGACCGGTGGATTTACACCATTGGACGAAGCATCCAAAGACGTCAAAGACAAAGGAGTTGTAGTGTACTCTTTGGGTGTAGGGAGTGGCGTCAACTCAGAACAATTACGGCAGATTGCTAGTTCTGATGACAACGTGTTTACGTCTACTGGCTTTGAGGAACTGATTAATGTGGTGAAGCCTATTGTAGAGAAATCTTGTCCGATCAAACCAACACCAACGCCTACTCCGAGTAAGAAATAAGACCCTGTTCGATTTTGCTATATATATTTAAGCAATGGTTGTACTGTTGGTTTGCAACCAGGTTTCAATGTGGCCATGTTGTTCGACGAAAAAATACAGCCTTTTTTTGGCAGATATTTACATGAAGACGGAATTCAGGTCCCAGCTTCAGCTTGTTCTGGGCGGACAACATGGTCGCCGTGAAGTCAATATATTTGAGGGGGAGAGATCCTCTACGATAAGAGTTTCCAAAGAGCTGTGCGAAGATGTCGTTGTTACTATAACTTAGGTGGATAGTGCAATCCCTTAGAGAGGTCGTTTCCGATGTCTGTCTTGTCAAATTCTCTTGTGTTATTCGTAATATATACAAATTCATTTAATTGATGAAGTTTGTTGTATAGGATACGTTATAAAGCTGGATTGGTAGGATGACTCGCTGTCTGGTTTTGTAAGGTGTGAACGAGTTTTCTCTTACACTTTTGCCTAATGTATAGGTGCAGTATGCCCCATCCCTATGGAGACCACCTTCATTATCGACTCATCTGTATGTGGGAGCGACAGTGACTGGAATCGCTTATTGTACTTTGTGCAAACATTGGTCAGCTTCTTCAATGTGTCTCCTAGTCCATCTGGAGGACGTATTGCTCTCATTCCATACGCTACTGACGCTAGCGTTGCTCTAAAATTCAACACATTGACTGGAAGCCGACTCAGTGAAGCAGAGGTCAATAGACAAATTGGTCTGCTTAAATGTCAGGGTGGGTTTAGACGAATTGATAAAGCATTGGACCTGGCGGACAAGGAAGTGCTGACTCCCGCCGGTGGAGTGCGAGATATCTCAAAGGTGAAGGCCTCTAGAATACACTTTTTTTTCCATCCTCAACACTTACATAAACTGTACAGTTTGAGCACGATATAAATCAGTCATATAAGAGAAATCGAAGTCAACGAGACTTGAGACTACAACTAGATTAGATTAAAGGGAGTTGCTTGGCTTCGAAGGCTTGTGGGACGCTCACACAACCACATCAGCAATGCGTTTAGTGTATGATGTATAATTGAATGCTATTATTTTATTGTCATAACGGTTTTTTTTTTGGTTATTATAGTTAAGTTCCTTCCTGGTTTGTGGGCCATTGTCTTCAAATTTCTGCAGTTCGCTGAAAACGTTTGCATCATATTGGTAATTCTTCCTTTCCTCTTTTATAGCCTGTTTTAGTTATCACCGCTGGAAAGCAGACAAAAGATCAAGGAGCATACACGCCACTTGATAAAGCCTCATCCCGCCTTCAGAGTAAAGGAGCAGCTGTGTTCGTCTTGGGAATAGGAGAAGACGTGGATACCACAGAACTTAACCAGATCGCCTCCGGGCCTAATAACGTATTTAGGGTGGACTCTTTTAAGGACTTGTACGAGAAGGCTAACGAAGCGAAGAGAGGAATCTGCGTACTAGGTATCATTTGCAGACAGTATCGTAACACGCACCCTTCATGCAGTTTTCTTTTGTACGGCGAGTTGGCTAGGCATAATTAATTGTTTTCCGCCATGATCTGCGTTAACATTGTTACTTTGCCTTTAGAATTTATAACATGTGGAGACAGCAAACGTGGAAAAAGTGAGATTAGTAATCTTTCTCTAAAATGCATTACTTTTTGTTTGTTCTTTTCAGTGCCAACAACGCCTACACCAGTACCAACGACGCCAGGTAAATCATGCATGGCTATGTTAATTTGGCCAGTCTGGTAATCTATGTAATGTTGTACTGTAGGCTCATATCGCGCCCGTGGGCCGTGGTCCGTGTTCCATGTTAAAGGGCGAATTTGCTTGCTGTTAGCGTTCGCAAGTTTGCTTAGAATCTGCTTTAATTTCAACAGAATTGTGCCGAATTCCAATGGACACCACCTTTATTATCGACTCGTCGTTGTGTGAAAGCGACAGCAACTGGCAGCGCTTGCTGAACTTTGTGCAAACGTTGGTCAGTTACTTTAATGTGTCACCATCAGGAGGTCGTATTGCTGTGATTCCATACGGCTCGGACGCCAAAGTGTCTCTAAAGTTCGATACATTAACTGGAAACCGTCTCAACGGAGAGGAAGTCAACAGGAGAGTGGGCAACCTAGCGTGTCAGGGAGGATCCAGACGAATCGATAAAGCCTTGGAATTAGCAGACAAAGACGTTTTGATACCCTCTGCTGGAATGAGAGATGTATCACGGGTAAGAAATATTTTCTGAGTCACTACACGTTTCAACTGGCATTTGTAGTTTTTTCTCTGTAGATTGACTCTGTCAATGAAGACAGCTTTTGATAATCAAACTTGGGGAGTCGAGGGAAATGGCCTGTGTATTTAGAAGGGGCTTTTTGACCGGAGCTTGTTGATCTACACAAGTCCGTGACCAGAAATAAATAGTTAAAATACTCTGAAAAAAAGAACTTTGTAGCTCACACTGAACAACACCGTAACAGTGCGTATTCATGGACTGAAAACGTAGGTTATTGATTTGTTTCCTTCCAGCCTGTTTTGGTGATCACGACTGGAAAACAAACAGCAGACGAAGGAGTGTACACGCCTCTTGATATAGCTTCTTCTCGTCTCCAAGACAAAGGAGCAGCCGTTTTTGTCCTTGGTATAGGGAAAGACGTTGACCCTTCGGAACTTAAGCAAATTGCTTCTGGACCAAATAATGTCTTTACCGTGGGATCATTCGATGACTTGGATACCAAAGCTAACGAGGCCAAGAAAGGCATATGTGTGTTAGGTATTTGAATCTCCTGCATTGATTGTCCACATTATCGCCCTAATCTACATAATTACGCGGGATCTGATTTTGTTTCTGTTTTGTAGTGCCTCCAACACCAACCATAACAGTGGGACCAACAACTCGAGGTAAGTGATTTCCGTGGTATACGAGGTTTGTCTGCATTTTGTACATAACTTTTCTGCTGAACGGGTGGTTTGCAGTTGTTGTGGAGATAGCGCTGTAATCCTCGTAGGCTATCAGACGTAAAAGAAAATCTGCAACTAGCGCAAGGCCTGTAGAGAATGCCCCATGGCTGGAATGCACGAAGAACATGCACCGTACCTTGAGTCTAATTACGTTACTTTGTCTTTTCTGTTTCAGAAGAAATATGCCCAATCCCTATGGACACGACTTTCGTTATTGACTCGTCTCTGTGTGATAGTGAGAGCAATTGGAATCGCTTGTTGTACTTTGTGCAAACTTTGGTCAACTATTTTAATGTGTCACCGTCAGGAGGTCGTGTTGCGTTTGTTCCTTACGGTACTAATGCTAGTGTAGTTCTGAAGTTTAACTCATTAAGCGGAATTAATCTTAATGGAGCAGAAGTCAAGAAACGACTTGATGGCTTAAGATGCCAGGGTGGTTTTAGACGAATCGACAAAGCATTGGATCTTGTAGACAGGGAGGTGCTGACACCCGCTGGTGGACTGAGAGACATTTCAAGGGTAAGTTGGAGAAGGAAGAATAACCGCACAAATTGACCAATAACACGCTAGGCACCTGGTGGATCAAAAGACTGACTTTGTGTTTTTCTATTGTTTGTCTGCAGCCCGTATTTGTGATCACGACTGGAAAGCAAACAGCGGACCAGGGCGTATACCTACCTCTGGATATAGCCTCCTCTCGCCTTCAGAGTAAAGGAGCGGCCGTGTTTGTGTTGGGTATAGGAGAGGACGTGGACACCTCAGAACTGAACGAAATTGCTTCTAGCCCTGACAACGTTTTTAGAGTGGATTCTTTTGAGGACTTGGACGAAAGGGTACCAACGATAAGAAGAGGAATATGCAAATTAGGTAAAACTTTGTTAGAAAAGGGTTTCTTTTTTGCTTTTGTTTTTGTATCTCGGCATACATGTAGTAAGCTGTACGGTAAGGTGTTAAATAGCTATTAAAGTTTTGTTGGACATGAATACTGATATAATTAAAGTTCTTGTTATTTTATTATGTGTGATTTTTTAAGTTTGAGTTGTTTTTAAGATGAAGTTTTTTAAGTGCTTTACCCGCGCACAGCAGAGGGAGGAGGTAAGAGGAAAATCTATGCGGGTATATTTTACCTTTTAGTTTGATTAGATGTTTTTTTGAATAGATTATTCTTATGCTAATGAACGTTTTTTGTTCTATTTTCGCGCAGTGCCAACTTCCTCTACACCAACACCAACACCAACTCCTACAGTGGGACGTAAGTGTATGTTGTATAGTAACATGGTTGTCTCGATACACTTTCCCGAAGAGTTTTTTGTTATGGATGGATTTTGAAAGACATATTCAAAGAAACCACCCGAAACGAAAAGAGAAAACATAAAAATTAATGTTAATTGGCATTTCGACAAGTTCGGGTAGACGAGATTGCTCTCTGGATTCACAATCTTTTCTGGATTTCTCACTACATTAAGGTTATTCGGCGCAGTCTTTTAAACACAGCAGTTAACTAGGCAACATTCATTTGGATGCAAAGTGTTTCTTCAGATATTCAAAATCTTCGGCTGACGCGTGACTAAATTTATTTATTCATCTGTGTGTAAACGACAAAACAAATTCGTTACCAAAATGCCCCGGATTCGTCATGAACGAGGAAAATTCTCCTGTGGTGCAAATGAAGCCTTTATGTAATCATTGTCAAATGCGAAGGAAATTAACGTACCGATATATGGAGAGGATCTGCGAAAAAATGCTGGTGAGTTAGATTCAAGCGTCAAAATGTTTGAAATTGACAATTAAGTAGAACGCTTCACACGGATGGAGCCGGCTTGAGTGTTTTAGTGTCGGTCGCAACCTTCCTAAGGCATTTCTTAAGACTTTTAACGTTCTGATGAAAATTCTTGAATTTTGTTGGTCAATTTACTTTACGTGTATGTTCAAATTTTTTTGGATTTTCCAATGGTGACATGAGGCCATACGTCATGTTACGTTTTAATGGTTAATTTTGCTTTTTAGATGTGTCGTAAGTCACTCTTTTGAGAGAATATCGTTTTAGGAAAAAAAAAAACATTCAAGGGAGGCTGCGTGGCCGAGCGGTTCGAACGCCAGACTTGTAATCCAGAGGCCTCGAGTTCTAGTTCCGCCCCGACTGGTAGCTGGATTTGTTCTCGGTAGTCTCTAGTTCACAATCCTCGGCCACTCTTGTAAAATAGGCAGTTGGTTCGCCTCCTACCAGTTGGGATTCTCACTTTGTTATGTTTGATGTGAATTATTTGTTTTATCACCCCTGAAAGGCCCCTAAAGGGGAGAGGATAATTAAGTATTTGTTCAATTTTTATTTTAACCTAATTGTGCGTCCTGGTTGTGTATTCTTGATTTGCAACCACGCGACATAGTGGCCATGTTGGTGGTCAATGCGATAGAAATCATTTCAAAGAATTTACATGTAAATGGAGTTTAGTTCCCAGAGGATAAAAATTATTTTGTTCTTGACCACCAACATGGCTGCCATGACGTCACGTGCAAACCAGTAATTAAATAGGCCATTTGCGCGATGGCGTCATTTTACTACTACGATTAGAATCCTTTTCGTTTTTGCTTTCATATTCAAATTTGGTAATCCCAGTGAGGTTTGAAAAACGAAAGCCTTAATTTGCACAAGAAAGCAAACCCCTGAAGGATTCTGGTCGTACTAGTAAAATGACGTCATCGTGCAAGGTTTATTCTTCCTTCTACAGCATCGCGAATAACATAAAGAAATCGAAATTACACACGGAGACCGTTTCAATAATTTCATTGTGACGTTACGTTCATAATTTCATGTAACGTATCCGTATCATTCATGCTTTCTCAACGAGTAGTATGTCTAAACCGAAAGAGATTTTAAAAAGTGGTAAATTTTTGTCATTAAGAAAATCGGTGTTATTTTTTTATTGTTAGCGTGTAAGGTATCGGCAGATGTGGCCTTTATTGTGGATTCATCAGGAAGTATTGGTCGTAGAAAATGGCCTCTGGTGTTGGACTTCTTAAAAAAGGTCATTAGCGAGTTCAATGTTGGACCCGATGGCACACATGTGGCGGTAGTTGCCTACAGTACAAACGCGAAGCTCGAGTTCCCTTTCAATGTCGTATCTGGAGACCAAATTACTGCAGAGGAATATGGGAATCGTATCGACAGGATCAGATTCCAGAGAGGCTATACGTATATCGATAAGGCTTTGAAATTGGCTAACGAACAAGTGTTTGTCACAAGTGCTGGGATGAGGTCCGATGTACCGAAGGTATACACGCCTACATTTGCTTCAGTTTTTCTTTTAATGAACGCGGATAGCTCTCAAGAAGCTAGAGATGCTCTCGGCGAACTAAGCAATAAACTATGCATAAGCAATTCTTACAAGTTGCATAGTTGCCATCGACTATTTTTCTTGCAAGTTCTTTCTTCTGATAAAAAAAATAATACTTTGGGTTGTCATGTTTTCCTCTACTTCACTGCTTATAATTGTACGTAGTTGCAGTACCATTTGCCATGTTTGTTATCAGTTCTATGTCCAGTTAACGGTAGGTGTTATTTGTATAATCTCAACAGATTGCTATTGTACTTACCGATGGTGCACAAACCACGACTGGCGGATATACACCACTGAACGAGGCCTCTCAGGGCATTAAAGACAAGGGAATTGCCGTGTATTCTTTGGGCATTGGTAAAAATGTAGACTCTGTGCAGCTGCGGCAAATTGCTAGTTCCGATAGTAACGTCTTTAGGTCTGCTGGATTCGATGAGCTCGTTGAGTTGGTAAGACCAATTGTACAAGAGTCTTGTCCAAAGCCAACACCTCCTCCTACCCCTGGTAAGTGGTTTTGACTTCTTGTTCGCTATATAACGTTTTTCAAAACTGAGATGTGCTGCAAGTTGGTTGTAATTATAGCAAGTGTTTAGATCAATGAGATAGCCTGTTATATTGTCTTTTGATGCTCGCGAATTGTGTTAGAGGGTATAAAAACAAACATGAATGGTCCGACATTCCAGGTCGTGCTAGTAGTAGAACACTCAAAGGATTTCTTTTAAAGGAAGGATTCTGGCAAATTTCAGAAAGCAATGAATTAGATTCACAGGATAAATGGACGAAGAAAAACTGCTAGTGGGATCTTCACAACTGCTTTTTACTGGAAACATTTTAAACTACATGTATCGCATTTTATAGAAATCTTCTTTCTATTCACCAGGAGCAATATGTCCAATCCCTATGGACACCACCTTCATTATCGACTCATCTTTATGCGACAGCGACAGTGATTGGAATCGTTTACTGTACTTCATCCAAGCTTTAGTTACACATTTTAATGTGTCACCATCTGGCGGACGAATTGCTCTTATCCCTTTTAGTACTGGTGCCAAGGCGGCTCTTAAGTTTAATACATTAACGGGAAGCCTACTCAATGGAGAGGAAGTCAACAAGAGGGTTGGCAAGCTAGAGTGTCAGGGAGGGTCTAGACGAATTGATAAAGCCCTGGACTTGGCAGGCAATGAGGTTTTGATCCCTACTGCTGGAATGAGGGATGTCTCAAGGGTAAGTGACTTGTTGATTGATCATTGTTTTAAAGGGCACTTTTCTTCAGTCGGAACTGGCCTGCCTGACCTGATGGGTCCGTAAAACGAATTCCACTGTTTACCAAACCTGGTATGCCAGATTAGTCTAACACATAGATTTTGCCTAGGCCAAAAGCGAAGCTCTCAATCGATCTGTTATGAAGTGACTTTCTTAGGCAATTCAACTTTTGCCGTAAGCAGAAAACGAACTAAATTCTACTTAAAAGGTGGGCCTTTACCCGTGATCAATGACGTTAAATACGTCACCTGCATAGTAAGTCCTATAACTCAGCCCGCGATACAGTCATGTGACACTGGTCAGCGAATACCCTTTTTGACAGCTGTCAATTGACCATAACGTGGATGTCCAATACCTAGTTTAAAACACAGATGGTATATGCCTTGGACTTTAGCGAGTGTGACATTTCATATCCGCTAACATGTGGGGGTGGACGGACGGACGGACGGACGGACGATTTTGTCATTTCTTGGATGCATAAATAACCAAATTTTCTGACCAATCTTGTTCCTGGTGTTCCGCCATTAATACGTTCTATGCGTAACAGTGTTGTTGTTGTTCATCTTTAAGCGAAACGCTAAAAAAGAACCTATTTTAAAATTCAAAGGCTAGTCTAACCGACCAAGGGTGTTACATCGATAGTGCTTTCAGTTATTGGTTTTGTTTTTGCAGCCTGTCCTTGTTATTCTGGCTGGAAAGCAGACGACAGACAAAGGAGCATACACGCCTCTTGATGAAGCTTCCTATCGCCTAAAAAGTAAAGGAGCCCCTGTGTTTGTCTTGGGTATAGGAAAAGACGTGGACACCACAGAACTTAACCAAATTGCGTCTGGGCCTGATAACGTATTTAGAGTGGACTCTTTTAAGGACCTGTATGACAAAGCTCCTCAAGCAAAGACAGGCATCTGTGTGCTAGGTATTGTGTTCTTCCGCTTTTTTAAATTTTATTTGCTACACGATAATAGAAATTACAAATAATATAGGAAAAGAAAAAAAGGAAGTGGCGAGGAGATCTAACAGAAACTGTAGGAGCTTACAAGATTTTAGGCCTCTTCGTACTACGGGTTAGAGCTGTTTATTTGCCACACAATAACAGAAATTGCAAATGATATAGGAAAAGTAGAAAAAACGGAAGTGGCGAGGAGATCTAACAGAAACTTTAGGAGCCTATGAGAGGTTAGGCCTATTCGTAATACGGGTTAGAGCAGTTTAACATCAATTCAAGAAAAGATGGCGAAGGAGCTTACGAGATTTTAGGCCTCTTCCTACTACGGGTTAGAGCTGTTTATTTGCCACACAATAACAGAAATTGCAAATGATATAGGAAAAGTAGAAAAACGGAAGTGGCGAGGAGATCTAACAGAAACTTTAGGAGCCTATGAGAGGTTAGGCCTATTCGTACTACGGGTTAGAGCTGTTTAACATCAATTCAAGAAAAGATGGCGAAAAGCCGAAGATTTATGAAAGATTTCCCCCCCGCCCCCTCCGCGTGTACTTACCAGCCCTGTGGATCACGCTTTTGCTCATAAAACCCCTCTGACTCTACAGTTTTTCCCCTTGCCTTGTAATGGTCCTAAACTGCTGCACTTTGTACTGTGCTTAAGCAATTGATGAATGGTAATCGTTAATTGGGTTTTTGTCTTTTTAACAGTGCCTCCTACCACACCAGTGCCAACAGGTGAGTGATTATAACTTTTGTTTCTTTACTCTCTATTTTTTTTTGCTGAAGACCAACTTCTGTACGATGCGCGAGCTGTAAAAGCAATAAGTTGAATCCAAATCGGTCTGTAATCATTTGTAGTGATTAGACAAATCGGACAACTGTGATTTGTTTGACTACGGGTAAGATAATACACACCGAGTAGACCTTTCTACGGATTTTCCAAGTTTTGTTTAAAAGCGAATACTTATCCATTCACACTGCTGGAACGAGAGCTTTACAGTTAAGAAACTTACCAAGCTTAGAGGTGACACGTTTAAAGGGAGCGTTCAATCCTGTCCTTTTTACTGGTCCCGATCGACAGTTATAAAAACCATGAAAGGGTCTGTTGGGTGACACCAAGTTCTGTTACCAAGTATTTATAACCTAGCTCATTGTCTCTTTACACAACCTAAACAAAACTGTGATTACAAGCTCTGCCGAGAGTTTTTGGCTGTAGATTGTAAAAAAGCACCCACGCGCACGCGTTATGGATTTACTCTCCAATTACTTTGGCGTGACGAGTACTGTCCCATTACGCAGAATTGTTATGGTCATGATAAATATTAACTTCAAGGCTGCCGCTAGTACTGAAAACAAATCCAGATATAGCGAGGAGAATCCAGGAAAACCACTGAATTATAGAAGTGGGTCCTGCTTATCAACGTGATTGTCGCTACCCCCTCACTTTTTTCTGATTGTATATTTCCTATCTCAATCTCTCTCTTTCTTGTCGTCTACAGAATTCGTTTGTAAAGCTGTGGCAGACGTCGCATTCATTGTAGATTCCTCTGGAAGTATTGGCAGAAGAAACTGGGTGAAAATGCTCCAGTTCCTTAAAGACATGGTGAAAGCTTTTAATGTTGGTCCCCAAAAGACTCATATCGCTGTGGTCGCTTACAGCACGAATGCCAATGTCGAGTTCAGATTTAACAGGCTCACGGGATCCGCAGTATCAGAGGAAGGTTACAACGGACTAATCGGCAGGATTAGGTTTCAGAGAGGCTTTACCTTTATCGATAAAGCACTCAAGCTAGCCAATGAACAAATATTTTCCACCAATTTTGGAATGAGGCCTGCTTTGCCACAGGTATGAAAAGTGTATGCCACACGCACTTTTTCCTTTTATATCGTCTGGAAAGGGAAAACGGTACATGTGGTTATGTGGTACAATTTGAGGTTCGACCAAAATACGTATTAGACCTAATTATCGGTTGGGTTTCTTGTCTCAGTAGTTGTCTTTGTGCAGTTAAGTAGCAAGTACTAATTCCTCATTTCTTTCAACATTGATTTTAATTCCAAATCTAATTCTAATCGTATAATCTGCAAGGGGTATATCCTATCACGGCAGATAAATGGAGCTAGGCTTTTGGTTACATGACATAAAATAACTATTTAAATAAAAAGGAAAAAGAGTTAAGTATCGATGCTACGTAAGACAAAAGACGCCCTTGCGTAATGTAAAAGAATTTATTTGCATGGTAAATGGCTCTGCAGAAGCTTCAACACCATCCTTGATTGGATATGGGGAGGGTGGGGGGTTAATATGCTAGAAAATCACTTGGACGTGTCTAGGAGTGTAGCGTCCATATACGGTACGCACATAGGCTGGTGGGTACAATCTGGAAAAAAAAATTGTCGTTGAATCAGGATGACTGATCAATTTTTTGCATTCTATTAAGTGTCTTTGTCCCCTCTGAACGGTAGACGTCTCCTGATGACGTCACTGTTTTCCCCTTTTACCCCGTTAGCACTGAAACCTAGAGAGATGGGTAAAATAATTAACTAACTACTGAATTGTTATTCATATTTATTTGCTAAAAACTTCTCGCGGAAAACACCGGAAATGGCATTTTCGAGACCCTAAATTTAAAACATTTTTTGGGGAAGTACGCAACCAGACTCCCACAGTAAAGGCTCTCCAACTTTTCTTCCCGTGTGTACACCTTCAAAATCTCATGCTACGTCCCTGGTATTGATAGGTCGTTTCAAGTCGTTTGTAAACAAACTTCTTACAAAATGATGGTAGCTTCGTTGACAAAATTCTTTTCCACGAGTATCCTGTTTCTCTAATTATCAATACTGATATCATTTTTTTCGTTTCTTAGATTGCTATTGTTATCACGGACGGGGAGCAGACAACAACTCGAGGACCTTATACTCCGCTTTCAGAAGCCTCAAAGGGACTCAAGGACAAAAAGGTGATATTGTATTCCCTTGGAATCGGCAGAAACGTCAATCAAGATCAGCTGAATGCAATAGCCAGTTCAAAAAACAACGTCTTTACAGCTGCCAGTTTCTCAGACCTTACACCCGTAGCGCAGACCATTGTCCAAAACTCATGTCCAGGTAGGGCTTAGTTCAGAATTATGTTCTGGTGTACCGGAATTGAACACATTCACTCTTTTCTTAAGAATATTGTTTTACCGACCCAGGCTGAATATTCATTTTTTTTTCCCCTGCCGATTTTATATGGTAGGGTTAAAAGCATAGTTGAACTCAAAATTGTAGCGGAGCTCCACGCGCGCGCGAACGGAGCCACATACCTAAGAAAATTTGGTAATCTATCCATCCCATAAATTTTGGTAATCGCGTGACCGTACGCCCGTCCACCCGTCCGTCCGCACCACAAGCAAACAAGTTTAGTATGTAACCTGCGTTTAACTAGCGTGCAAATCAGGCATATTTTGCTCTGCGATCGATTTGGACTTTCGACTGATCGAGAGTTGAAGCGAGTCATAAAAAGATTCCAAGGGAGTGGTCGACGCGATAAAATGGGGGAGGGGGAGGAAAAATTACGCCTGCACGCAGCCATTGTTTGTTTGGCGAACGCTGTACACTGGATAGACGGGAGTTCTGATTGATGCGGTTCCGGACGTTCGATTGCTAGCTGTCAATCAAGGTCACGTAGGAACATACATTTTCCAGGCCTTCGGCTCGGTACATTTTTAATATCCTGATTCATCCGGATTTTGAAAATTTTGATTCTGCCCTGGGGGAACGCTTTCGGTTCTTTGGGTTACGCCTATCGCTTATCGATCGGAGCAAGAGCACGCGGTTATTACACTATTGTCGAGACCTGATTTATTGGTTTCATCTTTCATTTTTCCGACTTGACCATGATAGCAACTAACGGGGAACGCTTTAGTTCCTAAACTGCAATCTTGCTTTCAACGGAAGGACGACGGGATATCGCGTCCAGTCCAAACATTCACTCATCTCAGGAGAAACAATCTGTGTCGGTGCCTAAAGAATGATATTGCCTGCCGACTTACAGCGCAGTTCTCCATGGTTAAGTTGTTGTAGCTTCATTTTAGGCTACAATTCGGATCTGTAGAGAAGTAACCAACTAGTGGTCTATTATCAATACTGCGTTCTGATTGGTTGTGCTACTACTAGGCTATATGTTATAGTCCCCTAGTAGCGAAAACCGCGGGCTTTTTGGCGGCAAAAAAGGCTTAAAGTCTAGCTTTTAACTAGCTAAAAATTGTTTATTCTCTATATTTTTGACCAACTAGTTGGATTTTACTAAAACAATTATTCCTCCCGCCCTCATGGCCTCTGAGTCAATAGCCCATTCGGCCTTCGGCCTCATAGGCTATTGACTTAGAGCCCATTCGGGCCCAAGGAATAATTGTTAAATACTATCCTTTTCAAAATATCCGCCTCGGGTTTATTCTTGTAATATTCTTTTAATTTCGCAAATTTCATCCTCGATATTCTGATAAAAGATATTCTTATAAAAAAAGTGTACTTCGTTTTTATGTGTTATCGTTATCGTTATCATCATCACCATTATTATTAATTTTCAGAACGTTGAAGGAATTTCTACCAATGGGATGCAGCGTTTCTGAGAACAATCTACCAATGGCATGTCGATGACTACAGATATTTCGCCACGTTGAAAAATTTCTAACAAATTTATCTTATTTAACAGGAATAAGTCGCACATAGATTAGTATTTCTATTGGCATAAATAGCTATAAATTTTGTTTTTCATGCTGTTTCCTTTTCTGCTATGGTTGCTAAGCCTTAAAAAGAAAGCATTCGACATCATGGATTCATACAACAATAAAGTAAAATTCAAAATGGTACACAAGACTAGGGCTGTGTATAGAATAAACCGTTGTTTGATGTTAGAAGAGGTCTGTAAAAATAAAGAGTTATCTGTTTCTGAACTATAAGCACTGATGCAAAGGCAGGAGCAGAAGGGCAAAAGAGTGCTGATATTCAAGGAGTAGAATTTGTGAGCCACTTGTCTAAGATAGATCTAAGCTATAGATAACCGAACTAGAACAGTTCGGCGAATGCCGGGTGGCCGCGTTAATTCAAAAATAATCGACTAGAGGTAGACAAACAAAGACCAATAAGATAGAGTATGCAACGATCACAGTTCTGATATTAAAAAGTGTTTTTTGAAGCCTGTGCATTGTGTCATCATTTTCTTTCCTGGGTGAAAATCTTTGCCAATTTGTTGCCAGTGAAGTAAACGTTTTTACACGAACACGCACGAAGAGATAAAGCAAGGCTAAGAATTAAGAGGGGAAGGGGATTCTTTTATGTTGGACGTTACGTTACCTTGATGTGTAAACTTTTTTGGAACACGCGAGCATGTACTTCACATATCGAAGTATAACCTTGGAAGGCCCAAACATACAGCTAAACACACATATTTACACGTAATCTTGTTCCCAGATCTTTTAGAGATCTCAGGACGACATTAATTTACACGTTAATGTCGGAGTAGATCGTTATCAACCCGGCAGTGTCGATGATAATCGGGAAACTTCGCTCGCATTACTTTTCCATACTTAAATCGACAATCTTGCAAAAGATGAAACTGTTATTTTAGGATTTCTAGAATAATTTCACAATCGTGCCTCTACAGATGACAATGAAACCTCTATACAACAAAGGGTAAAGGGACTGGCAAAATTTGTTCACTGTAACGAGGTTTTGTTAGATCGAGGTTCTTTTTCATATATTTTACCATTACTGGGGTAACTGATGAAAATCGTTATATAGAGGTTCCACTGTATTTCATTTCTGGCCACCTTCAGATAGGTGACAAACAACAATAGACTGATTTCGATATATTAAAGTTCGTACATATAAGTGAATCCAGTTCTTGGGCGAATATAACAAAAGAAATTACCTTCAGACTTAGTATGAACTCAGGTAATTTTTATCCTTATCATTCCCCAAGTCTCGGAACCATGAATTTTTTGTATAACGAACTTGGTCCATTGGTAATGTAAAGTCTTTGGCGTTACAATCTACGTCTCCACTAATGCTAGAAGGTACTACAATTTTTAGTCTTATTATCCATTTATTAACTAAATGCAAAGTTAAATCCCTCAATATATTCAGTTCGCTAGCACTTAAAGGAAAAAAAAAATGATTTATCACCATTTATATATTACCGCATTCACATGGCTGAACACTCCTTACTCAGATTAACCTCGGGTGATCAACAGAACGAAACATTGTTACGTAAAGAACTGCAAATCTTCCTTTGAATGACCCTTCCGATGCGTATTCGGTGCTGAGTAATTTACCTGAGTTTAAATCACAATGTAAATTTTCTTAACAGACATCAGAGATGAGTCCAGTGTAGAATCCCGATTTTTCGAATTTTCGGTTTTTCTAAGGCATTCTTCACCGAACCAGAACTAACTCCTCCAGCCCTTAGTCAAACGCTGAGGTTTTAACCGATTTTCGAACCACCCGATAATACGGACCATGCAATTTTATTTTATTTTTCATAAAGAAATGTATTGAATGTCTCCGTAAATTACCGACTTAGTTTCCCAAGGTGAAAAACTGCAACTATAGCACACGGGTGTTGAGACTGCTGGACACACTCTTAACTGGCAAAATTAATGTATTAGAGAATATCTTTGCTCTTAAACTCGGTTCTTACGGAACCTCTGTCCAAACCCAGAACGAAAAATGACTTATAACCAGATACTATGACTATTTTTCCGTCTTGCATGCAGGACTCAAGGACAACCAGCCTATTGCAGGATTAGGTAAAAGAAGAATGTGATACGACCTCATTAAAACCTTAAGTCCCAATACAGACCAACATCTATTTTCACCTGACACTAACAATACATCGTCAAAAGCTCCTGAAAATTAATTATGTTATCGCCAAAGATAAAAGGGTTTTATCTATTATTAAATTCTTCCAAATAACTCGTTGAAGAAATGTAAGGAGATAAGTCTAGAGAATTTGTATGTTGATATTGGGGCTTAAAGGGCCAGGTGTTCTCCGTGACACTCATTCGTTAAATCAGTATTCTAGAAAGGTGCAAAAACATTTCATTTTTGATTATTCTGCATGAAATGTTGCCCATTAAATTACTAACACCCAGCCTTAACTGATGAATGTTGTTCATTAAAGAACTAACACGCAGCCTTAACTGTTGTCAGGTCGGATTTGTCGGATTCTGCCTTTTTTGCTAGCAAATTAAACTAAAGAGTCGATCAATTTCGAATACTGTTACTAACAGCTGTTGTTGTACTGTCCAGGAAGGAAAGCTCCAAAAAAGGTAATTTACGACCTTATTTTTTGTTCTGTGTTTGGGCTAAGGAAAACGTCAACTTCTCACTGAATGGCAATAATTATGGCAATCAAAATGGTTTGACTGAGATGTATTTGAACAGAAAAAATGACTGATACAGCAAGTTGAACCTGGCTTATTCACGTCTCGTGTAAGCGAACAGCTCTAGCTCCCGTGAATGACACCAAATTATGAATCCAGCAATTTGAGTTTCGTCCGAACTGCCGTTAATACAACTCCAGGGGCGTAGCTTGCGATTATGATGGTGTAGGCACTGGAAGAAAAGTTAGAGCTCTGAATGCTCTCCAAACTAGGTGGGTATGAGGGCATGCCCCACCAGAAAATTTTTAACAATTTCCTACAGTTGACGCAGGGCATTTTTGGCAACTAAATAGATGTTTATTTTACCGCCATCTCTAGTGTTATCAGTGTTTACGGGAAAAAGGGTAAAATAGTGACGCCATCAAGTAGGATAGATGCAAAGGGGAGACATCTACCCTACAGACGAGCAAAGACACCAATTTAATGCAAAAAAGTGATCTGTCCAGTCCCGATTGAACGGTTGAAAATGCTTTCAGGAAATAAAAAAGTATATTTTCCAGATTTCAACTGTACGCACGGGCGGGCGTAAATATGTTTCCTTGTTAAATCTGCCGACTGGTGATTTATAATAAACACAAGCACAAATACTTAGAATACATTTGGTAATCCTTTTTCCATTATTATTTACTAAATATCCCTATGTGTTTGCGCATTAGACGCGTAAATAAAGTTTCTTACTTATTTACGCACTT